TCTTGTGAAGGTAAAAATAATTCTTACTCAATTTTATACTTAGTAAGATTTGCTGAATCATAATTTAATGAGTCTTGTTGAACTGGCTTGACGTGACAAGGTTTAAGCATGCTAAACAGATCGAGAATGTTTGCCTTTATTTATGCACCAAATCTTAAATAAATAAGATGAGATTGTCCAGTTCGTGATCTGATTCTCTACTGAACAACAAAAATTTCCAACATCTCGTGTGTTGTTGAACAACAGCACAAAAAATATCTTGAAGTAAATGTACATAATAAATTTCGAAATGCAATCATATCGAAGTCATGTTTTCATACGCTTCTTTGACTCGAAAGAATTTTGGCTCAGCTTTTTTTTCTGTCTGATGTAATTTATATCGAGACCAATGAGTCTTCACATTGCGTTAAATGCAACAATAAAACATTTCGCAAAACAGTAGCCACGAAAATTAAGTTGTTTGCTTACTTTTCGAATCATTTTATTCTCTTCTCGTTTGCTTTTTACTTATATTTAGCATCATCATTTATGAGTTGAAGCATTTACTTAGATCACATAAAAATTTATCTCAAATTCTCATGTTGGGTTTGGTTGCATTCTCACTTGCGATGTCAGGGCTTTCGACTTAATCGAGAAGTTTCAAACTCTTGACATATTCTCACTCACAATATCTGCTAAATGCGATTTAACCATAAATATAACATTAGTTTTAATGCGGCAACTTAAAAACTAATTAAAATCAATAATTGTGAAACGTAAAGGCGACGACGAAAATCAATAAAAATTTATGAAGACGATGAATAAAAAATATTAATTTTTATTATTCTTTTTGGTCAATATCGCTCGTTTCTCTTTGAAACTTGCTTTCAAACACCCATTCTCAACTCACTCATTCCTATTCAGTTTCTCTGCTACTAATCGTTAAAATTTATTTTAATTCTCGCGAATCTTCATTAAATTCGATGTTTCTTCATTCCGATCGAGTTGCAGACTAGTAAGCAAAAGAATTTCCATCATTTCAATGAACTTCATCTGTTTTTCCTGTCTCAACTCATAGTCAGTACGCTATAAAATTCCTTATCGTCACAAAAAATAAAGATTACATATAAAACCGAGAAAACAACATTGTAAAATGTTATATGCCCATATTATATTGCATTTAATTGCAGCTGATGATCGCAATTGTTTTTCTCTCTTTCATAAAATTGTTTTTAAAAAGAAATTATCAAATTCCTTTTCTGCTTCCTCTCACTTGTACTACATTCAATGCTTTTAAAAACAACAGAAACATTAATTTAAGTGTACACAAACATTGCATTTGCATCAGATGATAAGACAGAAAGAAATGTCAGAAATGGTTTAAAAAGTTTTTTTGTAGAAAAGAAGAAGAAAAGTTTTTGGCATGCATTCTAACTTTATTTTATCTAATGAATTATGTAATTTATTTCATGATTATGAAGAGCATGTATGGGAAGTTAATGAAGTCATTAGCGGTATGATGCTTTGTTATGCTGCTGTGAATGTTAACAGCAGCATACTTTTCCTCATTTATGCGATCGAATTGAGGTCGAGAATTTTAACATTTTTATCATTGTTAAATGAATTTAATAATTTCCTTTGTTGCTTTTAAATAAAAACTCAAAGTTGAAATTATGTGTAGAATTTCTGAATCATTTGAAGTGTTAACGTCAAGTTGCTTTCTTTCTTTCTCTTTTTAAAAGAAAGGTGCTTCATGTTAGGAAGTTGTATTGATACTTTACGTAAAACATTCAATTACAAATATTAGTTTAATTGAAGACATAAGCAACCAGTCAAATGACAAAACATGCTCGACGTAACCAAGACGTGCTTCGATGTCTAAATCATCACCATAAATAATTTATTTCCGCTCTATTGACTGTTTAATTGATTTCGTTTTTAACTCTTGAGATTCAGCTCATGAATCTTTCATCGTATTCACGAAATCTTTCTTTCCATTCGTTTTCCAAGTTTTTTCTTTTAATTTTTATATTAAAGATGCGCACACGCTTCAACAAGCGTAATTATGAGTTTCGTAAAAAAATAAATACTCAAACGCTATTAAATACAAATATCGAGTGGAAGTGTTTCTATAAATAAAGTTTATCTATTTACAAAGCGTTTAAGTCTTTCATGCTTCTCAATAAATCATAATATTGAATCAGTCCTTGACGCAATATAATAAAGACAACATAACGACATCGAATTGTATCAAAAATAGTCTGTTTGGTTGTCAATGGATCAATAAAAATATTTTTTATTCGTACCCGCTTGACACAAACAACTACTTTGCCTTGCTTAAAATTTTATTGAAATAATAATAATAATCATTAAGTTTATCATCAAGATTTATGTCCACATTAAGGTGAGGATATTCAACACATATTCAGAAAGGTATTGAAGGCAAATATTTATTTTTGAAAAAAAGTTTCTGACGCATATCATTGTAGATCTCGAACGCTGATTATTTCATTTCTGTGGTTGTATGGTGATAATTGAGATCACGCAGATGTTTTTATTCTTTTATGCTTCTGATACTTTAAACCGGATTGTAAAGATAAGCACAACAACAATAAGCACTTCACCAAACATCCCTCAGTGAAAGAGAATTCACAGTAAAAAGCTGCTGTTGCAAGTCAATAACTCAATCTTTCCCCCATTTCAATATTTTTTTTGCTCTAAAAGGCGAAAATAATCCTCGACAAAGACTAAAGAAAACAAACATTCATCTTAAAGGATTTTACCGTGGAATATTTTCCAATCAAATGAAAATAAAGAAAGCAAACAAGAAACATGGAATGGCAAATTGGCAGGAGATGGAGAAACGTCGAATGTACTTGATCCTTTACATTTTATGAAATATTTTTTGATCTTTTGTAATTGCAAATACTCTCTTGAAATATTTCTACTGTTAAAAAATATTCTGAGATATTTTTTAAAGTTTGTTTCAATACTCAAACCCTTGATTTACATAACCTGCACTGCAGTCTCCTTTAAAATTTGTTTCAATTTTCTCTGAGAAATCTCTTGAAGCGTTTTGCGTTGTCGATTTCATTTCGTCAGTAAATCGATAGTCTCAACCCTCTTTTTTTTATTTCTTTCTTTCAATAAGTCGACAATTACTGAAAATATTTACATTTCCAATAAGAGAAATAAAAAAATTCTGGATAAAAAGGTCACAAAAGATCTACGTAATGATTGTTGGTAAGAAGGAAAATGTCGAGTGTAATTTAAATAATCTACGATGCGAAAAGTCAAAATGCAACATTCCCAGTCCACTCGTTAGAAAAGAAAAAGGAAAGAAAAAGGTAAATGGAAACAATGATATAAATTAAAACAATTGCAAGTTACGAGAATAATCAACAATTTTAAACATAAATGTTGATAGCAGAAAAAACTCCCCTCGAATATGAAACAATGATGAATTGAGATCAAAGAAATCAAATTAGGTTACATGATATTCATGATATTTTGACACAGTGACATTGTAGTTCATGTACTTTAATTTGATTGAGAATCGTTTTTATTTTATTTCTTACAAATTGAAAATATTCAATAAATGAATCTAACAATAATGTCTCTAGTTAAAGTTTTTAATGGCAAGAGAAGTTGCAACTTGTAACCACCAACGTATTTCTTTTTTACAATCCCTTGTGTCTACTAAGCTTTGCAGTTCACTTTACTTACAAGACACAAGATCCATCATGATCATCAGATATCGCAGTTTGAAGTGAATTTTATTAAAAGTAATGAAAAGCTATTATAACTGTGCAATGAGTTTGCAAAACGAAACAAAACTGATTTAAAAGCTGTGTTCAAGAACTCTCTGTGATATTTCTGCCTTCTCGCCACCATTCATCATTAAATATAAACCGTTGCAAAAGCAATTTGTAACTCATTCTGAGTGCTGAATTGTGCAATTCAAATACATAATATGACGTGACATAAACGACCATACATGGAAAAGTTGAATAAGCATGCGAAGGCAAACGTTGAGTTAAATAAAATTTAATTACAATCGAAAAATTTGCATTTTTTGGTGTGAATAGTAACAGCAAAACAACATTGCGTGAAATCATCGAATATGGAATAAATTAATCGAGGCAAATGATGTTAAAAATAATACCAGCACACAACAAGATAATTCATCAATATGTTTGAAGCTAGTTGCGTTTTAAAAATCAGTTTCATGTTTTCAAATTTAACTTAAATTTTAATTATGCGCATAAATTGAAAGTTTAAAAGCAGACAATAAATGCATTAAAACAAAACATGAAATTGTTAAGTAATATTTGATGAAATTCTGTCATAATAGCTAAAATTGTTGACTTAGTTTATTGACCACAATGTTCAGTTTTATTTCCGAGAAGATCTCAGCGGTAGAAACAACAAAACTTAACGTCGTATCATAGTTTTTCAATCAACTAGCACATGAATATTTATTCATGATATCAATCAAAATTTATTTTCTTGGAATTTAATGACTCTTGAAATTGAGATCTCAAGAAAAAAAATCTTAAGACACAAGAGAAATAAATAAGTAAGACATTAAGGAGATGAAGGAAGAAGAATCGATAGCAAACGTTTGAGCACTTCAATATGTTTCATCTTTCACGACGCTGTTTTGTTCATGATTCCTAATATTGAATTCGCAGCGGGTGAGCTTTTTCTCTGAAGTTTTCTTACTTATATATTTATTTATTTGGACGATATTGGAGTGTAAGAAGAAAAGAAAATGAGTGAAGTAATTTACACGTTTAGGAAACTCGTTAAGCATCTAATGGGGCGAATACTTCCCCGTTTCTTTGAGCTTCAATATAAACAAGAACATCTGCAAATGAAATCATCTTTGTTCTTTGAAGCAAACTGAGATTTAAGTGCCTCATAAACGTGGCGATATTTTACCTTATTAATTATTAAACTCACTTCAGCCTCTCATCAAAGAACCAAAAGAAGAAGGAAAAAAAAACTTTTTTTGAACGATGAAGATTTATTTGATTTTTTCATCACGTGGCGCTCAATTGAATCACTCACAAGCTCCACTGAAGGTAAATTGTATTACAAATTACTGGCTTTTTGTGGTGTTGGAGAGTGGCAATAGCACAATTTTATCGCACTCTTAAGATCTCTTCAAAATATGATAAATTGGTGTCGCTCATAATTCTCTTATGTTCGTTTTTAATTTATCTTCTCGCTTTTTCCTCGCTGACGGTTTGCGAGCTTCGATAAATGATTGTGATCATCATTATAATATACTTTTAAATCAAACATACAATTATGAACATATCTGTAGAGCGACGTGAAGCGCAGTCGCACCATATGTGTGACAGGTAGAGAAGAACATAAGTAAAAGCCAAAGAGCGATTAAAATCTTGACAAATGAATTGTTTGTGTCGTTACTTTGCGACTTGAATTTTCTCAAATGGAAAATTGTGTATTAAATTGTTGGAAAGTAATTCGAGAATATAATTTACGTCTTTATAACTTTAAAAAGGTTTTGAATCAAAATACTGGAGAAACTCTTAATTCTTTAGGTTTGTGTGATTGTTTATTGCATAATCTTGAATTTGTATGAATTTTGACAAATTATTGTGCGAAAATGTTCATTCAAAATAAGGAAAGTTTTTCCTTTATCATAATAATTTTAGAAATGTACGCCCCAAAATTTTGATCACGCAATGGAAATTAATAGCGTTTCAGTTTGGTGTTTTAATAAACCGCAACATAATCTGATTCGAGGTTTCAACGCTCTACGAATGAAGTTGTTTAATGGATTCCATTTGTGCTGTTCAAAGGGATTTATTTGTCAAGAGAATGCATTAAATATTTTAAATATCAAGCAACTCTTTTAAAATTACTTTGCACAATGAACTTTTGGTTTACATTCCTTCAAAATTTAATTCAATTGATACTCAATTCTTTATTTCGTTTGTGTAACGGATTTCAACTTCATTTTGGAATGTATCAAAAGTTTAATGGGCTTGTATCGGTGACCAGATCTACAAATAATTGAAAACTTTTCTGATGGACAGTAAAGAAGCTTCTTTTGAAGATCGTTTTAATTCGCCTTTTAGGATGTTAGAAGGTTAAGCTTCCAACTCTTCAATTTTTATTCACACACCCATTTTTTCTACTTCTTACTTCTTTCAACTTTGAAAAACTTATTATTGTTAGTTAATTTGTTAGCAGCTCAAAGCCAAACTTGCTTTTTTCGATGACTTAATTAGTCAAGTTTTATTTTTTATCTTTCTCTTCTCTTGGCCTCTGCTTTTAACACATTTTCAAGAAACATTCAATCATCAATCAAAACACCACCAGCAACAACAAATTGACTACAAATTGCTCACATAAACTGCTGCCTTTTCTTCCATTTGTTGTTTGGGCTATGAACGTCATATAACATTTCAAAAATTATTATGAGTTGGTAATCGATAGAAATCAATCAATAAACCATTAAAAAGTGATTGAGTTGTTTCACTTCGAGCAAACACTTGACGTGTAGCAAAAAAAATGATTTTTTATAATTAAAACACGCGATTAGAGTGGACAAGCTCGGAAGATGTTGTGTGTCGATATGTTTTGAAATATTGACTTGTAAAATTAATGTTTTGTGGATAAAATGATGAAACAAATTGGAATGAAAATTATTATAAATTTCCTCTGTTTATTTATAATTTCATGTCTGTCACCTACAATGCATCGATGCACAGTCATTGAGACACAATAAAGAATAAAACTTTTTTCATCCACAATTCAAAACTTCCTCCGACATTATTCCCAACTTCAACTCGATGTCATGACTTTTCTGTCGAGTCATGGCTCGTTTGGAAAAGAAAAAGTGAAATAATGTTTAAGGTTTAAAAAGAAAATTAGTGTTTGCAGTGGGGAGGGGAAACGACTGGGCACCCGTAATTATTATTGATCTTATTCAACGGCTTTCTACAATTTTTTGTTATTTCTTTCTGCTCGCGCTTCAATCTCCATCAAAATTGTAACGAGACCGTAAATAAAAAAATATTTGGAGTGGAATGTTGCCAATTATTCAAAACATCATCGCCAATCGGAAGCACTGTGATGGATACCAGAAGAGTTCCCAAGCAATGAAAATAGAACTGGATTCCACGCTCACACAATGCGCCATTACTGAATTGTGGTTTTTATTTACTTTAAATTATTGCGGTGTGGAATGTTTTTGGGTGGAAATTTACACGCGTCCAACAATAGAATGAAGCATTCCAGAACCATTTTTCAGTGTAATTCATTAAATAATTCTTATACTTAGCAACTACGAATGAGAAAGCAACAAACTGATGTTGTAAACTATGCGAAAATTGATGATGAACAATTGAGAAAAAGTTTTCGATGTTCACTCAAATCAAATTTCTTTCAAAATGATTTCATATTTTATCAATTATGAGCCATCGGAAGAATTTTTCTTCAAATTCTAAATTCCAGCTGAATTCAAGTTAGATAAAAAACAGGAAGTATTTATGGAATTTCAAACGAAGCCCCATCATCACCTCAGTCAGTGATTTTGAATAACTCCGGTATTATTCAACTGTTTGCTTCCACTCATATATAATTACAAAGCAAAACCAACATTCCGGAGAATCCCCGAGCTTTGAAACGTGTTAATTTGAAGGAAAGTGATTTTCGAAATCAGAGATAGTCAAATTATTATGTGCAGCATGTGTTGATAATTTAAACGAGAGCTGAGCTTCATTACGCTGTGTAACAGCTGATTAAGCTGAGATTTGTTCAAGGTAATTGAAAATCGATCCCATAAAAATTACCAACATGGACAATTTATATTCAACAACTGACAACATGAGTTTTATTCAAAAAAATGCTCCTTCAACGTGCCTTAGTTAATGTGTGCAACCAGTTTTGGTATGTTGCGTTGTAAAAATTCAATTAACCTTCATCTGCGTGTGTGTTAACGTCTGGAGAATATCAATTTTCATCAGATGATGTGGACACATATCGAGAGTCAAGTAATCGATATTAATCTCTTTAGATTTTTCTCATTTCTTTTAATTCGTGCAAGAAGTCAAAAAAAGGGAAGAAGAAACATGAAGAATCATTTCACGATCAAATTCACTTGCTTTAGTTTTATTTTATTATTTTTCGCAAGAGATTTTTTATCGTCTTTCCTTTGGGGATTATTTGGAAATGATGGATTCGTTAATATTTATGTTATGTGAACTTATTCATCATTTGATATCGTAATTTGTGAATATTCCTGTAAATTTAATCGCTTTTGATCGAAAGAAAATTTTATTTTAATGATGAACACACGACACTGATCAGGTTTCTGCACGCTTAATTTCGGAAGATATTTTAAACTTCAAATTAAAGATATTCAATTGTAAAGATATGAATCTGATCATGCGATTAGTAACTCAAACCAACTAAAACGTTTGAGTCGTAAACTTTTTAGATATAAAATTCCGAAATAACAAAAATTAATAAAAAATCTAAAGCTGCGAATTTTCTGCTAACTCTTTATGCATGAAATCATGTGTGAAATAATTACTTGTGACAATGATATTATTCAACTTAACCGCGAGAGTAAAACGGTAGACAGAAACCACATCACGTATTGGACCGTAATTTGATGGATTTCGAGCCATGCCACCCATAAAATTCACAGTTATTAACTTGCTTGCTTCTATCATTGACCTTTTGACATGTTCAAGTAAACTTACTGTAAGTTTCAAATCCTTTTCTTTTACTTTTTAACTGAACTTTTGTTATGAAGTAAAGTTAACTATTGACAGACTTTTATTGAACATCTCAAAACATCTCAAAAACTTCATTCACATCATTAAATAAAATATTTTACCAGTAGAAATTAATTCGTGAAAATGGATATTTAGTGCCAAAATATAAGAAAAAGAATTCTTTTATGAAATTTGAGATTTCTTGACTCCCGCCATTCAAATGAATTAAATGTTGCATGAAAATTTGAATTTGTCGGCCCCACTGAAGCAAACCAACAAATACTGCTTGACTTAGTTTGTTGCTAAGAGTTCTTTTGATTGACCACATTTATTATTTATTTAATCAAATCAATAGTAAGTATGTAATTAATCATATCAATCTTACTTGCCTTGTCCATTGTCAAAATATTTTTGTTACGTAACATTTTATTAAATTAACAATAATGGACAGAAAAATCTAATTAAGGGTTGCGAAGTTCGTATTTAGATATTTTCTTGTGTACATATTTTCATTAACTTTGGTGCGTGCTGCTTAACATGTTTTGTATGAAAACATATCAAAAAGAGAACAAATGATTGTAGCAGTCGAGAGATACTTATTAACACCTTTTTGTGATTGCTTCCTTAATGAAATCGTGATCCCTTAATTTCATTCCAACGCAATGTTCAAATTAATCATTTCGACATTTTTAGTTAATTGCAGTTTTAGGAATTTCACTTCAAATTCACTTGACACCGAATCGAGTGAAATTAGAATTTTATTTCTTACGAATTTTGTGAACATCCACTCGAGGCGAAGAGTTAAGCGGCTAATAAACATATCTCAGCACGCTTCTTTTCCTGCAAGTCACCATTTCAAGAAGAGAAAAAGAAAGATTCTTGAGGGCGAAAAACATGCGGATAAAGTGGATGAATGTTCAGTCTCCCCACATCCCAGACAAGATCGTCATGATGATTGAGTAGTTTTTACATTTTTTACAAAGCATTTAATTCTTTCAAAAGAAAACAGGAGATAAATAATAAACAAGAGGAGAAAAAAATTATTAGAAAGGCAAACAAGGCTGATGAAGAAAGCTTGAGATTGTTTGCTTACCATGAGTGACTCCATGAAATTGATTTTTATGAAGTCTTTCCACAAGGTCATTGCTATTATCAACTTAAATTCAAGTCATTTGGCGCCATCTAAGCTTTTGACTGCAAATTTGAAATTCTCATGGGAAAAGTTCCATTTTAAAGTGTCAACTTCTGTTTCAAAAGTTACGTCTTCACTTCACAGTCAATTGAATAATTTTACGTTATCAAGTAGCTGTTAATTTTGTCCCTTCATAAAACTGATCAAATTTTATTGTGAAAATATTTATGCTTCTTTCAATATGGTTAGATTTCATTCGGGAGGGTAATAAACATTTATTCGTGTAGAATTTATCAATTGTTTCGCGTTTCATTGTTTTTACAATGGTCTAAGTGGCTCTAATGCTTCTCATGAAGTGGCACTTGTGAAGAACAACAAGGGGTTTTTGATATTCCCCCAAGAAGGAATTTTCATAGTCATGTAGATCTAGAATTGTGTCATAGAAGGAGAATAATATTTCTTGATCAAATTGAAGGTTTATTGCTAAGATAATAAATAAATTAAAAACTCGATTGACATTCGAAGAAATTTCTTGTTTAACGCCATTTGAGTTTGTTTAACGTTTTTAAAAAGTGAACGAGTTATTTGAATATTTTCTTTTCATTTGTTTAACTTAAAAATAGATGAATTGGGAGAGTCTTAGACCTGGGTTTGGAGGGGAATTTGAGAATGTTGATGCGCACTTTCCTGGAAATGTGTCAAAAGCGAAAACAACAGTGAAATGCATTTTTGAGGAAACAGTTTGTTGTAACAAATTTAACTCGTCATGAAGGCAACTAAAGTGCAGCAGAAAGGGTTACAAAATACGTCAATTACCGTATGAACATTCGTTTCTCTTGTTACTGACGAACTTCACATGGTCATGAATCATTTGACTCTCATTTCGAAGCAATTAGGTTATCCTCAAAGTCGGATCAGCTCAAGTTAAAATATGAAATGTTTAAAAATGGATTCATTTAAAAATAATTTGTCACTTTATTACAAATATCATTTGCGGTTAGCTTTGTCGAAACAGTGAGAATTGATGAGACTTTAAACGTTGTTTCTTAACATGTTTCGTTGGATATTTGCCAAAATTATTCAACAATTTTTATTTTTAATTTTTGTTTGTTATTTCATTTGCAACCAGCAATTTTCTATCTTTTCATGTATTTCGGATTATTAAAACTTGAATAAGTTTCTGATTATTTATTTCGAAGATTTGATTTGAATTTGAAGGAAGAAAAGAATTATTGAGACTTGCGATTGTAATCATAAATCAAACAGTGGGAGAGATTTTGTCTTCCAGAAAAATATCTTCATTCAAGTTGATTGAGATGTCAGTCATTCGGCAAATGGAGAAAAACGGAATAAAATGAAAATAAAGAGAAAGAGCGAAGTGTTCTGTTAATATTGTTTCTTAATCTTAATTATCCATTAATCTGCTGCGTTTCAATTGATGTTTCTCTCACAAACGGAAAGAAATCTCAAGATACGACGCGCTTGATATGATGGAGTTTTAAATTAACAGTTCTTTTCAAGCATTAGAAATCGATTAGTTTTGGATTTTGTCGGCGAAATGAACTCTGTTGATAATTTTTTTTATGTTCCGAGAGAATTTCTTTTGCAATTTATACTCAGTGAGAATCACAATATCGCGGATATCAACAGGATTCCAAATTAAAGTTTATTCATTGCAAGTAAGTTGTAAGAATGTCCAATTATACTTACACCATAAAACCTCTAATTCCAATCTTATAATCGATTACCATCGCAGCTATTATCGACTCAATTGCATGTAATTAGTGACTCTCTAACTACTTACTAACCAATCGATTATTTTTAATTGCCTTAAATTTATTTCCAACAATAGAAAGAATGCCAAAATAAAGTCAGATATCTGCTTCGATATCTACCACAAATCTCAAAAGAAAAATCACCGCTAAATATTTTCCAATTACTTTTTGTTAATTTATTTCCAATTGTCGCCAAAAACATATTTTTTTGGCATATTGCTAGGCATATTATTTGACTTGAACTCATTCAAAGCTCAACAATCACTCAGACTTTAATCCCCATAATCCTAAGGAATAATATAAATAAATTATAAATCAACAAGAGAAAATATTCCTTTTCGACTAAAAATGAGTGACAGCAGTTAGTTTTGTGAATGAATGTCATGGCAGTGTGTAGTAATGCTAAAAATATTGCACTCATCAATACTAACATTGAGTGCCCGTTTAAAGGGAAATTTATCTTGTGGAAAGAGTCAACAAACAATCAACAACAAAACTGGACTTTCACAATCCTTACGGGGTTGTATTATCGTTCGAAAACAAATGTATAATAATCCGGAAATCAATAAAGCTTTAGAGAAGTTTTTATGCTTTGTTTTGGTTTTCTTAACTATAATCCAACAATAATATTATTTTAGGGACATTAAAGCGTTTTAAGGGTAAACTTTGCTGCTTTACTTTCTGTGACAAACATTGAAACGCTATTATGACCATTTACAATACTTGCAAACTGCTTCTTCATCAGCAGACGAAATTTCATGCTCAATCAAACTTAAAGGGTTCATTGAGTGAGAAAAATCTTGACAAACAGCAACTTTTTTCAAATCACATCCCAATTATTTTATGATTTAACTTCATTTCGTCTTTTTTTCTCACATTAAAACACTTTGAGATGACAAATGGAAATGATTCAGATGACCATAAACTAAAAACGGATGTTTACGGTAATGACGAAGATTAGAAGTAATTAAATTTCTTTTTCTTATGCAGTTGTCGTTAGAATCTCTTTTCTTATGTTAATAATTCTTCTTTCAACATAAAGACGACCGTCTCATAGTAATCTCGCCCTAAATCGATTCTAATCTCTCAACTAATGATTTTTAAATATATTTTCCCATTCATTGTGCAGTTTTGTTTACACAGAGATTTTTTTGATGCTTTTCCTGCTTTGGACATTTATTACTTGATCATTAGGTAAATGTTGTCATCCATCAAAGGTACCTTTCCGTTTACAATTAACCCAGATTTCTTATTGTTTCTAATGTTGTGAAAATTAGAAGAATCACTGACATCCCCACGCATGGTTCAACACCCATTCATATCTTATGAAGCGTTGATTAAATCAGAAACATCAGGATGGGCTTGTCTTACAGCATAGAAGGAACAAAAGCAAAAGAACTGTATGTGGTCTCAGTTGAAGAAAACATATCAAGTAATTATGATTGTGAAAAGAATCTTCCTCAAAATATCGACAACAAAAGGCATCATCATCTTTACCCGGGTTCGATGAACAAAAAACCGAAACATGATTCAACTTTCAAAGAGTTATTTGTGAAACCACAACGAACAAAAAAAATCTTTTGTAACCGTTACAGATGAAACAATTCACCGAAGGAATCGATTGATTATTAAGACATCATGGGAACGTTGAATGGATCGATACTTCAATAATTAATCAATAAGTGAAATGGAAAAACTTTTACACTAACGTAACCATTCCTTGACATTGTTACATTTTTGTTGCCACAATTATGCCGCCGCTTTTTATTCTTCTTCAACATCAAACTAATTAATTATCTTTTTTTATTCTCTGCAAGTGCAATTCATGCGGCATCGTCTTTTGTGTTAGCGAGATTCAAGAAATGCGAGAACTTACCGGTTCTTTTGTGCAGCAGCACGATCACGTTGTCGTCGATTCTTGAACCAATTTCCAACTTGAGTTGGTGTCAAACCGGTCGCTGAAGCAAGTTCACGCTTCTTTGTTGGATTCGGGTACGGATCTTGAAGATACCATTCACGGAGTAAACTGCGGGTGCGCTCTTTGAAGCAATGAGTTTTCTGTTCACCATCCCAAATCGTTCTTGGCAATGGAAATTTCTTTCGAACGCGATATTTATCAACGGGACCTGAGTAAGAAAATAATTTGAATAAAAAATTCAAATGAAATCAAATTTTAGTTTAATTATTTACCCAAAGGTCGTCCACGAAGTTTTTCTGCTTCATGATAATGAGCTTCAAGCCACATGGCTTGTAATTTTCCATGTGAAGTTTTTGTGAATTTGTGACGTTCCAAAATTGCGTAAAGTTCTCTGAAATTTTTTAAAAATTTATAAAATGTCGGAGATTGTCCATAACCCGAATTTAATTATAGAAATAAAAAAGTGAAATAAATTTCTGCTTAGATTCTCTGAAACAATCAACTGAGATCATCATCAATTAACTTTTATTAATCTTCTTCAATTTATTTAATTTTCTAACTGGACAGAGAGAAATTTTTCACATCCTCTTAAATATTTTTCTTGCTTTGAATTAAATTTGCCCACGAATAAAACAATCATAAATTTCAACGAATAACAAAAGAAACGAAATCTTCTTTAAAAAACTATGGAAATTAATATAATCATCAATGATGAAGTTGGAAATTATTTTACTTCCACTCTCGCTTGTTCATCTCTTGTTACCAGATGGAAAATTACATTGTTGAGGTTTTTTCTATTTCTTCGAAACTTATCCAATTTATTTCCATTTAGCATTTGATTTTTTTGAGCAATTTCAATCAATTAAACTATGATTTTTTTATTCAACGAACGTACAAATATCTGACCGACGCCCGACCGATCAGCGATCACTTAACAGCCAAAAAACATCAAATTGAATTTCTAAATAATTGAACGAGATTGATTTCACTTTTAATTTCTTCCACATTCATGCATTGTCTGATTCTCACCTAAAATGTCCAGTGTGGTAAGCAACAATAGCACGAGCTCTAAGCACAGCTTCCGATCGATCCAATTCACCGATATTCTGCAAGATTTTATTTTTATTGTACACTCATTAACATGTTTCCACTCTTTACGTAATATTTTAATCTTCTTTTTCACATCAACAACAAAAAATATTCATTACATAAAAAATGATTGAAAATTACCGGATGTGCCACTGGTAGACTCCATAAAAACCTTGCTAAACGCTCAATATCACCAGATTCTTCCAAAGTTTCGCACACCGTAGCCACTTGGCTTGCAGTGAAATTTAAAGTAGGCAAAGCAAACAAGGGACTAGGAGCGAGAATTGGATGATGTGGATGGTTGTGAAAGTGGTGATGATGATGATGGCTGGCAGGATGGTGACTATTAAAATGATGTGGATGAATTGGAGGTGAATTGTTGAGATTATTGTTACTGCTACTCGTGCTGATGCTATCAATATTATTGCTGCTTTGTCCCAGACTCGTGATTGTATGTGGCGGTGGCGACATCGATGAGTTGGGTGATGTCGAATTTAAAATCGTCACAGACTCTTGAATTATTGATGGTTGTGGCGATAGGGACCGTCGAATAGCAGTTGGTATTACAATCCCACGATTATTTGGCCCAACCACGGCCATTTCAAGGAGCTTTGAATTTGGAGCAATTTTTGTCGAATTTATTTGACAATTTTATTCAAATTTTTTTTTAATTTGTTTAGAATTGAAAATGATTTTTTAATTATGTAGGTAATTGTAGTAAAATAAAAATTTTTCGGGTATGTTTCACTAAATTTTCATATCAATTCCATTGCACATTGTTCACGGTTAATTATGCAAATTAGCAATCTTTTTTTATTTCCAATCAAGTGTTTTATTCAATTATGTGTAGATGCAAGATCATTGCAGGGAACACAGCATGTAATTATCCAACATTCCTTTTTATTATTCACTAATTAATTATCATATTAGTTATGCAGATTACAACCAAAGCTCCATGCTCAGTAATGTTATTCAGTTACACAACTCAAAATATCGTTTACACGTTTTGATGGTCGAGTCGCCAAGTGTCATGAATTCGCATCGACTCGAGAGCGTGTTGCTTTCAAAATTGTTGGATTATTCACGCTTATTAATAAAACAAAAACTTTTGATCACATACAAATCTCTTTAACTCGGTGTTAATTTCAATTGACGATCACCACATTAAATTAAATATTTATAAAAGTTTCCCGGTCAAATGAACGTAAAAAATTCCGCGACATTAACTGAAACGAAATGAAATCACGCGCGATATCTCGAATGGATTGAATTGAACAGAGAGAAGAGAAAACTGAAATCCAGTTCATTCAGCAGCAGCACTGACTGTTCGAAAGGGTATTTTTCTACTGAGTTTTCTTTCTTCTCTTTGTTGTTTATTTACTTTCGGCAGCGAACTACTTGTTTCTTCATCTGCCCAACCCCGGCATCATCAACGCCTCTTTCTTTCCCAGATATATTTATTAGCTTCATATATTGAGAACGCCAATCACCATGCTGAAAAGTGGGCGTTGTTTGTCATCTGTTAAAATCTTCTACCATTGGTTGAAATATTTCTGTTTCACTCGCACTTCATTTTCATCAGAAAATATTCAGGGGAATGTAACAGATTGCGAAAGTTGAAATTTTTTTCATAAAATTTCACGAAAGTCATGAAAAATATTCTAAATACCTAATAATTAATTATCACTTCGATTAAAAACTTGTAAAACAAATTCATCGATGCTTACAAATTTTCCCCCTAATTAACCAAAGTATCATCACAATTGAAGCTTTCAATTATTTAAACACTATCATCACTCCAACTATCTATAACAGATAGAACAGAAAGAATAAATCCCCTCAAGCTTCTCTTTTTCAACTTCCCAGTATTCTTGTGTTATTTGCCAGTATTATAATAAATAAATAAACTCAGTTGAATAAGAGAAGGAAAAAAGTCGTATCGATAGCTTCTATGCGGGTATAATGTTGTGGATATATAACTGTCTCACTTGCACACATTTAAAGTGATCTGGGCAAGAATTTGAATTATACTTTGTTGTTGATCACAACATTTTCGAGCTCTATGTAAAAGGCAGTTTTTTTTTCGCTGTTATATATTTGAGTTGACGATGAAGAAAGCAAGCAAAAAAGATACGAAAAAGCTTTTTTACTCTCCTACATTTTGAAGTTATATAATGTACATGTATACATGACTCCGATGTATCAACAACATATCGTTTTTCGTTTCGTTTCCATTTCGATATGATGATGTTATTATTTTTAGGCGTTGAGTGTGAGGTACGTCAGAAAATTATTTCTCTCTTCGTCTTTGCCCTGCCTGTTAAGGGGACGGGTGAAGGATGTTGTGTTGTTGAGTGAGGTAGAAGTTGACAGATTTTAATTTTATTCGAGAAGAGGATTTTGTGTCTCTTTTTGCTTCGTTTCGGTGATGATATATTTTAGCGATGATGCCATTTAGTTTAATTCCGATATACAACACATGAGTTTTCATTACACGTTTCACTCTTATGTGTGAGTTGTGTTGGGCTTGTTACTTCGATAGAGGAAAAGCAATTCATGTCGAACCCCATAATCTGATATCGTTACGAACAACAGCGCATGATGATGGCATAAAATTGGAGATTGAAGTAATAAGAGATACAGTAATGAATGGTGAATTCTGTTCGTATTTTTAGCTTTCTTCGCTTCAGTGAATTCTAAGCTAATGAATTTTTGGAAGTAGAAATGCTTTTTATATATTTTTAGCTTTTTTTTTCTTTTAAAAGGCTTGCGGTGTTTTAGAAAAAATCAATTCTGCTTTCAATTTATTCTGTCTCAATGTTTTGCTATCATTTATGCTTCAATCAATTAACTGAAATAATGGATATCACGATGATGAATTTTAAAAGCATCGGTAGTCACCATTTTGTAAATAATCCTAATTTATATACTGTCTCATCCCACCCCCGCATCAACGAGTCGCTTCCTTCAATTTGCTAATGATGATGGTAAAGAAGAAAAAGTTTTTAACTCAATTAAAAATTCATGGCGATGAGTAAGACGTAATGAAAAAGTTTTTCCTTCATCTGTACAATATTAAAATTCGAAGCTTCTTCTCTTGAAACTTTTCCAACCACTTCTATTGAGAATCCGCTTCTCTCATTTCAAGAGATTAAAACTTTCTATGGAAACTTTTTTTCATACATTTCTTCTTCGTCATCTTTTTTGTCGTGAATTATTTGAAAGAAAATTTTCTCAAAACTGAAAGCAATGAGGGAAATCATGAACCTTTAATTATGACAAAAGTTGAAGCAGAAGAAATCGAATCATAAAGTTTGAAAATAACACATCAATCATCTTCCCAAAAGCCAATTTGTCGATAAGTAATAATTTTTATGGGCGATGAATGGAAATGGCTTGTTAACACAAACCTAAGCAGCAACGATAGAAAAATAGAAAAACTTTAAATTGTTGAGTATACAAAAATGGTCTATCATGATTCTTCGATCGAGATTGTTCCCGATACTGCTTGCTTTTTTTTGTTAAATCATTCTGTTAATTTCTCGATGTTTATTTTGTGTCAGACTCTCTCTCGCGCATTTCATGGTGTCTATTTATTATTTTCAATTATCTAAAAATCTCAAAACAATTTAATTATGTTGGAAAGAATTTGAATCGATTTAGCGTTGTTGTTTGTTGTGTGTCTATCACGATTGGAATCGATGATGGACGTAGATGGATGAAGGCAGCAAGAGTTTAGATCGTATACATTCAGATCAATAATAACACGGTTTAAATGGAAACTCGTTGGCCCGAAATAATATTGATAGCATAATAAAATAAATTATCAATAAGCTATAATCAGGAGAATGGGAGAAAGAGAATGATGTGAGCTCAACAAAGCGCGCTATTTAAATGGACACGTTTCAAGTGATAGCTCGCAATTTAAGATGGATGGATGGGATAAAAGGAAAAACGTAAAAACATTTTAATTTCTAATTACAGAACTGAGAACTGGATAAAAAACTTTAACTTGCTTTCCACTGATTCCATTAACTGATGACTATCAAATCATGAGAGTTTTTTTTCCTTTCTGTTTACTTTTACTTATCAAGTGTCATTGGAGCACTTTGATTGAAACCTAGAATCATCAGTCAGCAATTTGAGTTGAGTTAAGAGTCAATTATCATAAGTCAATGAATAAGAAAGCAAGTTAAGTTGTTATCCTTCTCTCTGTCAGAGAAATACTTGAAGGATAAAAAAATATTTTTACTGTCTAACTTTTACAAAAATTCCTTCAAGACAAAAATATTCTTTTTGGTGCTAATTAAGTTTGGATTTGAGTGAACTTTTAATGGCTCTTAAGAAATTATGATGTCTTATTATGAATATCCATAATTTATAAAGGTTGATGCAAAAATGATGTTTTCAAACATGAAGTTACATATGAAGCATTAAAGACTTGTTACGTATTTTTTAAATGCAACAAGAATTCAATTTATGATTCCATTGTTACTTTCTTACAAGTTACAAGTTACAAGTCATGATTCTCCACCAAAGCTCGATGAAAACACAACAGAATGATGAGTTCGTGAGCAGATATTATTGAATAAAACTCAGTTGTTGTTTATGGAGGCAGAACGTTAAACAATCGGATAATGAAGTAAAACAGACATTAATTTTGAAGGGAATCATAACTCGGGGATGTCGAACAAAACTTTATTTTGTATATTCTGACTGTAATATTTTGACAGATGCCGAAGGAATATTCTGAAACATGTTCGTATGCGGTGTTTCCTTATTTAAGTAATGTTGATCGTCTTCAAGCTTAGTGAGTTGCTTATTTCCTTTATGTGAATTTTTCTTTTGAAATGAAGAGAAGAAGTGACTGACCATTAAATGATGAAACGAATTGAAGAGAATTGAAAATGAAGTTGAAGTAATAATTGAATACAACACAAGAAAAGGCATCAGAAAATCAAACTTTAAACAGCTACTGAATTGAAACATATTTTTCTTTATTGTCTGTTCAAGTGCGAGACGAAAAAAAAGTATTGAAATGAAAGATAAAGAATTGAAGGAAAAAGAAACGACCGCAAAGTGAATGGGTTTTGATGTCATGAGTTTGAACGATCCATTTATTGAATTTATTTATGTGTAGTTCGACTTAACAATGATGATAGTATCGCGAGAATTGAAGCGAATATCGGACAGTAAAAATCAACGAGCTACAAAAACGCATTGACGCAATAAAGCCAAAATGGATTCGTTTTCTCGCAATCGTTAAACTTTTTATGGTTATTGATTCAATCATGTATGAATAAATCATTCAAAGTGAAAAGAAATGGAAATTGTTGCAAAGCAATGGGCGATGACGATGATCAAGTGGATGAAAGTACATATTTTTGCTTAACTTAACTCCATTTGAATTTCCACTCTATTTTATTTGAATTTATTGTTTCCATCTGCCAATGTAAATCCATTATCGGGAAATATTCTCAATTGATAGCACAATAAAAGAATTTCAAGATGGAAATAAATATCTTTTGAAAGCTATGCTAAGTAACGAAATCTCTGTAAGACCCAGAGCATCCTTCATATTTATTTCTATCTTTTGATATGAATGTTCAATGTAGATGAATGCCGTAATCCGCACAAGAAATTGATTTATAATCAAATAGATTTTCCATAGGATTATTGAACATTGTGGGAAATTGTGAACATGTTTAAAATAATTCCGTCGGTGATTTTAAAGCAATGTGTTGCTTATATAAACTGAGATCCCACTCATCAGTCGAAACATTCTGACGGGAATTTTAAATCTGTCATAACTTCCTAATATCTCGTCTGTTGCTAGTTGACATTACAGTTTAAAAATAAAACTTCTTGAAAAGCCAAAAAGCAAAAAATAAATTAAAGAGAAGTAACTTAGAGGTCGAAACTATGACACAAAATAAATATTAAGGAACAGAATGTTTTGCTGGCGCCTTAGTTTGTTATTTCAAGCGTCTCATGGGAAGGAAAATGTTTGCGTACCTTGAACAGTGATATTTCAATAAGGAGAAAGAGAAAATTGACAAATGTTTTGCATCAGTTCGAATGAATTAACAAGATCTTATGATGGAATGTTAGATTTTGGTCTTAGGGGATGAAGAAAAATAAATAATCACATTAGTAAGAATCTATGAAAACATTGGATACATTTTTAAAGACAACAACAGTCTTGATATTTGATTACTTTATATCATTTCTTTATTTCGTATTTTACCATCCAATGTATGTACTTAATACATTTCACATTAAACGTCATAAGAGTGCAATTCATTTAATAGTTTCGTGAGTATGATTTTATTTAATAACTTTCATATATTTAAATAGCTTTCATATCTTGTGTAGGGTAACATACTGTACATTGCATTAAAATTCTTCTTTTTATTTTATAGCGACATGTAATAATAATTTGGGAACTGATTTGATTTGATGTCAAAAAACTTTTAAGAAGAATTCTGATTATCTTGTAATTTCGAAATAATATCATTTGAAGTCTTAGATTTGGAATTAGTATCATTAACGTAACTTTTGAGTCATTTTAAGTCGCATTATCGTTGGCTATGGATCATTATCGTATTTGTTTACTTTCCTAGATATATTTATTGAACATTTTAATATCTAATGAATAATACTATTACGAAAGGTTTTCATTTTCCTTAAGTAAACAAGATTTTCCTTCTTCTTTAAAACGATGAGATTGTACCACTAATATGTTTAGGTTTCTGTTGGCTTATGCTACTATTTTTAGTCATATGCAATAAAAATGTTTAACACAATATTTAAAAATTTCATTACTTTCGATAAAAATACATAAAATTTTCATATAAATAAATATATTTTTTGGTTTCACATTATATCTTCACAAAAATGATATGATACGATATTTTATAGTTTCCATATTTGGTTTCTTTCTTTCGGGGAAGTTATTTGGTATTTTCGAAATTCATGCTAAGTAGCAGCAATTTCATTTGATAAGATTTGTTGACTTCAACATAATGCTTAAAGCTTCCCCCCATTTGACAGATCTCTGGTGACAATAGCTTTGGGAATGTTCACAATTAACAATTGATACAGAATCTAACACTCTTCAATTATCAGCTGTAAATTCCAATCATTCCCCATGTGAGTTCAAACTTAACTCACCTTCTTTAGAAGCATTTATAAGTCAGACGAATTTTATTCAAAAGTTTTCTTTATCTTTCTTTTTAAAAAAGCGTTGATCCATTCTCAAGATTTGTTAAAGTTAAACGATAAAATGATGAAAAATCTTATTGCTTCAGAAGAAATGTTTGTCATCGCACAAATTTTGATAAGAAGTTTTCCCAAAATTTCTATTAAGTTTTTGATAAGATTGTGCCAATAAGCTTTAAAAGTTTTAATCTAACAATTTCAACTATAATAATAAAAGTTTTTTTTTCATTTCCTCTACTTATAATCATTTGCGATCACTTTTCATTTAAAAGGATTATTTAGTGAAAATATCACAAATTTTGACGCAAGTGGAAATGAAATCTACTTAAGTGATTATATAGAAATATTTTAAACTTAAATTGCTTGAATTCGGTGATAAGTATTAAATAGTAAATACATATAAACTTAACTGAACTCAATTAAGCGTAGATTGGTTGATTTAGACACTTAAATAAGAGAAAATCGATCCATGCTCTCAAATTTTCATGTTTTTAAGTTAATTTCAATACTTGTTGCAAGTGTTTTGATAAGTTTAATTTATGATGCCACTTAGTAGTTAGCACCATATCCATTGTTTTGTTGTAGTTGTAATGGCTGTTGCTGTTGTTGCTGTTGAGCTCCAAATGGATTACTGCCTGGAACGCCAAGATTTCCACCAACAGTTGAATATGTTCCATAACTGTCATTTGGATTCGCTCCAACTTCATTCAAGCGGGAACTAGAAAGAGCACGTGGTATCGGATTAGACGGCACACCATGAGGCGCTAAGTGGCTTGTTTCTTCAGCAACCTGAAAAATATTCAATTAATAAATGTTTTTAACAATTCAATGTCGAATTTTTTTAACCTGATGAGGATCTTCAGTTGTTGGAATATCAGAAACGAATCCCTGATCTCGGTAAAAGTTTATGAACACAAATGCGGCAAGAACAAAAATACACATAACGCCATAGCCTCTGAATGTTGTTTTAGATCCGAAATAAGTCACGAAAAGACCTGAAAAACATTTTCGGTTGAAACAAGAATCAAATATAATTAATGATCAATTTACCTCCAATGACAGCTCCACAACCTCGTCCTAAACCATGATGAAGTCCTTGCAAAACACCTTGTGCCGATGTTTTCAAATGTGCTGGTGTATTGTGAGCTATGTAACTTGCCATTGCTGCCCAACATGCAGCCTAAAACAATGAGAATAAATTTAAAAATGTTCCTTATGAAAATCTGTTGACTTTTCATCTCACGTGAGTTATTCCTTGCATCAGTTCAAATGGAAGAACCCACCAAGGATTATGAAGATAGGAAATGTAAAGAAATCTCACAACATTTCCAGCAAGACCCAAGCAGAGAACCTGAAAATTTATTCATTCATCAAAAGATATTTAAAAATAAAAGAAAAATTTCACCTTAACATGACCAATTTGTGTGATTAATCGGAAACTGAAGAAGTAAGCAAAGATTTCACTCAAATGATTGATGACAGAAGCAACACCGAAGAGAGTTGGAGAGCCACCGTAATCTTGAAGATGCCAGAACAAGAAAGTGAAGATAAGACCAATGCCAAATCCAAGGAACCAAGCTACGAACAAGAATGACAAGCACTTCAAATCTTTGCTGAACTGAGAAAAGACTAAAAGCCATTCTGGTGTTTCTGTAGTCAGACGTTGAGCAAACATTTTTGTCTGAGCGCCTAGGGAAGGTGGTGGTGGCTTTGTAGCTGGAATAGAAGCAGCACCAGCACCTCCAGCCAATGATGGAATTCCAAGTTGAGCAGCGAGTTGATTTTGCATTTCATCTTCCTTTGTCATGACTGGTTCATTAGTCTTAGCTTCAAATTCAAGTTCTTCAGGTTGATCGGGATACTTGAAATTTATCTGAGTAGCAGCAATAAGCGCAGCAGTCATGGAGACAGCAAATGTTGCAAAACAAATTGTATAATTCTTTTCTTGTTTGTCTGGCCCACAAGGATGATCTGGAAATGCTGTTGAATGATCCAAAGCAATGCCAACGAAAAACATTGCAACGCCCCAACCTAATGATCCAAACATTCTCTGATGACCGTAACGATCAGCATCTTCACCAAGTAAAGTAATAACTGCAGAGTCAGCAAGTGTAATTGCAGGTGCACTGAAAAACTCTCCAATGATGACCAAAAGCATAAGCAGGAAGAAAGCTTTATGGATATCGTCAGTTCGATAGACAATTGATGAGAAAAGCGGCGAAACCCAATCTTTTTGCAATTTCTCATTGAAATTATTAACATAACTAATGCTCAAGGGTGAAATTCCAGCTTCAGTAATTGGACGAACTCCTCGGCGAACTCGATCGGTTGTCTTCATATCTTGACCTTCAATCAATGGCTGTAAATTGTCAACACTACGCTTTAGAATTCTTGGAACTTCAGGTGTTTTCAACTCGTAGTAAGATTCGTTTACTCGTAGAATGCACGATGTTGCTGGTGGTTGAATGAATCCTAGAGGCAAAGTGAAAAGAATCCATGCTGAGAGTGATGCAAGCAACAAGAATTTTCCTTTCTTTGACTTGTCAGCATAACTTCCCCAAAACGGAGCTGATAGAAACTCAACAAATGGACGTGAACCAACAAGCAATCCACATTGAAATGGATTCATTCCCATTTGTTTGAAATAAACTCCCATAAGAGGGAAAAGTGATCCAAAAGCTGAATAGAAGAAGAAGTAAAATGTCTTCACAGTTAGCAATTCTTGATCCACTGAACCACACAGCATTTCAATAAAATCATATCGACCACGAATTTTGTGTGTTGATTCTTTTGCCTGCGGATATCTTAAAAGAAAAAAAATTATAATAATTTCTAGACAAAAATTAAGTTAAATGTTTTACTGTTCAGGGTCGACTTCTCCTTCAGCTTCAGGGTCAACCATTGGTCTAATATTATATTGCGACGGTGGAGCTCGCTGTTGCTCATCATAACCGTATTGATTATCATCGTAGCCGCCTCCATATTGAGTGTAAGCCATTTTTCACAATTTCTTAGTTCAATGTTATGTTATCTACCAACAATAAATATCTAAAGCTCTTCAATAAACTCTGTTAAGAAGTTTCTATCGCTTTTAACAAGATTTGCAAAAAACTTTCATAGTTTCCACTTTGAGTTCTTAAGTAGAAGAAAATTATGTAATTTTTCACGGACAAAAATTCACCATGTTGAGTTCAATTTAAAATATTTCTAATTTCTTCTTTTTTTGGGGTAGATTTTTTAAAATGTTCTATTTTTTCTATCTTCTCACTTGCTTTAATAAGATTCGATATGACACTTATGAGCTATTTTATGATGAATTAATTTCAAATTAAATTAACACTTTAAACATGGGGAAAATTAAAAAGATATGATTTAAAATTTTCCTACTGAAAAGTTTTCTCACGATTTTCTTATTCACCGATCGATCAAGAAATCGAAGGGATTTTGAGTTGCCAGATTGATATGATATTATCGGAAAATTGGTATGTAGAAGTTTTCATGCAGCAACACCATGCAAAAGTTTCCTGGAGAAAATGTGAAAACTTTTCACATGCGCACGGAAAGAATTTGAGAGAAAAAAGTTCTGTAAGAGAAAAGCTTGAATTATGAGAGAGAAAATGTTGAAAGTGTGTGTGAAAGTGTAAAATGAGAGAATCGAAAGCTTTTGGATTTTATTCATGTTCTTAATTCCACGTGCTCAAACTTATCTTTAAATGCTTGCTTGAATGCTTTCTCTAAATTTTTAGATAGGAAGAATGTAATATATAATTTAATAAGTGTTCTCACGAAGAGAAGATTTGAACAACCAACATCATAAAAACATGTCATTAATTAATGTGATATGAAAAAAGGTTATCAGTCGAGTGTCATAAATTAAATTGTTTATTTGAACTGTTTTTGCAAGTGTTATACATTTTGAAAATAAAATTTTGTATTTTGTCATGTGAACTTTATTTTAATATTTCATAAATGAATTTTCACTCATCATTTGTGTGATTTCCCTATGATAACATTAAAATATCTATTTTGCAAACATTAAATTTCCACTTCGCATCTGCCTGCTCTCTCATGAGATAATCCGATCTATTTTTCAAAGTCAATTGAAATTTATGATCATCCAATGTCAAAGTCTGATTATTTAATATGGCAGTTGATCTAAATATAATTTCAAAGTTACATTTAGAATAAATCTAAGAGAAACTTCTTAATTGACCTATTTATGATTATTAGACTTAGATTATTTATGGCAGCGCAAGAAAGAAACTTAATTGTATGTTTTTAATCATAATAATAGAAATAAACAAGTAATTCTTTTTTACGTCATTTGTTGTTGTGAACTTGAAAAGTTTTACTTTCCATTCTTTTGTTTATTTCCCAATTGTTGAAGTGCGGTCTCTAAACGTCCCAATAAACTTACTTTTTCGGATTCACATGCAGCCACTGCTTTTTCGCTTTTGTCAAGAATATTTTTTTCTTTGAAATTTTCCTCTTCGTCGGGAATTACCGTTCGATATTCTTGATAGCATTTCACCAAATCCTTCTTGATATTCGAATTATTGGGAATCGTGTGACTCAAGTAATTCCTGTTTGTACAATTATTTCCAGCGAGATAAAGAAATCTTAATTCTGGAAGATGATCAAAGAGAACTGGCGAGAGAGCAGAGATTTTGTTGTCATTCAAATAAATTCCTTTAAGCTTTGAACTTTGCATGAGAAGATTGGCAGAGATAATTCTCAATTTATTATGATCTAACCAAATCCATGTGAGATTTGTGAGAGGCTTGAAAGTGTCTTCATCTAGTATATCGATCTGATTAAAACTCAAGCCTAATTCTTTCAAATTTTCAAGGCCAGAAAACGCACCACCGTTCACATGTGAAATTGAATTCGAGCTCAAATCTAAGAATTGCAATTTCGGTGTATCTTTGAACATCAAATGGGGAACTCTTTGAATTTTATTATTGTTGGCTTTGAAGGATATCAGTTGCTCAGCACGATGCAATGAACGAGGAAAAAGGAATTTCAGGTCAGCATGAGTGATTTCCAAAACTTCCACTTTCCGGAACGTGTCAAAAAGTTCGCTCGGAATTTCTGGTAGATAAGAATCTAAAAATCGAATCCGCAAAGGTTCAAACTCCATATCAATTGTAGATTCATTAAAGACAAGCTTGTTTTTGCGATCAAAGATGACTTCCTTAAAATCACAAATCTTTATTTCTCTGTCCACAGGTGTGAATGTAATATTGTTTCTGATATTACAATTCAAGGGCTGAATCGCATTTGCAGTGCAAATTGCACATGACAACAATAGAAATAAACTGAAATAAATTCCATGTAATGATTTGATTATACATAAATATTTAAAGTACGCTTACAGTTTCATTTTTCGATGTTATCACAAGCACGGTCGAAGCTAAACTGAACTCATACTCAGCAAGTTTCAAAGTTGTCGAAAATTAAATTAAAACAGAAGCTCACTTGTGATAACAAAGAATTGTATAATTTAATTGAAACGACCCTGAACATAATTACTTGTTCCGTTGGAGAAGAGAATCTTAGGAAATCGTTTAAACTATGCTACACTGTGTGGTCGAATGACAGAGTGAAATGAAACTTTTTTATTTTGACAGAGTGATCAAAAATATTCCCCAAAAATTTTTTTTTTGTTTATCTATGCATAAATCATAACTAAATAAAAATAATTACAGCTCGACAATGAATGTTCATCAATTTTATTACATATCGTTAAGAATAAATGTATAAAAGGATCCAAACTTGAATAATTTTCACCATAACCAGCTGTCACCTTAAAAATATAACACAAAAAGTGGAAAAAGTCAAAGCTTGAAAATGTTTCAAGTTCAAAGTCAAAATATTTGGATGAAAGATTCAAGTGAAGATATTGGAAAAGACAAGAAATTTAGCTTCAAAGATGAATTGTATATCTTCTTGGAAAATACGATTTGTCATTGTTATCGTCACATGGCACAAGTTGATCGAACAGTGATTGAAAGGTGCGTGAGATGCAGAGAGAAACTTAAAAAGAATCTCAAATAATTCTCGTTCGATATTTAGATTGATGTGGTTTTGTATTCACGTGTTTGGACTTTCATCATGGATTTTTTTCACGACTACATTATTTGCAAATTTCACTCGTAATCCATTAATTACCACGCTCTATGATACTGTTTATCCGGTGAAAAATATTCCATTTCCTGCCGTAACAATTTGCAGTAAAAATCGAATCTCACGAGAACAAGCTGAAATATACGCTAAAGAATTGTATGTTCGAAATTTATTAATCAATTATTTATTAAATCAATTATTTTCGACATTTAGAAGCTTGAAAGATCCTCAAGGTCGAAGTGAATTTTATTTTCTACGTGAACTAATTTACCTTGGACGAATCTATGATTTTGAGACAGAAAATGAACATCTCGTTACAGCATTTCAACAATTTTTGGATCAGACAACTGACAAAAACCTTGCGAATTCAACATTTGAAAGTTTAATTGAAAGAGTTGGGAAAAAATATTTTTTTATTATCAAATTTTCTTGCATCAAATGTGAAATTTTCTCTTCTTTCAGTTGAATCCGAGTTGTGAGAAAATATTATTGAAATGCTTCTTTAAAAGTAAGGAATATAAATGCATGTTTGAGTTCCAAATGATTGAACAGAGAAAGAGTGCTTTGGGGTTTTGTTGTTCATTTAACTACATCAAAAGAAATATTGACAATCCAATGTAAGCTCATTAATTGTTGACTTATCTTGAATTTTATTTTCTAAAATTCTTTTAAAAGGAATTCTCCTTATTATCCGACTGTTACTGGTCCCGACATGGGTCTAATTGTCGTTGTCAACAATACAAGTGATGACTACTTCTACAACATTTTTAATTCAGTTGGATTAGCTGTAAGAGTTTGTTTGTTTTGAAAAAGGAAATTATCGAATTAAAGTTGTTATAGATTTTAATCCACAATTATAATGAGTACCCCGACCCAGGCAGTGGAAGTGCACTTGAAAGGTTTGTAAGTCCAGGTCAGGAGATTTTTTTGCGAGTCGATAGCGTCAGCATTACATCCGAACGCGACATTCTCAATTACAAAGCTGAAAAACGTCAATGCTTGTTTTCTGATGAGAATCGTCAATATGGTGGAAAATATACAAGAAGCGATTGTTTCCTCAACTGCAAGATTCGAAGCGTCAAAGCACTTTGCGATTGCATTCCATTCAGTTTCCCTCAAGAAAACGCTCACAGTGAATCTTTGAAGACTTGCACACTGCAACACGTTCCATGTTTGAATAAGTATAAAAGTGAGTAACAATTTTTTACATTTTCTTAAAAAAGTTTCAGAATAATAAAAAATAATTTATAGTCAAATGGTCAACGATAATGTCGGAAATGATTGACATTGATGGACTGCAACGAGAAATGGAAGAATCTTTGTTATGTCGTGAATGTTACCCGACATGTTCCGATAGCAAATATCGAGTGACGACTTCCATCCTTCCACTCGTTTTTAACAATAGAACAGGATTTGGAATCACGTGAGATAAATTATTCATTTGAATTGATAAAAGTATTAACAAAATATCACTCAGTAATCACATTAAGAATGTTTCTGATATATCGGTCATTCGAGTGTTCCTTGGTCAACGGGAAACTTGGCAGTACAAACAAGATGTTGCTTTTTATTGGTTTGAAATATTCAGTAAGTCATTTGTCTTGATTCTTTTATTAATTAATTTAAGTGTCTTCTCTTAATTAAGGTAATATTGGTGGACTTTGTGGTGTTGTAGGAGGATATTCATTGATTGGCTTCACAGAGATGATTTACTTTGTATTGAAACAATTCGTTTTGTATGTTTTAAGAAAGTCAAACATCAATCGCAAGACGGAGGATTTTCAGATTTATCCTTAAATTTTTGATGTGCAAAATCTTATCACACACGCAAGGAATTATGCAAATTATAAAGTATTGATTGTCATTTTGAGAAACCAATGAATATATTTATCCAACACATTTTAATAACATGCAAATAAACTTGAAATATTTTATCAAAATTTTGTGTGTGTTTCGATTTCATTAAATAATATTTATTCAAAGTCATGGTCTATCTAAACAAACGTTGCAAATGTCTTCGTTAGTATTCGCCGGAATCATTAAGTAGATTAAAATTATCTGATTACATATCTAAAACATAAATTTCAGTACACTCAAGTCGGAAGAATTTATCAACACATTGAACAGTTTTGGTTGAATGACATCAAAATTCTTATCAATTTTAGATAATGATGTTCTTATCATTTAATTTGTTTTGGTATTCTCTCAGTTGTTTTCTAGATTTCAAAACATTCAGGTGCTTTACGTAATTTTATTTTCAAAAATAAAATGGGAAAAGATGATTGGATTTTCACACTTCCTCTTGAAAATGAAGTTCAAAGTGAAAAGGATGACGATGGAAAGTCGGAACAGAATAATAAAGGAGTGATAGTTCATATTGATCCTCCGGAAACTAACAAATTACTTCAAGGTCAAAGCGACAGTAAATTTTCAGCCCGATTATCGACGAGTTTCAATCAAATCAAATTCACGTGGCTTATGATAAGATGGCACATATTGTTGTATTTAGTCATTTGGGGAAATCTTTGGGCAATATTTCATTTTGGTTTTGATATTCAGCAGCAAAAGATTATTTTACAAGCTTTATCGTTTTGTGATGATTGGAGACAATTAATGTTTTTCTTGGGAGTTTATCAAGCGTTTGCGGTGAAAAAAGTCAGTGACGTGAGTAGTGTGAGTAAAGTTTTCGTTTTTGTTTTTCATTGAAACAGAAAATTCAATGAGTGATAAAATACATTTTAGCATATTCCACCAACTGATAAAATTGCAAACCTAGTCTCGATTGCCATTAAAAATTACGTGAGTTGCAAATAAATTAGTTTCGAGGTGAGTTTGAAATGAAAATATTTTTTAGAGAGTGCAGAAGGGGATCATGAAATATGTCACATCTGCTATTGCAATGGTGTTTAGTTTTCTATCGCCAATGGTTTTTAATCGTCTGAAGTCATCTGAGAATAACACTCGAGCCAAACTTGAAGTACAAAGTCAAAAACTTATTGAAAAAACCAAAGACAAACTTTTGAATGTTCATTCAGGACATTTCATGCCAATTAAATGGGCACTGCATGCAGTTTATGAAGCCAAATTGAAACAGGAAATTGATGAAAAGCTCGTGAACACTCTGATAAACGAAATTAATCATCTTCATACTCAATGTGATCGTTTAATTAATTTTAAACATGAAGGATTTTCATGGGGTTTGACAACTGGAGTTAAGATTTCTTTATACGCATTTTTTGTTATCGGAGCAGTAAGTAAATTTATTCTGAGTCATTGGAAAAAGTATTGGCATTGTTTTGTTTTAGATAAGACAACTATCAAACGGTCTCGAAGAGAATCATTCGAAATATATTCTTGCAACAGCTCTTATCATAAATTTTCTGGTATTCTTATTTTTTGTGATCATTCTGAGGTGTGCAGAACAAATTGTGAAGCCGTACAATGATCAACATGATGTCTTTGAATTGAACAGAATTCTTGATGAAAAAATTCATGTTGCGTCGTTTGTGCTTAATAAAGAGAACGATTTGAGAATAAGAATGAAGCAAGAAGACAACGCATTAGGAATGGCAGCAAAATTATTTGACTGAAAAGTTTCTAAAGAGATTATTAAGATCTTTATGTTTGTAATGTACTTAGTTATTATAGAATCAATTATACTCCAATATTTATTTTATAAACTTGTTAAAATAAAAAAAATTCAACATTTTTCACCATAACTATCCAATTTAATTTAACGTCGATTTAAAATTCAAAAAATAAGTTCGAAAGTTCGAAATTGCATTCTCAGATGTAGATTACAATATTTTGTGACTTTGTTCGACTGTACAATTGACTTCGAGATTAATATTAACATAACTATTTCAAAATTTACATACAAAAATGGTTAATAATGAATTACTATCGAAGCTAGAGGATGTTGCAGATCAGGTAAGCAGAACAGTTGCATGGAATTTTCTTTAAATCACAAGAATATTAAAGTTCGTTTAACAAATTCCACATCATCAAAATACAAAAACTTCACTTTCTCGCGTAACGAACAATTGTCATTTTCATCCTTTGTTTTACATCAAATACAATCATAGGGAATGACTAGTCTTAATCATTTATATTCTTTGTTATGCTAGGTTCAGAGAAAAGGAAAACGGGTTCTGCCGACAATTGCTAGACTTTGTCTTATTGCAACATTCTTAGAAGATGGAATTCGTATGTGGGTACAGTAAGTATTAACGAAATGAGGTTTCATGAGGTCAAAATTTCCATTAATTACTTATCCTTTCAAGGTGGAACGAGCAAAGAGAATACATGAACATGTCGTGGAATTGTGGAAAGTTTTTAGCTACTGTTTTTGTTCTTTTGAATTTAGTTGGACAACTTGGTGGTGTTGTGATGGTTCTTGCTCGTTTACGTGTTCAGATTGCTTGCGGGCTTTTATTCTTCATCGTTGTACTTCAAGTAAGACTTTTCTTTAATTTGTTTTGATCGTTTCAATCAACAGGTGACAATTTACTTTAATTTTTTAGACAATTGCTTATTCAATCCTTTGGGATCTCCAGTTCCTTCTAAGAAATTTGGCTCTCATCGGTGCGCTTCTTCTTGTACTAGCAGAATCCCGAGGTGAAGCAAGATCGCTTTTTGCAGGCGTTCCAAGCATGGGTGAAAACAAGCCAAAGAACTTTATGCAACTCGCTGGCCGAATCTTATTGGCTTTCATGTTCATCACTTTAATAAGATTTGAGCTGAGCTTCTTCCAAATCGTACAAGACATTGTCGGATCAATTTTAATGGTTCTTGTTACAGGTAAAGAGTGGAAATAATTTTCTTAATCTTATCATAATCAAAACGTGTTTTTTTTCTTATCTTTCCGCAAATAGTCGGCTACAAAACAAAACTCTCAGCTCTGATTTTAGTCGCTCTCTTGACAGTTCTTAATCTTTATCATAACGCATGGTGGACAATTCCTTCTTACAAACCTCTTCGTGATTTCTTAAAATATGACTTTTTCCAAACTTTATCAGTCATCGGTGGATTGCTCATGATTGTGAATCTTGGTCCAGGTAAAATGAAGTTTTTCTTCTATGAAACATTTAATTAATTTTTGTTCTCGTCATTTCAGGCGGTGTTTCAATGGATGAACATAAAAAGAAGTAAATCAACTTTGTAACTTCCATTTGTTCTTTCAAACTCGGATAATTCGCTTTGAATCAAGCTCAATCATGTCATTCAATGTTAACTTAACTTCAAGGCGATTAATTAGATCGAGACGAGTAACGTTTCTTATTTTTTCCTCCTTTTAACCCTTTGTATCTATTTCCACAACTCCTGGTGAAGTTTTTCTTTTTTTATGTCTTATACAAAATGTTGGATTTTCAATTTTTATTTCAAATTAGATATTTTAAGTAGGGACGAGACCTTTTTGTTGAATATTATAATAGTTTTTGATGATCAAATGTGAATGGTTCTAAAGTGATTTTATGATTGAGTGACGAATGAAATTGCGACAATTGTCATTTCATTTCTTCACCAATAATGAAAACGAGCACAACAAAAGCACTATGGGAATGAATTTTTATTTCTCACGTGCTTAGTTAAAAGTTAAAAATTAAATTTCCATGTCGATGAATGTAAATATATGAAAATTATTATCAGACGTTTGTGACATTGCAATTGTCACGACTCATGTAATGCTCTAATTAATCATAACACTTTAAGCCAACAAAAACCTTTCATCCACCTCAGTAAGACTTAAATTGTCCTTTTTTAAAGAAAAATAAAAATCGTTTAACCATCGTTTGTCGTGTAAGTTCTATAATTAAAAAATTACTGGAACAAAATTCCATTTAAATATCTACACAAGAAAAAAAACAAGAGAAAAAGAAAATTATTTAATAAAAACGTTTATATTTTCCATTTCATAAAAACATTGAAGAACATTTTGAACAAAAAATGATTTTTTGTGTTGTTTTTTTATTATCTAATGGGGAGAAACTTTACAAGGGATATGAGAGCTTTGTCAATGATGATGATGATCGATGATGATGATTGTTGATGAACTTTTTCTCCATTTAGAAATAAACGATCAGATTATTTTCTGTTGATCCGTTAAGATCGAGTGATCCACTGACATCATTTTTCTGGAATAAAATTAAATAATTTTGCAACTGACAATAAATGATCTTTAATAAAATTAAAGCTTTTACTTGAAATTCTTCATGTTGCCAACTAAGCTTTTTATTTCTCGGATCAGTGGCTCGATTCATGTCTCTTGTTGTTGTGGTTTCTGAATTGCTTATCGAATCTTTTTCGATGTCATCATTTTGTGGTGGCTGAGTGTAAAATCTTCCACGATATCCTGACCTTGCCAAAGCTCCAAGGGTTTGAGCTTGCGCATCGATGGTTGCAGCGATTGATGAAGCACCAGGAGAAAGATTACTTCCTGCATGAAGGAAATTCAACTGTTCTTGAGTTGAATCTATCATGTGGCCATTCATTAAGCGCTTCTCTTGACTTACAAGGCCAGCTGATGATTGCATCGAAGATGGTAGATTGCTATGAACTTGACTTGATTTTCTATGCAAAAAAACAAGAAGATAAAGAAACAAAAAACAGCGGAAATATTTTAATCTTAAGTTTAATCATTCATTTTCTTCATTATTTAATTAATTACCGTTTGAAAATAAAGATTGAAATGAGAATAACAACGAATACAAAAATAATGAAGACTGCAGCAACTAAACTGAATAAAGAAGGAAAGTGCGCTTGTGATGTTTCTGCTTCCATCACTAATGTGACTGGAACTGTCGTCGTTCTTTGTCCAGAATCGGTTGCAGTTGCAATCAAACTCAATTCTTTCTTTATGAAACCTTCCAATGGATCTTTCAACCAAATAACACCATTGGGATCGATGACAAAATGTGATGCATATTGACCACGAAGATTGAAGTTTATGTTCTCTCCACGATCACCATCTGCTGCTTCAATCTTCCCAAGAGCCATTGGAGTTGAAATATTCATTACGTCACGCGACGGGAATCGAAATCTGTAATACGGTTGTCGAAAGCGCGGATCCCACTCGTTAACATTCAAAACATCAATGATGACTTGGCATGTTGCATTGCTTATGCCGTCGCTTGCCATAACGCGAAAAACATGACGAATCGCTTTTTCATAATCGAGCGCTTTCTTCAAAATTACTTCGCCAAATTGTCCGATTTCGAAGATCTCATTTTGGGCTTTGTCGAGAATCGTGTATTGAAGATATCGTTCGGATGGTTTATTAGTTGGTAGAGCGATGAGACGTGCACCTGCTGGAACGTCTTCTCTTACTCTTGCTTCATATTTCGGTTGAATGAACTGAATTTTCGGTGTTCGATCAATGTTAACATTTGTGCTGCTTGTTCCGGCTATTTGATCATTTCTTACAGTTTGTTCATTACGAATATTTTCTTCATATTTTCCGCCCCCACCACCACCAACAACTCCACCATTACTACTACCAGCTCGCATTATTGTCAAAGTGGCAAGAGCGTATCGATCTTTGTTATCAACTTGAGTTGCCTTCAAAACTAAAGTCGTCTTTTGAACCTCAAATGATGTTATTAAATCAATGTCACCTGTTTTTGGGTTAATTGAGAAATATCGCGATTCGGGTGATGGATTAATTGAGTAGCGAATTTCGGCTTGAAGACCATCATCTTGATCCCACGCTCTGATTGATTCCGGATAAATTCTTAGTCTTCCAATTTTTCCAAGCGGTGGGAATTCAGACGTATAAGAATCGTATTTGAATTTTGGATTTTGATCATCAGCATCAGTTATGAAGACACGAAGAAAAGTGTCGGAAAATTTCGGTGGATTTCCTTGATCTTGTGCACGAAGTTTAACAGTGAAATTTTTAAGTTGTTCATAGTCGAGTGATTTCTTCAACTGTAAAGTTCCCTCAAGTGGATTCACAAAATCCACGTAATCGGAGAACGGACCTGGCAAGACCTGATACTCAACAGTTGAATAAGGACCAGGTTGATCAGCGTCAACAGCACGGGCACCTTGAAGTATCCTTGTGCCTTTAACTGTCACTTCTGAGAGATTTATTGTGTAAGGTGCACCAATCCATTTTGGATTATTATCATTGACATCTTGTACACGAATATTTACAGGAATTATAAAGCTTGGAATTCCATCTGAATGTTTACGATCACAAACAACATTAACGTAAACCGAAGCGGGTCCAAGTTCACCTTCTTTATCTAACTTCGACGTAAGAATTAAATCTTTTGTGCCAGGGTCAATTGCTACTGGAGCATTACGATCACGTTCACGTAATGATAAATTTATATTTCCATTTGGCGATGGATCGCCATTAATCTTTAATTGTCCAATCACAGAATCAACACGAATATCTTCACTGACGATAAAGTTCTCAGCCGATCCACCATTTTCAAGATAACAACGCGAGTCTAATATCGGCAACTGACCTGCACTTAAAACTATTTCTATAGCTAACACAATAAGCCACTTTGGATACATTCTTTGATATGAGTTTTTGAGAATTTTTTATCTCCAATTTGTTTAAATGTTTTGTCACTTTTTATCTGCCATAACAGCAACATTAATCTTAGTTTTCAATGAAAGGTCACGCCTGTCCACATTTCTAATTTTCAACAAATTTACAATAAAGAAAATTCAACTTGGAAGTGTCGACTGTTACATAATTGTTGTTCATAAGCGCACATCGAATTCGGTTGCGAATTTTCATGTACAATTTTAGGTAACAACACCGTGTTGCACTTTTCCTTTGTCTCGCTCGTGATTTCGGTTGAAAAGCAAATATTTATACTTAATCAAAGGCATAAAATCAACAATTTTCCTGAGTTCATGCGTGGATTATTTGAAGTGTCCGCACTTTTACTCTCGCAACCAGCCAGTCGTTGTTGTCAGGTGAAAGCCACAGCGTGTCTTGTTCACTTTTATTTCTTTCTTCATCAATTAATTTTCTTTCTTCGCTGGAAAATTCAGCAACACGACGATGTGGAATTTCAGTGATGTGACGAAGCGCTTGAACTTCTCTTTTTTCCGTTGAAGTTCGCATTCCACTAAAAGCCAATTGGAGCTCCGTTTATTTCATGCTCATCAAGCGAGACCAGCGACTTCTTTTATTGTTATTTTCAAAGCTTTTCTTTCTTTTTAATTGTTTTCAAGCGAGAAGTACTTTTGATTTCTAGAAATCGCAAACTACATACAAAACTGTTGTTAGAAAGAAGCACTACGCGAAATATTGTTCTTCTTCGCAAAACAATCTTTAATAATAACGAAACATTTACAAGTAGGTTTATGTTGAATGCGATTTGCTAAAGAAAGTTCGATCGTCACGGTGTGATTGATATCTTCGACTATGAGACAATTTTCATAACTTGAAAATTTTTATTAATTTTCACTTATTATTTTGTTTTGATTTTCACAAGTTTTCCAATTTTTTTGTTTCTGGTTAGATGAAATTAAATTTATTTATAATCACTTCAATGTTTATTGATGGTTTGGAAGAAGAAAATGCAACAAAGTAACACTCCCATGCACATTTCTAACCCGTTCTGGTTCTATACATTTATGTGTCAACATCAAGTGCATCACGACACCGATTTACAAAATGATTCAATGATAGTAAAGTCGAAAGAAAAAAACTGAAATAATTTCATCATAAATATCTACATAACTGAAAGCAACGTTTTTGCTACACATCATAATGAATCATCAGTCAGTTGCTTTACTTTTACATGTTACAACTTATATCGTAGCATATCAAAATAAAGAAGATTCAAAAACTGTTAGCTGTTATTTATTTATGAATGTTGATGAAAATTTATAAGCTTCTTAAGGCCACAAAACGTTCTTTTCTTTTTAACCGTTTTATCTTGCAAAATTAGGGAAAAACAAATTTAAGTAACAAAACATCCAACTGGTAGATCGAATTGAATCATTTCAAAGCATAAATAAGCTTGAGAGTTGTTCTTTGATGAATTTTCTACACCACCATTAAAATTCATTCGATATCGATCATCATTAGTACATTAATATTAAAAAAACTTTAATTGGATCATGAAAATGGATCCGATCTTCTTTTCTCTTGTTTACAAATCACTATACGCGCACTCTCGTCTCACTGTCCGATTCACCATGTGTATCTAATATTTTCGATACGCTTTAGTAATTATTTAAATTGATGTTGAATTCTCTTTTTTTCCATGTGTCCGATCATCGGAGGGAATTGTTAAACAACAGAAGAAAAAAAACATAAAGCAACGTTCAAAAACACGACTGACTGCGTTGAAGTAAAATGCAAAACTAAAATTGTGTGCTTAGCTTGAGAGCCGGGAAAGGGAAGAAACTGAAAAAAAATTGAAATAAAACAACAACAACCGCTCTTCGTTTCAAAGTATAACTAAAAGTTTTTTTTATTTTATTTGTGGTTGGTTTTGATTTCTATAACAACCATAGCAGTGTCGGCGATTCTTAATGGCATTGTTGACATCTTTGTATGGTAACTTTTAATTTCATTTCACATTCAAACTTCTTAATATTAAATCACACTTAAAACAAAAACATAAAATTATATAAATTCGACGTTACTGATGAAAATTTCTAAATGGAAACGACCGAACTTTTTGTAGTTCGCTTTCAGGTATCGTCTTAAAAATGAAAACTACACACATTGTTATAAGCCATTTTTACGGAAATGCACTCAAGCGGAAACTAAAGAAGTTGAAAATGTTGCGATGAGTCGACGTTGGTGGTGAATGAAAGGAAGTCGAGTCATGACGAGAGAAGGCGAAGGGGAGAAATGGAGACAAATAGAAGTGAAAGAAAAGCAACAAACGAAAAAATATTTACGGCAAACAACAATCAAGTTGAAGGATGGGAAATTAAAGTTTTTTTTATTTATATGGACGGAGAGGTTCTTCACCTTTCGCGCTTTTTATTAAGTAATGCAAATTTATATCATCGATCGTCCATAATATGACCTGATTTTTCGTTCCCTTCATTAGCATTTCGCGTTCGTCCCAGTCACCCCCTTTCGGCTTCTTTTCTCTTGTTTTTTTGGTAAAAATAATTTCAGTCAAAGTTCTGAGCGTGTTGTAAATGTTGGCTTGGGAACCTAATTAGCATATTTGACGCGGTTTAAAGAATTTATTTCTAGGCCGGTGGTTTCATAGCCGGATGGACATTGAGAAAATTAAACAATGTCTTAAAGTGTTTGCTTCAGAAGTATTTTAAACACAAAACATTAAAAATATTCACTCGATTTATTTATTTGGTTTTTTATGGGTTTGAAATTTCCTGTGACTAACTTTATTTAGCCGTTGAAAAGTTCTACTCACCTACTACCACTCAACATGTGATGAGCACAACACATCAGACAATCATCACAATCAATGACTAATTTTTCAAAATTCGTATTAATTAAAGCTACCAAAATGTAAAAAAATGAACACCAGCTACGATTCTATTCTAATTTAATTTCATTCATTTCAATTCACTGACTCATCACTTGCTTCGGGAACAAATTTCTGCAACAGATTGTAACTTCCGTGTTTGATGTATTTGAAGGAAACAAAAGGTATGTAAAATGCGCGATAAATTGGATGTGACATTTGAGCGTTGAGAAAGGGAAGTTCCTTTAAGATTGTCCAATGTTCAGTGTCGGCTGAATAATTTGGCTCCAAGGGCGGATGAGTCTTTGTGTTGAGATCAAGATCAACTAAGAAATCGCACTTTTCAATGTTCTTGAAGTACATGAAAGAATTTTCTCTGTTCATGTCATTGAAGTAATGATGAGTCATTTGTGTTGCATTCTCGTGATTGCTGTAATAAGCTGGAAGAATTCCACGGAATTCCGACTTCAAGAACCTGATAGAGTAGCGAGTTGAAGGTAGAAAGAAACTTGACGGGAAACGATACCATTCCTTGCCAATACAGATGTTTATCGGTTCCTTTGAATTTGGATCTTCAAGGATGTCTCTCGATGTACTCAGCTCCATAAATGTATCCATCGGTGCATGATAATTTCGATAAATCGCTAGAATTCTCGAAACATTCAAAAGCACCGACACAATGACAACAAACACAGTAATGAAAGTCGTGTGATTCAAATAGTGCGTCGCTGAATTTATCTTCACAATTGCGCTTTTAATTCTGAAGAAAATCTTTTGGCAAATGTCGAGTGTGATGGCACCGCAGAGACTGATGAGTGGATAAACAGGAAATAAAAATCTTTCTTCTTTGTGAGGTTGAATCATCATCACAGCTAACCAAAGATAAAATGGTGCAAGACTTAAGTAGTAAGGAAGTGTCAATGTTGTTTGTTTTGTTCTTGATGGCACGGCAACATATCCGATGATAATGAAAAGTGGAGTCATTAACGACATCAGCCAAATTATGTTGAAGTTGAGAAATCCATTAAAAATGTAGAAGGTGAAGGGTTCAGTGCCATACAAGGTTGGACCGCCGTCTTTCTTAAACACGTTATACAGAACAATGTTGACTGGCGCCATCACCAGCTTTCCAAAGTACGATGAATCCAAAATGATCATCGGCAGGAGAATTGTCACACCAGAAATGATTGACCAGAAGATGAAGATTCGAATTTGCTTTTGATTTACCAGAATATCATAAATAATTGGAATTGAGATTAATCCAATGAAAGGCCATCCAAGTAACACTGAAATGGCTGTGAAGAAAATGGCGAGCTTGTATTTTTGATGCCACCATGCTGCCAATGCTGACATAGTGAAGTACATTGAGAACGAGCTGGGTAAGAGAGCGGCTGATGAAATGAACATCCCAGCACTGAATAGTTGAAATACCAGCCAAGATCGTCCGATATGAACTCCAAATTCACGACAAACGCCTCTGTAATCAAATTTCATTATTTAATTTAATTAATCTTTACTTAAATCGAGGTAATGACTTTAGATATTCTGAATAGTTAGAAAAACTATTTTTAATCTGATGTTTTGTTCCAATTTTCATTGTAATGAAATGAATAATAAAAAATTTCTCACTTGTAAAAATAAACTTCTGCAAGTGCGCATCCAAGTCCGAGTAAAAGTCGAATAAAGTAGAATATCAACATTGGATTGGGATCAAATATTTGCTTGTAGATATATGCAGGCGCTCCATGTATCATCAGATAAGTGTAAGATCGCAATGCAAAATCCGGCGAATATTCCCAAGTTTGGAGGCCTTTGTTATACAACAAATAGTGAAGCGGCTCCCAATAATTAAAAGTTTCATCACAGTCGGTAATATGACACCAAATCGATGCACAAATCCTTGCTGATAAGAGTGCTTTAAATGCCACATCAGCTGATGGAAATATTGGTGGCCGGACGGGTCCAGTTGTAGTCAAACTTCTAAAAATGGAAAAAATAAATAAAAATGTAAACAAATACAGAAAACAAAGAAGAACAAACTTAATGCTTACTTTTTTCTGAAACTTGAACTTATTGCCGCTTTTCCAGTGGGTTTTAAGCTGTCCTTTCTTTTCTTCATTCTATTATCAAGATTGTTTTGAAAAATATTTTCTTTCTCTTCGCAACCTTAAAATATTACAGTCGAAGTTCTTTCTTTTAATAATTCCATAAATTTCTTATTGAGGCAAAAATTGCTTTGTAAAAACATTTTCATAAATGCAGTTTATAAGTAGAAGAGAAAATTCATTTAAAAATGTTTGTTTCATTCAAAATATCGAAAAACCTCACACACATCTTGAAAGTTGTTCACATTCCATATAAAGAATGTTTACTGTAACTGGAGTCGTGTGCAGGGAGTAAAACTACATTTTACTTTTTATGTTGTTGCTGTTCTCTTTTCAGAAAGAAGAAAATTTATCACCAACTCTTTTAACGCGATTTTTAATTAAATTATCGATGATGACGAATCTGTTGAAGTGAGAAAAGACAAGAAAAAAGATGTTCCATTAAGGGATTAGTGTGCTGTGTAATCATCAACAAGAAACCTCGTTGATATCAATTGAAAAATCGAAATCTGAATAAGGAAAAATCTTTCGTCATTAACAATTATGGTTTTATTAACTGTTTGTTATATGGTTTCGACAGGATTTCAATCATGGAGATTGAGATTGATTTATCAGAAGGTTCATAAAGTGCTGGATGCTAAGAAATCTGTTGTCTTCCTAAAGACATCCGATGGATCCAGTGCTGGTAAAAAATAAATGTTTTTCTATGGAAAAATTAAATAACAAAGCAATAAATTTAATCACAGGAATAACAGCGGCTCTTGCAACATCAGATCTTTGTGTCAATTCAAGTGAAGCTGTTGTTGGTGAATGCTTTTGGTCTAACGATGTCTCACAAGGAATTTCTGTGTCACCAAAACAAATGATCTTTATGAATCCTTTCGTAACTTTTCCTCAACCTCCGAGCTATATTCCTTTCAAAACAACTACCGATGAAGCTCCAGGAATATACAAGGATGATGTCATTTACACTTTGATTGAAGCTGATCTTATCCAAGCTCCCGAAAATCAACAATCTCTTGAGGTAAGTTGCAAGTTTGCGAGTTGAAGCCAATTCACGAGTCGTGTACATAAGTTTTCTAATCATAAACCTGTGAATTGCTTTCACAAGTTGCTAATTTATAACTCAAGACCCCTTATGAATGAATGACTCAATGATTTTGTATCTACACATAGATCGAAACATTTGGTAAGCTGATAGCATGGAAAGTTGATACTCGACTTGCAATTCTTTTGAAAACCGACTCGAGAAAATTATCGCAAATGATTTTAAGTACATTCGTACAAAACAATTACGCAATCAATGATTCGTTGCCATTAATGAGAATTCAAACAGTTGAAATCGAAGGAGTTCCTCAAGATTTTGGTGACATTTATAATCATTCGAGGAAAGATCATTTAACATCGCAAGCTGATGTGACGACGGAAGAAGAATGGGAAATTCATCTTGATGGACTTAGAAGTTTGAGTCGATTAGCAAGTCAAGCTACGGAATATGAGCAAAAGAAGAACTTGACGGAAGGAAAGACTGGTATCGTTCAACCAGATCTTATCTCATCGAAAACTATTGAGGAAAGTCTCTTGAATACTGTAACATCACCCGACACGCCAAAAAAGAAACTTTTATCACTTGAAAAAACTGACGAGAAAATTAAAGGATTGAAAGTTGAATTAAAACGTCAAGAAATTCTCAAATCGCCCATCGCTCCAAATTTACCGTCATTTCCTGAACAAAATGGCAGCATTTCTGATCAGAAGAAAATTGAGGCAACAACTCCAGAGTCCCCAAAGTTTCCAACAGCAACTCCGTCAAAATCACCCAATGCGTCAATTAAAAGTAAAATTTCTAATGAACCTCAATCACCGAAATTCCCAACAGGATCACCAGCTAAAATGCCAGTGTTTGCTGAAGATAAGAAACCCAAAGTCGTTAAAGTTCAGCCAAAGGTTGAAGTAGAAAAAAAATCGCCAAAACCTACGATTAAAAATGAAACAAAAAGTTTAATTTCTGCTGAAAAAGAAGCTTCATCTGTTGCCACAGCAAATGTTGTTGAACCAAAAAAATCTGAAGTTAAATCGAAACCGATAAACTTACCACCCATAACAGCCGTTCCACCAAAGGTGACTGCACAAGAAATTGCTAAAAACGCTCCACTTATAAAACCAGCGACAACGTCACAACAAAAGAGACAAAAGTTGATGTTAGCTAAGCCACCAAATATTCTCGTGTATTCAGACAGCGTAACAACCAGAGACAATGTCATAAAAACTCTTGGAACGATCTTAGAGAAGCACACGTACACAATTTACCCCTTGAATGCACAACAAGTTAGAAATCAAATTTGGTTGGATAACACAACATTGCTTGTTGTTTGTGGATCAGTTAATGGATCTGACATTGGTTCCATTTTCCTGGAATATTTCTTTAAAGGTGGGAAGGTTCTTTGTTTGTGTTCAGATTTATTGGGACATGTTTTGCCGACTTATCACACAGCTGAGGTAAATTACTGAACTTTATTTAATAAATCAGAATAAAAAGAGATTATTGAATTTCATTCAGGTCCGTGAACATGAACTTGTTCAATTTTCTTATGGGAAATGGAAGAACATTAAAATGATGCATCACATTTTCTGTTATCAACCTTCGCCAATCAAGAAGAACTTCTCACAGGAGAGTGATGAACCACCAATGGAACGTCCATCGTCAGCGTCTGAAAACCCGTAAGTTGTATTGTGACGATTAAATGTGAATGTGTGTAGTAAATGATGCATGAATTATTTATTAAGTCTTAATGTTTGACGCTTCACTTCAATTAATTTCATAATTGCTTAATTACGCACCAAACTCACAGTCGCCAATACGATAAGAATAGAAAGAAATTGGCTGTAGAAACTTCACAGTCTTTTGCACTTCTCTCTTCCTTCCAACTTTAAGTGTCTTAATCAGGGCTTGGAATTGTTTTTCAAATTTATCATTTTAGTTTCGATTCCTAGTTTTCCCCCAAATAGTTCTAGAAATCAATCTATTAATGTGCATAGAAATTAATCATCATTAACATTCATAGAAAAACATAAATTTTTGACTCTAAGCCCTGATGTCAACAACGCTTAGTTGTAATCTTATCTTAAACATAACAATTCGTTATCACAACTCTCTTAATTGACCAAACAAACGATCAAATCTCACATTTAATATTTTGTGGTCGTCTTTTTGATTGTGTGTTTCTTTTTCCTTTTTTTTCTTTGTATTTCTAATCTTTAATCGAACAAAAATCTGAAACAAAATTTGTGCAAAAAAAAAACTTTTTGTGGCAAAAACGAATCCTTTTTTGCAATTTTCAAAACACTTATTTTTGTAAATAAATAACAAATGAGCTTAGACTGCTAGTCTTACTAAGGTCTGTGGAGCTGAAGGATCAATATGGTGTTGGACATAACATTCGCGTTCAAACTTTGGGCACTGAAGACACGTGGAAAACTCCAAGCCTCTTGTTGATTTACACTGAAAATGGAGGAAAAATTATTTTCTCACAGGTTCGTCAACATTTAATTCTATTAAAATTATACAAGATCATTAAAATATTTATTCTGAATTTTAGATACATTTAGAAGTTGATCCATCGTTGTATGAAAATGACGAACAAAAATATAAAGTTTTGATGAGTAATGATGGATTACGACATGAAATTTTCGGCGATGTTCTCAGCTCACATCTAGACTTGAAAGTCAATTTGAATGATGAAAATACACCAACGTTCACTAAAGGATATTTTCTAGGACGACATGAAGTAATTAATTTTAAATTTCTTTCAATAAAAACTTTTAACATTTTCTGATAAATTTTAGTTGAAATTTGAAGTTGTTGAAGCATTGAAAGAGAAGATGGAAACACCAAACACGCTTAAACTTGATGGATTAACAGTGAAATTCTGTGGTAAAGGAGAAGATCCTCCCACACCCGACGCTCACTGTTTACCGATAATGATGCACACATGTCCCGACGACTTCTCAACTTTGGATTATTTTGATGTCAGTAAAATTCATTGAAATATTTAAATTTAAACTAACAATTTCCTTTTCATCGACAGTCTTTAAAAACTGAACATATTGGTCGACTTTTGGTTTATTCAAAAATTCTTACGAGTTCATCGATTCTTGTCGATAAAATAAAATATTGTCATGGCTTTGCTGTAATACCAAAGGAATTGACACAAGCTTCAGGTCGTGGGAGTAACAAGGTAAATATTCGCATTCACAAAAATATTGAAAATTAATTTGTTCTCTTTTTCTAGTGGTTGAGTCCACCAGGAAGTTTGATGTTCTCCCTTCAACTTCATATCCCATTGAACAGTCCATTAGGTCAAAGAGTTTCCTTGATTCAACATATGATTGCAACTGCAGTTGTTATGGCGATTCGCAAACTTCCAGGCTATGAGGTAAGTGAAATTTTAATTTTATTTGAGCACCCACGTATGTGACTTTAGACAGCTGTAAAAATAACAGAAAAGCAAACACTGCGGAGATAATTTTTAACTAACATTTTATTTTCATGATCATTTTCTATTCTTCTTATACAAGCTTGAATTTAATTCATTTCTGGTATCAACATTTTCATTCCTTTTTATGGCTTTCATAGATATCATTTAGTTTACAATCTTTTCTCAAGGAAATTTTCCTTCCTTTTAATTTACTTTTATTCGCGAATAATTGTTTCAAAGTCTCCTTTTTGTGATAAAAGTTTGTGATGATTTCATTTCATGTTTTCAAAATATTTATATTTAAATTTTTAATGGAATGGGCGGGAATACAACATGATCGATAAATTTTCTTCTTCTAAATGAAAATATATAATTTTGTCAGATGTGATAAACTAAAATTTGATTGTGAATGTTACTCTGACTTTAATATTTGCATTGAGGTAAATATTTAGCCAACTAGAAAGAAATCTTTCGATGCTTTTTTTATCAATTTTTATTCCATTCTTCTTTTCGCTTGAGATCGCTGTTCGATGAAACTTAAACATTAAACTGACTAGAAAAAAGTTTCCATTGCTCTTGATTCTCAAGTCGTATCAAGTTTTTTTAATTTTTGTATGTAAAAATTGATTTTTTCCTTTATTCCTTCATCAACAACATCAGCATTTTCCCAAAAATTCAATGTTTATTACTTTTTCTAATCTATTTTTGAATTTTAACTTAATTAACTTTTGATGATATCAACATGTGATCATCAATCAAAAAAAGGAAAAGAAATTTACTTCTTTTTACTTGCGAATTAATCTTTTGTTTTTCTTCTTCACATTTCTTTCATTTCTGTGTTTATTTAATTATTTTTACCGACGAGGGAAAATCACAATATTTTACTTAAGTGTCAACAAATGTTTGCTTTTTTTAATGAAAGATTTATTTACAAAGTTAAACAGAGTGGACACAACACCATATGATGTGTACGTTTGTGTGTATGTGCTTTCTATTTACGCCTTTCTTTCGATTTTGGGGCGATAAACTTTTATTTTCTTTAAAAGATTGAAATTCCTAATTCATGTGCTCATTCTCAATATAGAAAGAAAGATTAAAGTTTTTCCTGCGAATTTTAATTGAAATATTGTTTTCCATTTCACTTTCTTTTAACATTCTTTTTTTGTGTCAATTTTGTGTGGATTTTTTCATATATTAAAACTTTTATTCTTCATTTTTTTTAAATATTACTATTATTTAATTGAATTTACATTAAACCAAAAAATAGACTTTCCGGTAATCTTTTAACAACTTCCTTGCATTTTGAGGAAGCATAGAAAAAAAGCATACTCAATCGACTATTCACGTGAAACAAGTTTTCCCAACGCATTATAAAGCTTTTCCACCTCCAAAATATTCATGATTTTACTCAACTCACGATCAACAAATTCTTTCTTTTCTATTCCTGAACATTATGATTTTAAATTTTTCTTCTTTAAATCTGTGAGAATTTTCTCACTTTTTATATTTTTTTTAATTTCAAATAGATTTGTTTTGGCACATCAAGAAATCAAGAAAATTAAAGTAAAATTTTTCATATTTTTCTTTCATTCTCGGTTAATTATTTATCGACTTGCTGGTTTCAAGTAGATAAGTAGGAGTTGATCTTTACACAATCTTTGAAATCTATTCTCAGAAATCTCGCAATTTAGCCATTTAACCATGTGATTTGCTATTTATATATATTTATATTTTTTTCCAATTGAATATTTACACAAAATGAAAATATTGTTTAGCAGAAGTGAAAAACTTCTTCAAGATTTTTCTTCAACCTAACCGAATTTTGTTTCCAAATCATTCTTTCATCAAACTTATAAACTCTTTTAAAAACTCACATGAGGATAATGGTAGCGCATTGAACTTATTAAATATCCCACACAACGTGACATGCTTCTGTGGTGGTTGTTGTTGAATTGTCCAAAACACCACCGTATTCCTTCTTCTAGAAAACTGATTCAGCTGATCGTGACAATTGAATTGGATGCGATGGTGATCTTGCAAGTCTTTTCTTCGGCAAACGTTCCAAAGTTGTAAACAATTGATTAAAGTCAGGCCTGTCATCAGCTTGAAATGACCAACACATCATGAGAATGTCTTTAACATCTCTCGATGCTTGAAGATTAGTAAGTGATTGCTTCATTCCACGACCAACTTGCCATATAACTGACTCTGGTGGTTGTGATTTAAATGGAAATTCGCCACACAGCAACTCATACCAAATCGAGCCAAAAGCGTATGCATCAGAAGATTTTGTGAATGGTAAATCCTCATTTGTTGGACGATATGGTTTAAGATTTCTTATCAATTCTGGAGCGAGATAGCATAACCAGCCACAAGGAATAGCGAGTCCCGTATCACAGTCATAAACGAGTTTCGTTACACTAAACAATCCAAAATCAGTGATGATGACTTTCTCATTTTCTAAGAAAATATTCTTTGACTTTAAATCCTTGTGAACAATTCCACGACGATGTAAATAACCCATTCCTTGTGCAATCTGTTGAGCGATCAATGTTGTCTTGTTTAAATTGAATTTGTCTCTTCGTAAATGAATGTGAGTGTAAAGAGTGTTCCCCTTACACATGGAAGTCACAATTGCAAGCCTTGGTGGTTTCATACACGCTCCCATGAATAAAACTAAATTTTCATGTCGTGTGTTCTTAAAAATAGCCACTTCAAGCTTAAATGCCTCAATAGCATGCTCATCGTCTAAGAAATCTTCTTTGAGAATCTTGACAGCGACGTCTCCATACCAATATCCTCTGAATACTGTTCCAAAACGTCCTCTTCCTATCATTGCACCAAGATTAAGGTCATCATAAGGAATGTCCCACTCTTTAAGTGACAAACTGTTTTGACGTGGCCACATGTTACTATCACGTTCTTCAACTGACTCTAATCGTGGGGTCATTCGATCTGAATCACCTGTACTCATTGTTTTATCACTGTCATTGCTTTGTTGGGTACCTGGAGATGAATGATTAATTAATGAATTTCTTTAGAATCTCTTTTATTACTTACCATTAATATCTATGATACTCCCGTTAAGCTGAATTTGTTGATTTCCCGCTTCACTGTTTATCATTGACGTCAGTGAGTGTTGATAATTATTAGGAAAATTACTACGTAAATGCACTGAATTGTCGCCACTTTTGGAATGTGTCTGTGGTTGTTGTTGTTGCTGCTGCTGCTGCTCAAATTCAGCATCTTCAATGATAACACTTGTGTTTGGCAAATAGCTACTGTTGTGATGTGAATTTTGATGATTTTGATTTGTAACTGAGGCAGATGAAACTTCAGGAAAATTAAATTGTGATTTATTGGCGGGTGTTTGTGGAGGAATCGTTAATAGAGCGGGACTTGATGGTGATGAACTGTTGCAACTGGAACCTGCCGAGCTGCTGTCAGCTCCATGAAATGGGATGCTATGCATTGGCGCACGTCGTGATTCATTTCTTTTAACTGGCATCAAGCCAGGTGCTCTTGGAAGATTTGGAGACGCATTTGGCATGAGTCCATCTGAGTATAGAGTCTTTTTAAATTCGTCTACAAGTTCTTTTGGTAATCCACATGAAGGCGGTACATTTGACTTGCAATCCTTGTGACAACGATATTTGCATTCAGTACATTTGAAGCCAAAAAACATTTGTTTGTTGCACAAATCACAAGTGCTTGTCGTGAATTTGAATTTCTTTGAGAACCGGTGCTGTATAATGTGTCCCATAACACGTACTGGTGTGCATGGCGAACGTGGCGGTGCTGATGTATCACTTACAATAATTGGCGTTACGACGTGATTCTCAAGGGGATAATTTTCACTACCACAATCTTGATGGTTGTTTGTAACCGGAAATCTTGTTCTAGGAGCAGGAACAGGAACTGGCGCTGCTGATTCGCTTGAAAGTTCCGAACCGCTTATTATAGATCCATTTTGCAATTGCTTCTGACCATTTACTGAAAGTTGTGACTCGTTAGATTTCGATTTACTCATTCCATCAACACCTGAATCAACACCCATTTCCATTTCAATGTCATTGTTGTTAAAATTATTAGATGTCGTTGTTGATGTACCAATGCTGCTAATGCTGCTACTCATATCTTTGTTGGATCCATTAAAACGTGGAATATTATTATTAAGATTATTATTATAAACTTTTTGAGAGACCAGTCTCTGTCTATTGCTACCAGATGATGATTGTGATGTTGTGTTGTAGACTGATGGGCTTTGTGGGGGACTTGGTGATGGTGAAAGGTTGCTTATACCAGAACATTCTTCTGGTGAGATCATATTAAGAAGCTTGTCCGAAGAGGAGTTTAATGTGCCACTTGTCATAAGACTTGATGACGATATTTGTGTATCCGGTGGAGAAATTTCAACTGGCGATTGAACGTAATCATCCTGAGGAATTTGATCGTTTACAATCACAGTTGTGAGCCGATTGTTAGAAATTTTGGATGATGAACTCAATCGAATATTATTTCTTCTATCCCATGAATCCCAGAACATGTCGGATGGTTCAGTACCGGATTTTAAACATTGTTGACATCGTTTGAGATTGTTGATGGCACACATCAAACGACGAGACTCTTCCATCTGTACTGTTTGATTGTTAGTTAAAATTGCGCAAATGTCATTCTCATTCATCTTTAGCAACGTCTCAAGAGTGTTTACATGTTGGATCACAGCATTGATTGTTTGTTTACTTAATCCTACCACTCGCAACCATTGCCGTAAATCATCATTGGATGCTGGCGTTTCAATTCCATCGGGCATATTTTGACGTGTTAGAAGAAGCTCACAAAACATACGAACAAGCTTTGACTCAAGTGATCGAGTCTCTTGCTGCGTTAATTCAGCGCTTGTAGCACACTGAGTCCTCAAACGCTCTAATCGGTCCGCCGAAATGTCAATCATTGACTGAATGACTTCTAACCCGTTGTCCACTTCTTCCATCTTCAAATTTTTCTTTACGCTTTCTTCTTCGCAGTAGGAAAAAGGACAAAAATCCTTCTTTCTTCTCGGAATTAGCGAAAGAATTTGAGATAATAAGTTTTAAAAACTTAATACACTTTCACTCTATTGTAATTATTTACAACATCTTAAGTTTCATGTAAAATTCTTTATATCGCAAATATTAGGAAAAAGGAATTAAGAATTTTGATTTTTTTTCTTCTTTTCCTATTCACAACTTAAAATAAATTTGATGAAACTCAATCAATTTATAAACTTAATTACTTCTTGAATACTATTACATAGCTTTGAACAAGCCCTTATCAACAATAATAAAACATTTTCAATTTTTCATTTATATTTTTTTCACTCGTTCTAAAGTTATTTTTCACTGTTCTAAAGTTTTCATACTAAAATATGTGCGAATATTGAAAGTTAGCAGGGCGCATTCAATTTCGAATTTTTTTGATGTCTCTATTCGTCCGTCTGTCATTGTAAGAAATTTTCTTTGCCGTACTCACCACTTGAGAAGCGTGAAAGTCAATAATAATTGTAATTATCTTTAATCATTCTACTTTACTTCTTTTAGGTATTGGAACTTAATCTTAAATGGCCAAATGATATTTATGCGAATTCTGAAGTTAAAATTGGGGGATTAATCGTAAATTCTATAATGGAACAAAATATTGTAGTGTGTAATGTTGGTGAGTTTCATATTATTTTAATATTCTGTAATGTTACATCAGGAAGAACTTCAATTTCTTTCTTTATTTAACTAAGGTTTGGCAATAAATTTATCAAACTCAACACCAACAACTTCCATCAACGATTTAATTGAAAACTACAACAAATCCCACTCTCGGCAACTTGCAGCACTTGGATTTGAAAAAACTCTTGCGTTGATATTCAACGAGATAGAAGATATATTCAATCATATTCAAACTGGGGATTTTTCATATTTATATGATCAATATTACAAATTTTGGCTGCACAGGTATAATTAAGAATAACTCTCTTGATATGAAAATTATGCTTTTTTAAAAAAATTTCAGTGGTTCAACAATCAAAGTTTTGTCTTCAGATGGAAAAGAGAAGAAAGCAAACATTTTAGGTATCGATGACTACGGGTTCTTGAAAATTCAATTGGAAGATTCAAAGGAGATTGAATCAGTACAACCAGATGGGAATTCGTTTGATATGCTTCGTGGATTAATAATTCCGAAACATAAATAATTTCTCAAACAGGAAGAGTTTATTTTAGAAATTTTATGACTAGATAATGATAACTGAGCAACTTTAACTAACGACTGAGGAAATTTATTATTGCAACCTCTGATTTCCACTTTTACTTAAAATGAACTTAAAAGAAAATAGAAAGTGATAAACAATCCAAATTTTGGAATTAATTTTAATTTCTCTTTACAAAATTAAACAAAAAATATTCCTGTCAAAATTTTATGTAATTATTGAAATCCCATTAAAACTATTTATTACATTCGGCAGACATTAAGAAAGCACACAAAAATAATTCATATCGTTAAAAACAAATTTAGATCAAATTAAATTATGTATCTACATAAACAAATGTTTGAATAAATCCACATTATTCACTTTACCTTACCTTAAAAAGCAATAAATAATTTGCTTCCGATGTTCTGATTGTTATTACATCACATAAATTACAAGCCATCCTAAACCATGAAGAAATTCAATGTTAACATAATTTTATGTTCTTAGAGAAAAACGATTTATGAAAGAAATTCTAAACAGTTTAGATAGCGCATAACGAAATTGCCATAAATTCTAATATTATGAAGATAAAATTCTACTTATGTCTATGCGTATGCTGTTAGATGTTGTTATTGCTTATGAAGAGAAAATATTTATGAAATTTAAAAAATTCACCTTAACGAGATCTGGTTGTGTGCTTTGTATTCTTTTCACGCAAACAAAGGAAAATTATTTAACAATCTTCATTACTTACATAGATATCTACATGTGGGTAAATAAATGTTTCATCATAATGGAAAATAAAGAATCTGCGAAAGCCTTTTCTTCCCATATTTCTTAAAAAAATCCTTGGATTATTCAAGCTCCTTGAAAATTTAATGCAACAAGAAAATTATTCCCAGTGAATTCATCAATCTCCCACTTATCCTCTTATTTCACATCAAAACATAATAAATTTTAAAGCTTTTTCATTTGACTTTAAAAGATAAAAAGAAAATATAATAAAATAAAAAGATGAAAGGTAAAATTTGAAGTTTTTTTCTTGTCCATTGAAAGATAATTTTATGAACATGTTTCCTAAATAAATATTTTATGTCGTTTTAGATCTTTGAACTCCTCGGTGAATAAATATATTGATTTTTTTTTGTATATTTAATGGAATTTGATAAAAAAGTTTAAGGAAAAATTCCATAACGACGAGGGATATTTATTATGTGGGTTGGTTGGCATTAATTTAATAAAAAATGAGATGCATTAAAAAATTTCATGTTTATCACTATGAAACGTCAAAATTTAAATTGCATTTGAAATGATTCTGACAGTTCATGCTTTTCATGTAATTCATTCTTTATTTTAAAATCATGCAAATTTCCAATAGCTGTTGCCTTGTCATGTCTGCCACTCAAATATAATATTAATAACACTCAGTTGAATACTATCAGTTCCATCATGAAAGGTAATCAAGAAACTCCATTTTTCATTTTTATTGATCATTTTTTTATTAATAATTTCATAACAGTTTAATGTTTTTCTTATGTTTGTTCCAGGGAATTGTTTACCTCAATTGAAGGACTTGAATTTTCGTAACAATAATTTGATTTTCATTTACAATTATTTGAATTAAATATTCATGTCGTCTGGCTCTGTTCTCTTCCATCAGCATGTTCAATAGTGGGAATATTCATTAATATTTCAGCAAACAGTTTTCATTTTTTTTGGCGTCTAAATAAAGACTATTAATTACATCGAATATTATTCGAGCCCTTAGACCATCTTGCGCCTCATCATAATCAATCAAATATTTACATTGAAGCGAATTTCCATCCATGTTTTCTTCTTTTTAATGTTTTTACGTTTATACTTTCAAAAATTGTTTTTAATTATATTTCCTTGTTATTCATATATATTTTAATAATTTCGTCTTCATTTTCATGGGTATCTGTTAACTTGCAGTATTTTTATATCCTAAAAACAAAATATAAATTATGATTAGCTAGATTGTGACCGAAGTAAAATGAAACGAGTAGGTAAGGAAAAATTTACTTATCTATTCATCTTCTTTAAAAAATAAGTTAGTGAAAAAATCACAAAATATCTAAATTGAATTTTGTAAATATTTTCCTTTTTTTAATCATAAATGGACGATGATAAATTCATAATAATTTCCATTCTGTTGATTTTCCTCAATCCAATTTAATTTGTTTTTTACCTTGCAATAAATGTCTTCATCTTATATATTTAATTTTAAATTTGGCTAGATTCCAGTGGAGTTCTATTTATAAGAATAAAGTTCTTTTGCATTTGGCACGAAATCTCATCAATCTAGTAAGTATTAATGTAGATTATCTACATAATGTCATGGAAAACATTATTCAGAATAATAATTTAGACAAAAATACATTTTCGCCAAGAATAAACTTAATCATTGTTTGAACGTTCCAATCCAGAATCACATAAATAAATCAATTAATTCATTCATTTCACATTGGATAAACATTATGGCCATTTTATGAGTTAACATAAATTTAATTTATTTAAACTTTTTACTCTTACTTTTCCAACAATAATAAAGACTTCTTTTCCATATCTCGTACAACTTTACATATATAATGAGCTCAACTTTGTTATCCATTCTCATACATTTTTCTTTTAAAATTCTCTTGCAAATGAGTTTTTTGACAAGCGCAAATATCATCATCATCATCATTCATCATTTTCCAGAAAATGAAAGCCACTGAATTCCCGTTTAAATATAATTTTCATAAATATAATTTTCTATCGTTAGCGAAGGGTGCAAAATGTTGTTTTTCTTCTTCCATTTTAAATCGATGATTTCAATTGAATTTTATATGCTAATCTAACCAAACGCGCCTCGAAAGCTTTAAAAATCATCAACGCTTTTCGATATTTCAAGTTAATAAATCGCAAAATTTTATAAAATTAAATATTGTCATTCTTTTTTATTTCATCCTTTGAGCTTTTCTTCAAATAAGTATTTGGGTTAAAAACGAAATCATAATTTTAATGGCCAATTTTCTTCTAGATTTGAAGATGTAAAAACAATTTATTGACTTCTTTTTACATCACAAACAGCCACGTTTTGTGACGTTGAAAGAAGATTGAGCAATTGTTATGGAAACAGAATAGTCGTAATTGATTACTTTTGCATTACGAAGAGTGGAGAGAACTACATAAATGGGTAATGCAAGTTATTCGATGCAATCATATCTGCAGTTATGTACTTGAGATTTGAGTAATTTCGCAAATGTATTTGTACATAATACTTATTTGAAGTTTTCAACAAAATAAAAATGATTCGTATAAGTCTGTAAAAATATTTCTCTGCTTCTCAACATTACCAAATATGAGTCTGTTCAAATATTTGAAAAATAAATATTTTTATTTCAGCTACAATAAATTGTAAATCCATTCAAGTGCAACAACATTGGAACATGCTTCTTTAAATTTTCCAACTATCTAACGATTAAAGTTTTTCTATTTTTTTCTGCTTTTTCAATCAACAATTTGAACCTGTTAGTTAAACTGTGTTAAATGTGATTTCTATTAAGGACATGACTCTTGTTCATTTTGCCTGCAAATGTATGGGATCGTACGTTAATTTTTCCACGTCGAAGGTTTCAACAAGAACCATGTATGTAGTTATGCATTTATGTATTCAAAAGTCAAAGCTTTCAATGAAAGAACTTTCGGAAAAGCTCAAGACTATTAGTTAAGCTTTGAAAGAAAACTTTCAATCTAATGAAAGTTTTCATTCTAAAGGTTAGTAGTTAAATAGGATGAACAACCTTTTATAAATCAAAATTAAATGATGAAGCTATCAATGGGAATTAACTTGTTTTATCCATTTTGTTTTCGTTAACTTTTAGCTACGTACGTAAAGTAGTAATAAGAATAGAAACATTAGACACACAAGTCCAACATTTATTTCGACAATCTTTCCTTTTACTTAATTCTTTCATTAGATTTAATTAGTATCCGCCCAATAGAACAGGAATTTAGTTTCTTCTTTAATTGTTCTTCCAAATTTTTTGTTTTGTGTGCTCTCTTATCATTTCACTAAAATGGCAGTTTGATAAATTGTTTCAACTATACATTTCATTTGTTCTCAGAATTATCTTTTATTGTTTTATTTAACAATTATTTTCTTTAGTTTAATAGTTTAAATATCATATAATTTAGGATTTATTTCCTATTTTCTTTTTTAAAAATTGCCATAGTTAAGAAAGTTTTATTTTATTTAAGACGACTCCGAACAACCGAAATGTATATATTATTTTATTTAATTATTTTGATTCCTCATTTGTTATTCCACCTTTTTTCATATTTGTGTTTTCCAAGTGAATTTTCTCTTTCTACTGATAATAACGCCTAATAATAATATTTTTGTCTTTTTCATTGTTTCCACCATTTTTGTTGTTACAAGGTTAACATAATAATTTCAATTTAAATGAATAACACTAATTAAACCCGTCGAATGTATGAGTAAGAGTTAAACAACCAAATGAGACACATCTGATGCAAAAGTGGGAATGGGTGGTTTATATTTCGGCGGCTTTTTGTGTCGCTGGTTGTTAAAGATAAACTCTTCACCATTTCTTCGACCGGAAAGATCTTGTGCTGATAGGGCTCCAGTATTCCAAGCTCTCTCTGGGCCTCGATGTGTTAAGGTGGGATATCGATTCTTATCGACTACCTGACTAATTGATTTTGTGACTGAATTAAGTCCTATATTGTATTGCCTTTGCATAGCCATTGACTGTCTTAGATGCTTTCTCTTCTACAAAAAGAATAAATAAATAATAAAAGAAACAAATGTTTATCAAACATCTTCCATTCATTTCTTGTCGCTTTCGTTAGAAATCTTACCTCTATTGTTCCTCTCCATTTGTCTGCTGCATGTCTAGCAATCTCCAATCGTTTTTGTTTCTTTATTTGGTGCTTTTTATATACAACTTCTATGATTATTAGACCAATCCCTCCAACAATTCCAGCGCCCACAAGTATAAACCCCCCAGCCATGTTCTTCAAACCAAGCGTATTTGGTGTCTTCTCAAATTGCTCACATTGTTGAACATTGCCATGGAAAATCCACTCTCTATCGAGAGATTCCATGAAACCACCTAAGAAGATGAACATTGACATTAACATTGACATCGACATCACATAAGTCTCACTATTGAAGTGAAAGAAAAGTTAATTGATATTTACTCTCATGAAAATCTAGAATTGCCAACGTAACAGCATCTGTCCAAGGGCTTCCTTTCTGTAAGCCGATCCCATATCCACTTCGACCAAATAATTCACCCGCAGTCACAAGTTCGCAATCTTTGGCCGCTTCATATTCAAGACGTGATGAATCCCAAATAAAGGCCATTAGTCCACTTTAGTGAAGAAACAATTGAACTCAATTGATGAAGAATGTAAAACTTTTAAAAGAATTCCTTCTTACCCATTCTTGACTTCTTGTATAGCTTGTTCAGCTGTCGCTTTATTGTTTGTTTCCATCGATCTATACATGTTTGACAATTCAACTTGACGTCTGAAATACATATCCACAGCCGATCCTTTGACAGTTCCGCATGTCAAGTTCTCCATAGTGTTACGTAATCGTGCATCATTTATGCCTGAAAGTTTTGTCTTTGGTCGCTCCAAGACGAGAAAAGCGGCTAAGTTAGCAGTATAAGATGCAACAATAATCATTGCAAAGCCAGCCCACACCATACCAAGAACACGAGCTGAAAAACTTCTCGGTGTACCTTCACCAATTCCACTGTTAAGTAAAACACCCCAAGCAAACCAAATGGCTGAACTTAAATTGAGAGCGTCTTCTTCTGTCCCATCATTGTTTGTCAACTTAAAGCGACCAAAAGGTGAAAATCTGAAAAGTGAGAAAGCTCAAGCGTCAGACTACCAAAATGCAAAGCGTATAACTAAAGCATAAAGTGATCTAAATAGCATATAAATAAGTGAATGAAAATAACAATAAAATGACGAAGAGTAATGAGTAAAAATGGTGCTAACCTATCCAGCAGATAAAGGACAAGAGCCACAACATGAACCGAAACCATAACGAGAATCCACAGGGTATTGCTGAAAGGTTGCAAGAAACTCACAAGAGTCGAAGATCTTGACGGTTTCTTTTCCAAGATCGTAATGCCCTGGTACTTGAAAGGTTTCGAGAATTCAATGAATTCGGCTCGTTCCGGGTTAATGGTTAAAGGAGCAACAATCAAGTCAGCTCGTTCTGAAACGAGCTCGCCAATCAATCCGGTCCATTCTTTCTTCACTCCTAATGTGCTGGAGAGGTTTTTGAGTATGTAATGACCAAATTGGCCATCAGGCGATAATGCCAAATCGTATGTGAAATTAATGCGATGTGATAGTGCTTTAAGCAAATCTATGCAATATCCACGACAGCAAAAATCCTTTTCTGTAAAGTTAAATCAGAAGAAAAGATTAAAGAAATCGTTTGAAAAGAGAAGGAGAGAGAGAGAGAGAAAGAGAGAAAAATTCTGTTAATTAATTAATTAGGATTGATGAAAGCTCTTTTTAAAGAACAATTGCTAATTGCAATTAAATGCATTTTTTCATTAATTAATTTCAATTGGAGATTTTTTTATATTTTAAAGTTTTGGAGGCATTTTCTTCAATTTTAATGCAAAATTAATGAGATAACTTTCAATACAATTTTTAATCAATTGAAATATTCATAGTTAATTAACAATGAAATGTTTCACAGTCAAAACTCTCGTCTTGTTTGATTGTTTAACAACATTTTTGTTTTTCGTTTTTTTTCGTAAGGATGATCATTGTTTGTTGACTGTTCGTAATCATTTGGGTCAACTTCATTAAAAATGAAGGCTCCAATATTTTAAATCTCAGCGTATAGACATGAAGATTATTTTCCTTCTATGTTTATTTCTTTATTCCAGTAGCGTCAATGCCAACATTAAGTGTAAATGGAAGAATATACAAGAATAAAGATTTGAGAAGATAACGCAGCCACTCGCTATCAAATCACCATTGAGATAGATCATCAATCAAATAAATCTTTCAGTTTACTATAAATAGAAATGATGAAAATGGGCTCACACCGAAATGAAAGACAAGAAGAAATTTACGTTCAACGTTACCCGCTGTTTCTTAATATCAAACAATAAATTTCTCACAAAAGCCCGTCACCCTATACGCATTCCCCCCAAACTCTCATCTGTAGATAGATCAGGAATCTTTTCAGATCTTTCTTTCATTTTTTTCTTGCTTTTTTTGTTCACATAAATTTTCATACCGTTTCCATCCGTTACGTTAAAATGTGGGCACGGAATCTCATCCTCTTCACAATCGATTTCATCATCTGTTAATTTTCTCACATAAACAAATGGCTTCTCTTCGATCGTTAAGACCTTTAAGTGAGTCGGGATAAAAAATCCTTCGGGTTTCTTTTTCACTTTTCCTGGCCAAATTATCTCACTGTCATTGATTTTAAGTCGCATTTTCTCGCGCTCCTAATGATGTTAAATGAAAGGAGAAAAAAGAAAGAAAAAAATTGTTCGGATTTTATATTGTTGTTGTTTTCTGTCAGCTTGAGTTTATCACAGTAAATTAATTATGTTGACTTAATGAAGAAAAAGTGTCCTTTTCTTTTAACTTACATTGTCGTAGAAGAAGCTCCCAACTATTTTCATGCCGCCCTTTTTTCCGATATTAATAACATCGTATGCAGCATTGATTCGATCACCCGAATCATCAAACGCCTAAATTGAGAAAGGGTTGAAGACAAGGGTTATTGATATCATGAATATTTTAACAATGAATTGATGGCAGAAAATTCATTATAATTCATTAAAATAAATTTAAAAGCTACAACTAAAGCGTATAATGGAAGTTTTACATACCACTCGACCCGTTTTTCCATTAATGTTTCTAGATTTTAAATAATGAAACAATTTCTTTCCTGTTTCCCAAAACACTCCAGAATCATCGCAATCTTTTGGCGCTTCTGTAATTGTTTCATTCACCATCATCTCTTTTAATGCAGATGCCAGCACGTAGACGCTATCCTATAACATTAATGAAAAAAAGCAGAAAGGAGAGCTTGAAAAAATCGAAAATTATTCACGCTCAATTATGTTGGTAAACAAGAAGTAATTTTATAATGTTTGTAGGATGGATACTAAAATGTTCCAAATCCCTTTCGACAAATAAGTTTAAATTTTATCTGACATGATTCCGCATCCTCTTCAACACATTTGAATAATCTAAATTTAGAAGGGAAGTGAGATCAATTAAGTAAATAAATAAACGACATTTCAAAGTTGTTAACAACTGATGTCAGTTTAAGACGAAATTCTCATCATTAAAAGAATTCTTATGTTTGTTCAAACAAAGCACGGAAAGCTTTTAAGTGGATAACTGATCTCTTTATTATATTGGAGCTATCAATTACATCATTATTTTATAATATGAATCGAGAGATTGTCAAAGGAAATCAAACTTACTCTGATATGCTCTGTTTCATTGTCATTGTTTAATTTTAGACCCAAAGCTCCAACTGGCGTATTATTTGAGAACAAAGCTTGTTCTGTAACAATCCAAACATGACCTGCATCTGTCATATTGAAGATGGCAGCATCCCGAAAAATGACGGTAGCATCCTCTTTACTGTTCGTTTGTAAGACAATCATGATTGTTCCACATTAACATATGTTTGTCGTCAGCGGAAATGAATTGAAATTGAGTGAAATAAGAAAGGGAATAAAATGATTTTATGTAATTGATTCAAATTTCACAGCAGATTCTCTTGTACTTTTCAATGCTGAAATGTTTTAACGTATCTTAACCGTCATATGAAACCATCAATGTCTGTTTTATCACATGCTATTACATAAAATGTGTAAGAGTCAAAGAAAGGAAAGGATGTAAGGATGTCGCAAACTTAATTTCCCGAACGATGTGTCCTTAAAAAGGAAGCTTTCACTCACTGTTGTCACTGTCTTAATGGGCTTTAAGATGCTTCAAGCTTCTCATAAATCCATTTATTTCTCAATCATTTTGTCATTGCATTCCCATCTTAAACCAGTTATCTGTCGTTGTGAGAATCATGATAAAAATGAAAAGCAATCTCATATCCTTACGCCGAAAAAACAGGAAACTTTATATCAGCAACACACATGAAAGTCTCATGATAATAAGAAAATATTTATTTTTCTAATGGTGTCTGTTGTCGAGACAATCTTAATTCTTAATTCTCGAGCAACTAAAGTAGAGTAATAGCAAGATATGTGTGGAGCAATTGAAGCGGAACCGAATGAATATCTAATAATGAATTTTCCATTAGAACGAACTTTCTCATACTTGCTGTACGTAATTTAATATGTATCAATGACACTTTTCGTTTAAATATCTTCCCTTTGCCCGTTTGCCTGAATCATCCTCGAGATAAGAACTATTACCAATAATCATAAACCATCGAAGCAGCTTGCTTTCCTAATACACGTTTTCATTGTTCATATTTAGAAAATTTATAATAAAAGTAGGTGAAAATATTTCTAGAACAAAGTACGAAAGCTTCTTCGATAATGTAAATATCCTAAGGAAAAACAGACCAAAATTAAAAATAACTAAAATTTGTTTTGATAACGAATGAAGGAAATGACGAGAAATTTCGAGAATCAGATTCATTTCCCTATTTCATAATCCTCGAGGGAATTCTTTAGAAAGGTATTTGGTATTTTTAGATTTCAGTGACATATTTTTCTGTATCTTCTTTTGTTACTGACGACTTTGATAATAATTTAAAATGTGCATAAAATTGTGGAACATAATTTTAATTAAAATTCACTGATTTAACGAATGCAAAGTTTTAAATAGAAATTACGCAAACCCACAATTTCCACTAATTCATATTGAATTTTCAACGTCATGTCCCGCAAAATTTTATTATCGTCACAATGAAAAGAAAATGAAAAAAAGAACATGAAAATTTATTAAATGGAGAGTTGAAGTTTGTCGTAATATTATTTCAGTTATGTGGATGACGTGATGATGATGATAAAAAGAAGCATCAGCATACTTGACATCGGCAGAAAAAAGCTTTCGCGTAAACATAAATACAACATTAGGAAAAGTACAACAAAGCCGCTGATGGTTTATTTCTATATTTAAAAAGCTTTTCTCATTCGCAATCGAATGTAATAAAGTACTTGAGAGAAGCGGAAAATAAGTTGAAATAAAATCTCATTAAATCCTATATCAAGCACAATTTACTCAGATCTTACTTGGCATATAAAAGGTAAACTCGAGATTGTGCCGTTTTGAGTTCCACAAGATGCTCAACAAAGCTCTCAAGCTTTGGCTCAAACTCAACAATTGACTCAACATTTGCTCGGACATCGACGTCATCGTAGTTTGTTTGTGATGTTGTTTGAAAGCGACCTAATATCGCACGTCCATCGGTATCGGAACTGTGAATGATAATCACCTGAAGAAAAGAAAAGTAAAAAAGATTGAAAGACAGAAACAAAATAAAAATAAAAAAACGGTAGAAAAGGATTCTCTGTCAATGTTTGTTTAAGGAATGAATAAAACGAAGGGATCATCCGGGTGAAGAAAAGGCAAAAGGGAAAAAGTAAACAAATATTTGAGCTTACGGGGGATGAAGAATGTCCCATCACAGAAAAGGTGAAGAGACAAAAAGGGAGAGAGAGAGATAGAAAAAAAGTAATTTGTTACATGCCTTCGTGTATCCAAAGTGACTCAGCATTTCAAGCCACACGTCTGCTTGGTGATAGTAAGGTGGCACCGTCCTAAGAAACGATACGTGAATGTTCTTATCCGAAAACGCTGCATCACGCGATGAGATTCCTATGACTGGTATTTGATAGAAGCCACTTGTGTAGCTTACAGCAGCTGGAGATAAATCATGTCCGGATGAGTCTTTCTCCTCATGAGACACGACCACCGCATATACACGCTTTGATATCAAATGTTTGCACACATTTAAAGCTGTTTTAATGGGATTCTTATCTATTCGTATTGTTTTATCAAAATAGGTTGTTCCTTTTGGCACATACTGGTGTACATAATTCAATGTCTACGAATCGAGATTGTTGTGTGTGTCGTGTCGTTCATAAATATCGAAGTGAAGGAATCGGAAGAGACACGATACATGAAAAAACGGCAGCGACGGAAGAGAAGAATGAGAGAAAAATTATGTGTTAGATAACATAATAATAAAATCTTTGCCTCGCTTTTCTTTCTTACTGCGACATGAATTATTGTAAAAAAAAAGGTAGAAATAATTTTATTTTTATTTTTTAACGTACATGTGAATTGAAAGTGGAGGAGCTTAAAGATATTTGCATAACTTGGTATCTACTGGCAGAGATGCAGAGAATTTGTGTCGCGTTTACATACATGAAAAAAATTCGTTTTTGTCTTTCTTCTTTGACTAAAACGACGAACACGATGAACGACTTTCACAATGCTTTGCTTCTCGTTTACAAAAGCTTTTCTTTGCTTCGTCTTTTTTTTTGGGTTTTTGAAAAGAAAGCGGCAGCGTTATTGAGATTACGATCCGTAGAGACTCAAAGTGTTTTCATTTGAGCTGTTGTAGTATTAAAAAGGATTAAGTGGGTTATTCGTACACAATGAAGCAATCCGGCCAAGAAGGCTTGAGAAGCAGCAACATCTTTAGTTTGGGCAATGAAAATGCTTTGAATTATTACATAATTGCTTTCGCATAAAAACGAGGTCAGACAGATGCCGTAAAGAACAAAGTGACGGAGATGAAGATGGAATGAGATGAGAGACAAGCAAAATTAATCTTGAAAAGATCTACATAGCTTCGAAGTGATGTAGCGGTTTACCAACTACTTGGTTTCTTCTTGAAGTAATTCTTATTGATTAATTATCTAGATTCAGTATCAATAACTTTTTACAATTTCTTACAGAATATTTGAATTGTCTGGATCATTAAAGTTTGTCTAGATAAATTTATTTAAGCTCTTATGAAGCTTTCAAAATGAAGCCATTTTAGTATCTATTTTAAGGCCTTCGAAGAAAAGCTTTTAATCTTTGATGAGATCTTTTTAAAACAATTACATCTTTTGTTAATTTTTTTCTTCATTCCTTTCCGTAACGATTCTTGCAGATGAAAATTAGAGGAATTAAAAGCGGGTTACTAATAGCCTACAATTTACTTCAATTGGTGTTGAATTGTTAATTGGATGTAGATAATTATTTTTCTTTTTTCCCACCATGAGAAACTTTCATCTTTTCACTTTTCTCGACCTATGCTTCCAAATCTCTTTTCTAACTCAATGAATATTCTATTGAGTCAGCAAATGTTAACCAATTGTGTATGTGAAAACGAAGAGAAAGTAAAATGAAGAAAATATAAGAAACAGCAATGTGTTAATAATGATAAATTGTTGCATAATAAACCTTGTCTGCTCCCGACTGAAGTAAATAAAAACAACAAAAGCAACAATAAGTAAACTTCATAAATGTTTTCAAATACTCACAGCTATTGTCTCGGAAAAGTTTTTCTCGCTCTCGCCATTGCTTAGGACACCGCCGATATTGAAAAACGTTGGATTCTCACCACTAGGCTTTTGTAATAGAACGCTATTGTTGAGTGTAAACAATATCAATATCCACAAATAGAATTCACTCATTGTGTGCCTCATTGTTGATGACATTCTTGAATTTTGGTCTCGGACGAATTTTACTTTTTTTTTTCTCTGATTTATCAAATCGAATATTGAAAATCGAGAAAGGATGTTTGATTATATTTATAAATATTTATTCTAACAACTCTTTCTTTGTTTTTCCATTAGGTATTATTAAAGCTATTTATTACACTCTTTCTTTTGAATATTTTTGCTTAAATGCTTCACTTCAACAGATGCTACGTTTTAGGAAAATATGTTCACCGACCCGAAAGAAAAATGTTTTTAAATGTTCACTTTTCAAACTTTTTTTTTCTTCACCTTTGCTATTTTTCTTTCCTTCTTTAATATATTTTATGGAAGCCTTTTATTTCACATTACAACATCAAACAATAAGAGAAGAATGGGAACAATGACAATCTTTCGTCTTCAAAAATTCTTTCTTCCCCTCCCGTTTTTCCGTCGATGTGATTTTTCGTAGATGGTTGATGATGGCTTTTTTGTTGCTGTTACAAATTCGATTACTGAATTGTGAGCCGTTTGACCGAGCCGTCGTTTCACGATTGAAATGAATGTTGAGAAGAAGGGCCAAGAGGGACAGAAAAACGAATGAAAAGTTTTGATGTATCGGATTGTGTCTTATTGGACCGGGATTGTTAGAAAAATAATGATTTTATCATTTCCTTCCGGTCTGACCATTAAAGTTCCTTCTGTTGCTGCTTATTTCTTTTTTTTTTTTACTTCTTCCTATTTCTCTTCCCCCGTCTTTTATATTTTATTTTTTGTCTGTTGAAGAAATTTTGCTTCTGTCAACCATAAGTTTTATTAAAGGGCGATGTTTCAATGTAGCCTGGGAAAAGCTTTCTTGCTAAACTTTCACTTTTATTCTACTCGCAAATTGATGATGATGATGAGAAATGTTTTTCCTCCCTTCTCCACTTTTTGAGGGTAGCCCTTGCCAACAGATGTTAAACTCTAGGATTCGTCATAAGGGCATCAAGTTATTTTCTCTCTTTTTTATTCAGTTCGTTGTTGCCAAATTTCCTCTTTCTTTACTTCAGAAGCTTATTCAGAAGCTTTTCACACTGCGGGTAAATTTGAGAAATGAAGTTTAACTTCCTTCAATTAAATTTTATGTTTACTTTCACGACCTTATCTGTGATGTTAACGTGTCAACATCTACCAATAATTATACAATATTAGCAACATTCTCTTCCGCTTTGTTGATGGCGGTTTAATTACTCACAACACTGTTTGTTGTCAAACAAGGTAGCCACAACCTTTCAAATATTCTCTCTATCACTTCCTATCTCAAACAAAGCTCTGATAATACTTCCAAAGCCCTTTTATGTGACTTTTAATTGATTTTGTTTTCTTTTACGTAATCACTTAGTCAGTGACAGTTTCTCTCTTCCGCATCAAATATTTAACGATTTTCCTAAATTAATTAGCTTTTCCTTTCCACGTTAATGTTCGAGTCTCATGTGAGCTTTTTTCTTATGTCATTTTAAAATTAATAAGGTGAACTTTATGTTAACTTTAGATTTTGTAATTAAATGTTTCCTTCTTCCTCCTCTTCGTTCTCTGTTTTTAATCTTTAAGTGTTTGTGCTCGTTCAGATGCTGTTTGTGTCAAACATAAAGCTTTGACTATACGCTTATAATCGTTTGAAATTATCTTAAAGAGAAAAAGAAAGATTTCTGACGTATTCGTCTTCGCTGCCGTCACTTATGCTGTGAGTATAATGAGATGGGTTTTTTAATCTCTTCCTTTCCTTTACTCAAGGTTGCTTGATGGTTTATTATATGATAGGATTTTATATTCTTCAACACGGGCAAATAATTTGTAATTGATGAAGGAAGGAATTCTGTTTTCCATTTCGCGTTTGAAAAAGGTTTCGTACAAATTGCTTGATGTTACGCGGTTTGTTAAATTATTAATTACATATTTGCCGCATGCTTGATCTGATTAATCAATGGAAGTAAAGAAAGTTTTATTTTCCTTTTCTTTTTAGACAAAATCTTATTCAATTTTTACTTGTATCCTTGTTCACTTTTTGCGAGCTACTTAAAATCAGTCGATGTATAGCTGACGAGGATTTCTTTTGGTGATGTCAATTTCACTTGTGAACAAGATAAAACTCTCACATTAAGGTTGTTTCCCACTGCTTTCACAGATTTTTCTCCTTGTATCTTTTCTGAAAAGAGAAAAAAGAAAGAAAATAACGAAAAGGAATTAAAAACAAACATTCTTGGATATCTATTGTGGAAGACAGTCGTCGGTTTTATTTTATAATGAAAAAACTTTCAGCCCTCGATTGTTCGTGAAATGTTTCGGAAATTATCTTTTTTCTTTCTATTACCCCGAAGCAATAGGAAGTTGAGCGACCTGAATTAAGTCAATTTTAATTTTACGACTTGATTGTCTTTGAATTATGACTGTCTAAATTCAGAATCAAGTATTATTTGATGTCGTCGAAAGCTATTAAACTTAATCACATCGTAAGATACAACAGGGCAAAAAGTTCAAATAAATAAATAGAAGATTTAATTAAGGAAATGAATTACAAATCCCTATAATGGAGATTAAAACCCTCAATCATCAACTGAGATGAAAATTTACGAAATGTTATTCGGAATAAGATTTTGCGAACGATCTTTCATTACCGATGCAAAAAGATCTGACCGGAAATCCATGAAATAAAATGATACAGCTAATGAATGAACGAAGGAAATGATTGTTAATTAAATTGTCGGTCGTGAAACTGAATGACTTGTGCCTCAAATTTTCCATTATTTATACCTCCATACCTTCAAAAAGAATTTCAAATTTATTTTAATGAATCTCTCGACAAAAAGATTTCTCAATTTTGTAGAGCCCTTAAGCTTAGGCACTAATTCCATGGCTATGAAAATTTGTGTATTCATTCTTAGAGGATTATTTATTTATTTGTTAAAGCTCTTACTTGATCACAGCTTTGTATTGTGCATATAAGTAATTAATTGACCACATTAAAGACTTTCCCATTATATCCGTTCTTTAATCACATTTATTTAAGTGTTTCTCTCGTAGATATTGCTATTTTATCCTCATTATCAGGACAAAAGTTTTGTTACCAAGGAAAGTACATAAATTTCACTTCATTCAATGATTAACAATAAAGCAGCTTAATGAGGAAAATTATTTTAAGAAAATAATTATTGATTCAATATTAAAGGAACTAAATTTATGTTATCAGCTAGTTGAATACACAACATGAAATTTAATGCATTAAATATGAAGTTTGAAAAAAGAATCTAATTTTTTTATGCTCACAAGTAAACTTTAAATAACTCATGAAACCATATTGGCAGATTTGTAGCACTACAAACTTTTTCTGAAGTTTCTACAATTACTTAAAGTGGCTTCAATTTAAAAAATAACTTTTTTCTCTACTTGAAACAACATCCAAACAGCTTTCATTCAATAAAGATTGTTTTAATATTTTCTTCCAAAATTTTACATCTCGAACTCTCAGCTTAATATTGTTTGTTTCAAGGTAGATATTTTCAATAGCTCATGTTAATCCTAAGAAAGCTCATAATAACCAAGAAAATTAACTTGAGCTTATGATGATGGAAATCTTAACTACACAAACCCCACAACAGTTTCTCAATAAAGATTAAAATATTTAATGCAAGTTTGTAAATTATTAAATCTTGTAATTAAAAGGTAATTAAATATTTTGATCACTTGAGACTCTCAAGTTGAGAGTTTTCAGTTTCATATCTAGTTGTTTCATTATTCATCAAACTTATATTACAAATTTTCACGCAACTTTATTCCTCATTAAATAATTATTAAAACTTTTATGTTTACCCCGAACTCCATGGACATTCAGAATTGTCCAAACTGATAAATTTTAAATTCATAACTTTTTGTGAGAAAAACTTTTGGTTAAAAACGATTTAAGTTTGCCACAAAAAGATAAAACTCTTTCATTTCCATATATTTCTTTCACGTATCGTTGAAGATCAAAGCAATTATAAAACTCATTAATATTTGAAAGTTTTAAAACTACTATAGAGAGATATGCAGATGGAAATAGCAAAGAGCTCTGCCATCGTTAACAAAACCTTTGTTTCCTGATAATTTCACCTCAATGCTAAATTGGAGTCCAAGAAATTGCTTTCAATTACGAAACAGCCGGCCATTAAGGATTACAATGTCCAAGCATGCCACTTTGTGGAATAGAATAAATTGTTTAATTAATTGCTTCGCATAAATAAGTCATTTTTGCCTCCAGAAAAAAGCAATAAACATTCCCGTAAACTACCAGGGCGCGAGAAGCTTTTGTTAACACCGAATCATCGTAAATAGGAAAGCAGCAAAGCTTTCTTCTGTCACATTAATTTTTATTTGTTTTGTCTTTCTCTTGTTCTTATTCTTATTTCCTACATTTACCATCACACTTGGATGTTTGCTAAAGTCAGCTGAATTTGTTACGCATTGTGCGTTTAGCACCAATAAACAGAAAAGATGAAGGAAAACGGAAATTTTCCAACTAAAATCGAGTTTTTTATCACGCCTAAACTAATTTTATTAGCATAATAAATTTATTTCCCGTTTGAGCTTCCAAATTATCTCTCCCCAGTATATCTAAATAATCCAAAGTCAACGACTTGTTTCCTTGTATCGACTTTATCAATGTTCATTTATATTATTTTATCACATTTCTGATTTCTGATTCTTAATTTACAACTTGTAACTTTTCCAATTTATTGCCATAATTTTCGTAACGAAACTGTTATTTATTCAAACAAACATAATCAAAACTAATTGATGACTTACATAGAAAGTTTACTATAAAAACATGAAAGGTTTGTGATCTTTTTCAGTTTCAACTTTTGCTAATTTTTGATAACATCGGAAACACTTTTATTACAAACCACACATGGGTAGGTTTTCTAAACTTTCTTTTCTAAAACTTTCTCATGGATTGCTGAACATTTAACATGAGTTCGACATGAGTTGACAACCTATTCAATTGAACAAAAAGCTTTGGAAATAGAGAATGTTTTTTATGAAAGGCATCGAACCCAAAAACTTTTTTATAGGCTTTGTTATGTAAAATAATTTTGCAACCTTTAAAGTGCTTCCTAAGTTGAACTTCCTCGATTTAGTCTCTTTAAGCGATAACGAGTTTTCATGTCGAAACTGTTAAGTTAATATTGTAAAACGTGGATAATTCTAGAGGCCGTCAAATGATATGAAAAGGGTTTCTCTTTTCAAGCTCTCACCACGAATCATGAATAGGGATAACATCTTGTCGAGTTGAAATCGTAAGAAAAACGGAAGACGAAAAAATATAAAGGAAATAACCGACATTATTACGCAACTTTTATCTTCCAACAGCAAAAAAATAAAAATGAAATAAATGGAATGGTTTTTTTACAGCGTTTAAACTTTGGAAAACAATAAAAAAATGTTTTGTATAGAGTAAGACAAGCAAATTTATACAAATTACTTTAACAAAGTAAAATGATTCATAAAATTTGCAAAGAAAATTGCTGAGATTTTCTTCCAAACGTTCACTAAGATTTATGACGTAATTTGCAAACATTTCCACCTCCCTATTTTCGACGCCACGAAACGTTTGCTTCCTAATTTATTTGGTGTTGGCACAAGTGTTCGTATTTCTGTTGTTTGTTCAATCAATTTTTCGATTCAATTTCGTCAATATTTTACTCTTTGTTCAATTGGCGTTATGTTAAAGAAAAGATAAATACACTCGATTGCTTCTGATGATACAAAAAATTTATGATGAGAGCATAGAGCTAGACCAAAAATCGTTCCTACTTATGTTTAAAGAGCTTGTTGTCATAATCAGTCATTCGCATTTGACTTTCAGTGGAAGCTTAAATTAAATTATGAGGATGAATTATTTGAAGCTTCATTGAATGAAGGATTTTTCAATATCGTTTCGTTGAAATATTTATTTATCGTTGACTTGATAACAATTGAAAAGGCTAACGATCATGTTTCGGTTTCAGAAGTCTATAAAACTTTTGTAGTACTCGATACCATGTTCATTAAATTATAATTAAGTGGAAAATCGCTTGCAATATCTCATAAATAGGGTTGCTGAGCAAATGTTTCACAATTACGAAAAGAAATAAATTGGAATGAGAGGAAAGAAAAGTCTGACGACGTAGTCGTATTCGATAAGAAAAAAAGAAATATTCCGGAAAATTAGTTCTTTGACTCAGCAATTTTCCAAATATTCGAGCTTTTTTTTGAACAATATCGATGAAGTGAAGTTAACGAGACTTTCAATAGAAAAAGAAATGTTATGAAATTTTTATTTTTTCCGGAAAACTTTCAGTTACTTTTCCCTTTTGCATAAAAAAGAGAGAAGAAAAGATTCTATTTTTTGCCTAAAAATATTTATGGGATAAAAAGAAACGCTTTTCGGCAAATTTAACAGCAAATGAGAGAAAAGATGCTTTTGTGAAAAAGCGAACATCGTAAAATGAATAGCAAGAGCCGACATGGAAACACATATTCAGAGAACACCGTATTCAAAATATATATTTCACGCTTTTTAGTTAAATGCTTGGAAAGATAAGAAGTCAGTAGTGAACAAACTGAGACATTTACATGAAAAGTTGAGCTTTTGTGGAAGGCTGAACTTTACTGCTGAAACTAAAAGCTTTGTCACGTTAAAAAAAAGCTTCGTTTAATCCCAGGTGAAAATTTTAGGAGGATCAGCCTTGCCTACAATTTTATTTTAATTTTTTGCCCATGAAATTCACATGAAACCAAATGTCATAACCACAGAGAGAAAATTTGCAATCTTATTCTGATTGTTTGACTCTTCATATTCTATGTATGATATTTAGAAATGTTTTAAGCATAAGCATTCAAATGGCAGAGATCAGAAATATCAGGAAGCTCAGCAAATATTCGTTTCTCACCACAAAAAGCTTTTCATCAAAATATATTTGGCAAGTGAGTCAATTTAGAAAATTTATTCCAATATTTGTTACAGTTTTCTGATGGGTTTGCAAATGAGATTTTTCACCCAGATTTTGTATTCGGTATTCTTAGGTTTGATGCGTCACAGAAAATGTGAAACGACGGATAAAGTTTCCTTTTGAATAAGTCATTCGGCTACGTTTCTCTTTTCATGAAGAAAGATTTACGAAGGATTTTGATTTATCATTGGGATCAAAACAAGGCGCTTTATTTATGGTTGTGTCGCCTTCATAGCTTCTTTTTCTTTTAAAAGCAATGATGCGTGCGGCATAGCATGGTAACGGACGATACGAGACGGGAAACATGAATAATGCTTTGACTAAAAAAGAAAATAAACTTTTTAGACTTTCAGCTTTTATTTCGAATTTTCCTAAATGATCAAAATTATGCGATAAGTGAGTTAAGAAATGAAATTAATGCGGAAAATGTCTAATTTCAATTAAGTAAGATGATGAAGCTTCAATTTCTTGATTTGGATTTGACGCATTTTCATTTCAATTAAGAGAAAAAGAAGCAATTTCAATTCAATTAGTGACTTGATGTTTAGGGTATCAGATTACATTCTTTTATATTAAAAAATTTCTAATTTGAATAAATTTTCATGAAAATTCTCTTTGAGATGAAAAAGGGAAAATTATAAATGAAATGCATATCAAATAACTTTATCTCTAGACAAAGGTTGACCAGTAATCCTTATGCATACCAATTGTGAATTTGTTTGAACAGACAATGAGGAAGAAAAGGCGGCGAAATATTCTGAAATCAAATAAAGAATAATCCTAACAATCCATATTGGAAGACTTTACGATCATTTTATTATAATCTTTGATTTTTCTCATGCCAACGTCTTCCTTCGTTCCTTTTAATGTTTGCGTTTGTTTGTACTCAATGAATCACTAAAATGTGTGTGTATGCGTGCGTTTATAAGACCCGAAATTTTCACATGAATAAAGACATGTCCTTTTGGTTCATCTGATTCAAACTTTGGACATTCTCAAACTTTATTCTGAGAAAAACCATCCGTAAAAATAGAATATTTAAATAAAAATCATTGTCCGGGGGCTTTCAAGATCGAACATGGTTTCGAGAGATTGGATTGAATTTCCAATTTCTCTCTCTTGAGACGAACCTATTGCTTGCACGAACACAACTTAAAATAAACATAAATTATGGAGCTTTGTTCGTATGATTTTTTAGGATTTTCAATTCCTTTCAATTCTTCCCTACGTCAAAATTTGCTTTTACAATAAAGATAAAAATTCCATTTCTTGTTTTTCTTTTCACATTGTCGTTTATGGACTGATTGCCTATGTTGTGTGAACCTATTTTTTATATATTTCGATAAATTGAAATAAAAACAAACTCACAGCATATCAATTTATATATTTTTGAACGTATGAATAAGCTAAAATAAAAAAGGATCGAGAATCGAAGGAAAACATAGCAAATACGTGAAGGTCGCTTGGGGAATTTTCCTGAACGAACTACGTGATATCTCAAAAATTGCTTATTATTTAAGAGAGTTTTGTTTGATTTATGATTTATGATTGCTGTCGATTTAAACAGGGATTTTAACATGTTTCTAGGATATAATCTAAAAGTAGATATTTGTGTTGAATCCACAATCTTGTGTTATCATGCGCTTTACTCTAATATCAGCTCTTGATAACATTCAACATTGTGCTATCCGATGGATGAACATAAACATCGTGTTTATGCAAGCCTTAAAAATAATTGATCATTTGTTTGAAAAAGCTTTATTTCGAAATTTTAGTTAAATATTTATAAAGTTGAATTTCATTTGAAGTCGACAATTTATTTTTGTTGAGGTAATTGAAACTCATTCTTCATCAATGAATCGAACAGATATTGGAAACTAACTGAGAGCTGTTGATGGAAATTACATCATTCTGGATTTGCTTATCTATTAGTTACAGTCTCTGCGATCAATGAAACCAAATCTAGACTTTATTCATATCAACGAAAACAATCTTTATGAGTTTTGTGTACATTGCAAATAGTTGATGTTAACATAAAATATTTGTTATTAGAATTGCAAGCAATTTATAAAACAGAAATGTTCTCGTACATTATCTATAAGTTTTTCTGTAGTTTCTTTGTTTGAAAAAATTGCTTAAAGATAAAGTGGAAACAATGAAACTTTGTCGTTATCGCTTGAACTGTGAGACGAAAAGTTTAAGGAATTTCTTCCAAGTTTAAAATATGAACATAGAAAAATAAAAAAAGAAATCAATAAAAAGAAATTCTCTGCCAAATATTTGCGATTAATTGAATATTGAATGAGAATTCAGTTTTAGGATGGAAGCATGAAATGGTCGCATGATGTATCAATTTCTTTTATTAAGACGACTCATCAAAAAGCTCGAGTCATGCTGCATGGCAAAATTTGTACCTATCGGTATTTGTGTAAGAATTAAATTTCTGTCAATATAACACCTATGGCATGTGCGATGATTGTCAATTTCCAAGGATGGATAATGTGTCAACGTACAAGAAAAACTTTTAATTTTTCCATGATATATATTCTATGTGACATCAACAATATGTTACATGTATTATTTATTGTAGGTTTTTAAGGATATTTCCGAACGTACACAAACACGAGATGCTCTTTTTCATTTTTATTTCATCATGTATCACATCGTTCATATAAATATTATCATTATTTAATGAACCTATTCATTCTCGGGGCCTTTCGAGAATAATAACGTAAAAGACAAAGTACAATAAATATCCAACACCAACTCAGCATATCCACGCAAAAGTCCTGCTGTCATCAGATCAAATGAACAGCTTAAATCAAAGCTTCAATCACAGAGTACGAGAGAAAAAGAATTAACAAAATAAATTTGATTAGAATTTTATGTGAGTTTCGACATAAACAGTCTTGGGTTGAGTGAAAACGATGAAGTGGAAAAATTATGCAGACGAAAAAATATTTCTTTTTATCTACATTCTTGTTTCGACTTATGAAATGTTTTTCTTTCATATCTCGTGATGGAAAGATGAAACAAGCTTTCATCGTTTATAAAGAGAAATCTTTCCAAGCTGTTTCATAACTTAACATACTCTGATGGGAAAACAACAGAACGAAATCTTTTGAAGCCCTTTTGGAAGTAAAATCTTGAGAGTGATGAGATCATTGGAATGATCTTGCGCATTACTGAAAGTTTCATCGTTCATAGCTACACTTTTTCTACTTCTTGCGTAATGTTATTTTTTTCACTCTAAAATTATTTATAAAACAAAAGAGAAAGAAAATTATTTAAAACTTAAAATTTTCATGGAAAATGTTTTTCTTACAGTCTTAACTCAGTTGAGTGACTTTCCCGTTTTGTCATCGCCTCTAGGCAAAATCACAGGAAACAAAATATAAAAGCAACGACGTTACAAAAACAATGATATAAGTAATGAGAGGAAAGAAGCTTGTTGTGAGAAAAGCAAACAACAACATTATGTACGTCAACATGAAGAAGAAAATTTCAAGCAAGAAAAATGTGTACATACGAACAGCATCAAAGTCAAACAGAAAGTTTCTTAAATTACAAAGTAGAACGAAGTGCATTGGTTATATTTTCATTGAAGATCATCATTGTTAGATAAACGGTTTTACTTTACTTCATTCTTTTTGCTCTTCACAGATAGATGACAAACAATGAAGGCGGAATGACAGTGAAAGCAAATTTCGATTCAACTTTCATTGCACTGAACGACAAAAAGATTTATTCTCCTTTTCGATTATCCGATTATGTTTCTGATGGCAACTGTTTACACAAATAGTTTCAGCAACAACGAAAAAAGTATTTTATAGAAATTGATATCAGATCATCGGAATCATTTATTTGACTTTGAGAAGAACATGAAAAAATATTTGTGAGTTTATGTTTATGCGCATTAAACAATCATGTGATGCAATAGAGATAGGCAGATAAAATTTGTAGGTCTATCCTTAATGATTCAACAAAGTCATAAAAAAAGCTTCTTCATTAATGGCCCCAAACATTGACGACAAACGATGAAAATAAATTCCCTGTGCTACTAAGACACTTGATTACCGTGACAGTTACTAAGGCGATGAATTCACAATTTAAAGAGACTTCTATAAGATTTCTTCTATTTATTGTGTCAATGGTGAGGGTGGAGATATAAAAAGCACATTTATGAAAAAGTGGAGATTCGCAGATGGCTTGAATACGTTGATGATGCCTTTTCATGCCGTTTGTCATTGCACAATGAATAGAAACCATGAAGCACTTGAACGATATTTATTCCAAGAAGTCCTTCAGAACTCCTCATAAATGGAATGTCTAAGCTCAAGTTTAAGTCTTAAAGTAGATAGTATTTAATTACAACTTTCCCTTTCCGATACAAAAAGTTTTCATTTGAAAACTTCTAATTCATATTAAAAGTTTTGCAAATTAAGATTAAAGAAAGAGACAAAACTTTTGTTACGTACATATTTATTCAGTAGGTATCTAACTAACGTGTTATTTATTTGAGATGAAAGCGATTTGAAAACGTTATGAGAAATTTAATTATATTATTTTCCTTCTATTGTCTCTGAAAAACTAATATTGAAGTTTTGCTTGATATGAATTACAAAAGTCAGAATTAATTAATACATTAATGAGTTTCTTTGTTACCAACGCAAAATGTTGCGACATTTTGTAAAGAATTTTTTTTCTCAATTATAAAATAATTAAATAATTTAATGTAGAAAGTTAAAACGACAAAATTGTAAACACTAAAAAATGAAAGTACAATTTTTATGGTTTTGAACAACTGCAATATTCACCAACAGAATTACATTTTTAATTTGTCAATTAACAATTTTTTATCAGATTTTGTGCCAACTCATTTAAAAATATTGCAATATATGGAAAATCACATTACCTACATAAGTGAAAACATGTTCAAACAAACCCATAGACGTGACATCAGTATCATGAAAAGCACGAGAACACATGTGAGGAGAGTGAATAAAAATGAAGTGAACTCTCCTTGAAAAAGATGAAAAGGACAGAAAAATTTAAATAGGATTGAGAGATTTCAGTTATCAGTTTAAAATATCTTTGCTCGATTTATCAAGAATCTACTGTAGTTGATTCAAGTTGTTTCACTTAGAAACGACATTGAACCCAAAGCAATTTAATCACTCAAAGCAAAAAGTATTTCGAGATGCACAACTAAGCTTGAGATATAAATAGGAAAAAGAAGAGTAAAGGATTCTTCACTTCACTATCTAAATATAAGACATGAGAGACATGAGTGTCATATGAAATAAAACAAAATGAAACTGAGAGAAATTTAGAAGAGATTGCTCTAATAAAAAAAGGCAAAGGGACTTTCAGCATCATTTCACATGCGAAGCACATACAACAAACGCTTTATTTCGTTCCAAGATTGTCCAGTGCTAACAACGAACCTAGAACAGTTGGTTACAGCCTAATGATCTTTACGAAGAGATTTTTCCGGAAGTTATATTGTCGTTTGTTACTGTACCGACAGAAAAATTGGCTGAGAAAGGAATTTCCATTGGATTAAGATCCGAATCACGCAAAATTTTATCCACATTTATTCAGAATGAAATTGATCATTAATTAAAATCAATTAAACCACAAAAAATTGACTTCGTCGTCGGATGGGAGAGAAGAATTTCATGAACTTACCTTAAGAGCAATGCTTTGTTGATAAATTAAATTCCATCAAAAAGTTTTCTCCTTTGATGACTTCGATACGACCATAAATTTTTTGTTTCACTCGTTTTTGTCCCTTTTTTTCGTCGTCGAATGATTTTCAGTTTATTTTTCACTTTTTCCGCTTTTCATGGACACAGCAAAACGATGAAGACGGTGTTTTATTTCGAATCGTTTTTCATTTGCCATACCAAAGAAGAGAAGCAAAAAATAGCTCAACGGATCGTTCTGAGTTAGACAGATCCGCAATAAATTACTTTCGGAATATTTTTTTTCTTCAGCTCCTTTATTTCATGGCTTTCAAAAAAAAAACATAAATATCGAATTTTTGGCACGTTGGCACGGTTTATCTCTGTTTATGTTAGGGACTGGGGTATTTGATGACACAGTTTCTTGGGCACACTCAAGAGACGATGTTATGTGTAACAATTACTCCAATTACTAGACTTTCATGCATATATCCATGCGGGTGTTTGTGCGTAAATATTATTTATTTATTTTTGCAACAAATAAAGAACTTTGTAGATGAAGCCAGTCACTTTATTGGTTTTGCAAGAATTTCATAAAAAGAGCTTTGATCTTATTTCAATTATTATTTTCTTGACAACTTTCTCTCTTTCTGAATTTACAGTTCAGAATATTCTTTAGCAAAACTTAACTTGTATAAAACACACCCGAAAGACGAACATCAAGAATGTTTTTCTTTTTTGCGAGATTGTGAAATCTGTTTTCCATCGCACATCTCATTCCATTCAGTAAAAAACGTTCACTTTTGCATACAATTTTTCTCTTTCTTTTCGTTGTTCTAAATTAATTGGTTTTCCTTTGTCTCGATTTTCAAATCGAAAACTTTTATGTGTTTTATTTTCTTTCTTTTGTCACAAACTTCACTTAATGTTATTTAACTTTAATTCCGTTTCTTATACAATTTAAAATTATTTAAAGATTTTATTCGGCTAACTCAAGCATTATAATGAATTTGAGCGTTGAAAGAAACTACAAGAAAAGTTCGTTTTGGCACGATGGAAAATTTCACTTAATCAATTTCACAAGAAAGCTGTCCCTCTTGAGAAATTGGAGTCTTTTTGACTGACGTTTTTATTAAGGAGGGAGTAGGGTGGAGAAGAAATTACACTAAGTCTCATTCGGACAATGCTTACTCTTGTTTCACTAATGACTAATTAGTCTTCACTTCTTTCATTTTCTCCCTATTAGAAAATCGTCTCTTGGGTTGGGTTAACTGAAAAACATTGGAATTTTCTTTTTCTTTTTTCTTGGTTTTTTTCAATTACCAAAAATCATAAAAAATTATTCACTAAACTTTTCACTCAACAATCTTTCTGCATATTATTGATGATACGACGGAGAAATAAATATTTAATGGGTAAACAAAAATAGTTTCACAATAGTCCTTTTGTTTGAATATTTTTATTTAAGAAGGAACATTTTCTGAATTTTCTCTTCTTTTCCACTACGAAAGATAGGATAGAACACACTGAAGGGCTTCTGTTTTTCTCTCCAGTTTAATGTCGAATGGGAAACAAGTTGGAAAAATTGTTCATGTTGTGCGAAAAAGTTCTTCTAGAAGAAAGCTTTCTCTCGTAATGTTGCATTGGATGAGATTAAATAAGTGTTAGTGTCATTTTTACGGGTGTGGCATTCAGCATTCAACATCCAGCATCCGGAAAACATTCGAAAGCTTTTTTAAACAAAAACATTAATAAAAGCTTTTCGGATTATTTTAAATGCTATTTATATCATAGATTTTAAGGCAAACATAATTTGATACATAGAATTATGAATAAGGAGAAAATAATGATCTAGTTTTATAAAGTCTAATATTTGAATCAAACACGAAATTTATACATTTGAACAAAATCTATGAAGAACGTTCATTTTGACAGTTATAGATACTTATCATGAATGCTGTAAATATATCATTCTAATTTAATTTTTGATTGATATTTCCATTGTGAAACAACTTCAAACAAAATCACTAAGAATTTAATTCCATCATTCACTGATTTTTTTTATGATGAAAATGATTAGAAAAATAAGGAATAAGATTAAACCAAATTCTAAGGACTAAGAGAGAAGAAAAAGGAGACAGATTAATGGAATTTTATTCAAATGAATATAATTAATTATTTAAATCAGGTTTCACTACTTACCATTGAAGCCCATTAAATTTAATCTTTTTTTCTCTTCTTTTTGTTTCTAGTCAAAATGAAATAAAGCATTTTACTTTTAAAATTTAAATGTTATAAAAAAAGAAATTCTACTACGCTGCGTAGATTAAAGTCATAAAGTGGAGATATAATAAAAAACATAAAATGTAAATGAGCTTAATTACTCGCACAGAGTCCCACTTGAAAAAAGGGCTTAATTGTTGGCGTTTCAACTTCATTTCCTTCTGTTGAAGAGTAGAATCTTTATGTTCGCAACTTTTAAAAGTTCTGTTTCGGAAAGTCAAACAAAGGTTGGATGTTTTATTATTTTGTTACACATCTACGTTTTTCACAAATTTTATTTATAGAAGAAATTTTATCAATTTATCATGTTCGAAAAAATAAGATGAACAACTCGTTGGAGAAGAACATGAAGAAAGAAGTTTTTTCATCCTAATCAGCACTTTTTCATGCATTCTTCCCGTCAATGTCTCTCATCTGTGAATTATGGTTATACTTCTTTCTGTCTTTCTTATTTTGCGTCAACATGCAGATTTTTTTATCCTCTCTTTCCATCTTCTTGCATGCTGCAAAGTCATGAAGAAAAATATATTTTCTATTCTCGATTCTCTTCCAGTAACATAATCAGCATAAAAGTAAAGTGAATTTAAATGTTTATTGTCAAAAGAAGACAAATGCGTTTGAAGTTGAAAGGTTTAAATGTTATGTCACGTTCCTTTCGAGCTGTGTGAAGGCATGAAAAAAAAGAAACCGAAAATCGAGCTAGGGAAGGCAATTGAATTCACACAAATCATCATTAAGGAATTGGAATCAAATCAGTGACATGGAAACTTTTCTCCGTGACTTACTTGGTGTAGGTATGTCGCAATTTAAAATGCATTAAAGCTTGATTTGAGAGAAGAATTTTTCTGGAAAATTTAATAACAATAATAATGAACACTTCCTTTCTTTCCATTATCAATTTCACATTCTTTTATTGAATTTCCTCTCTTCGAAGAGTAATACAGTTATCTTAATCATATTTATGCAATAACTATCTTTTAATATTTTGCTTTTCTCATCTACAACTACGAACGTTTCTGCTTTATAATAAAATTTTATGTTTATCATTTTCTTTCTTACTTCATACATTCTCTAGACACTCTCAATCCGCATCCAAATATCTACTTAAAAAAAGAATAGAAACATACAATACAACGGGGAAAAAAGTATTTTTTCGGAACTTAAAAAATTTATTATTCACAATATACAAAAATGAAAACGAATCGTTTTGATCTTTCTTTTTTTTTCTTTTTAACAGTAAGAGAGAAAAGAAGCTTTAAGAACTTTGCAGCGCTTTTTTATTTTCTAATTCAATTCTTGAAACTTTTCTTTTGTAAAAGGAGAATTTCCCTTTTCTCATACATTCCCATGGGAACTGAAATGTTTGATGTTTCATTGGGATTGAGATTAGAAAGAAAAAAATCAAGTTGGGAAGATAAAAAATAAAATCAAATACCTAAAAGAAGCAAAAGGCTTCAGGCATCCAATGAATCGTAAATGAAATTTTTTTTAAAAGATATCTCTTACACATTGTACATTATTCAGATAAACATTGAACAAGGATGAGTTGGTTACACGATAAACACAATAAAAAAATTATTGTCTATAAAAATATAAAAATCTGTAAACACAAGAGCAATAAAAAAAAGCAAAATAAAGTTTATTTAATTTGATGGGTTCGAAATCGTTCGATTTATCGCTTTTTTCTCTCGCATTCTCGCGCTTTAATTTGTAATCAAAGAATTTTCTTTCCTTCTCGGTTTCATTTCCGCGTAGAAAAGATTAAATTTTCATCGAAATGTTTCTCAAGTTTATTTATTTTTGGGATTTCTTTTCCCTTGGATATTTTCTATTTCTATCATCATCAGCAAACAAAACGAGCTATGGTAGAGAGAATAAGGAAGCGTTATCATTTATCATCAATCGCCTTTGCTTCCGTTTCAGGAAAAAGAAAAAAAAATCGTGTTTGTTCTATCGGCAATGACCTCGATTTTTCATCTTCATGATGGTTTTTTTCTTTCTTTCTTTGGTTTGATCATCGACGGGTGAAGAGAGAAAGTAAAAGTAATTTTTAAGGGAAGAGATTAAGTCAAGTTTTGGGGGATGTTAGCTTATGATGTTACAGTAACATAGATAATTTTAATTTCTTTTTTTATTTAAATATTTCGTGTCGTACATAATTTAAAAAATTCTTCTGCCTCATGCAAGAAAAATAAAAAGGAAAATAAGATCTACTATAAAAGATAAAAAAGACTGTCAGAGAAACGTGTAAAATGAAAGAGGGAAATAAACATTTACACATTCGACTGATCATCAGCAGTTTCCGTAATGTTCACACAAAAGGAAAATAATAAAAAAATAAGAAAGGAAAAGCTCTTACGTCATAAGAGAGGGAAATGAATGATTAATCAATCACACGCACGAAAATTTCACTCCCTCTTCGTTTGAGAAGCAATTGTGACAATGGAGTCGAGAATTTCGAACTCTTACATCGGTGCCATGAATATTTCCATCGGAGATAGGCGTCTGACAAACGCTACATTTGAAACAGTCGATGTGATAAAATAATCCGAGATTTTCGATTATCATTGCAGCTCCAGAGCCCAACTCGTGATTACAATAAGAGCACAATTTCTTACTTGATACACTCAAAACATCTAACTGTGGAGGCAATATGGGAACTGGTGGTAATGGTGGCTGTTGTGACGGTGACAAGGGATTGTGAATCATGTTGCTTGTTGGCTGAGGTTGCTTATGTGACACCATCAATAATGGAGTTTGACTTGGCGGTTGGACTATTGGCGGCATCTGTTTTGAATCGAATATCGTATATCTACCCAGAGAATTTAGGAATAAAAAAAGAAAATTTCCTTCAATTTCATCATCATGTATGCGTCTATTTTGTTAGATAAAAAAATAAAGAAAAAAGTTTTCCCAATTTTTTCTTCCTTTCACTTTCTCATCGAAATAAATTGATGAGTGAACGACGTGGAAATATTTATTCCATTAATCATTCTGGGAAATATAAGATTGCTAAAAGTTAGAATGAAAGATATTTTCAAGTGTTTTCAAGTGCAAAAGATTGGTGAAAATTATCACAACAAAGAAATGAATGGAAGATTTATTTATTAAAAGAAAATAAAAGCAAGATGTCAATATTAATGTCAGCGGCATCGTGTCTGCCATTTTCTCTCTCTCTCACCTTTTGTTTACATTCACTCCTAAGCCCATGTTCTGTACTCGCTGTGTGAGTGTTTGAATAACAGATTCTGGAAGTGGTTTTTTACTGTTTCCATTAGCAGCGACACCATTTGAACGGACATTATTCATTTGCTCGATGCGACGTTGTTCAGCCTCTTGTATGAGCCAATGTGAGTTTATTGATGGTTTCACCGGCTCGGATTTCCTGTATTGAACCCAATCATTTGTTAATTTTGGCTTTGGGACAGCACTTATCTGCATAAGCGCATGTCGTGTCATGTTATTGTAGACATTATTAGAGTGATGATGTGTTGTTGATGTAGGTGGTGGTGCTGGAGGTTGATAGGGCTTCGGAACCAAATTATTATGATTCAATTGCATTTCCGATTTGCTTGATGTTGTAGTCAATCCATCGGAATATGGATAGGATGATGGAACTGCTGGCGATGTTGAGAGTTGTTGTTGGTAAACTTGATGACCATTAGAATTCCATCCGTTTGAAAATTCCTGTAAATTAGGCATAGATTTACGATAATCATTTATTTGATAAGACGTCGACGACAACGTCTGATGTTGTTGAATTGGATGCATGTGATGGTGGTGATGATTATTTATGTTCTCATAATGTGAATTTCCATTTGTTAGCATGGCATTGGAAACATTGTTCAAATCTTGAAGTGATAAGCTCGAAGGATTGTTAGTCATCAACATTTTTACGCCTTCATCGAGTTCACGTCTTGCAAGATTCTTACGTAAAATTAAGTTCTCACGTTGACGTTTTAACTCTTGTTGTTCAATTTGCAAGAGAAGCTGTTCCACTCGTAAGACTTCCTGTAAATTTTGCGTCAAACACAAACATCGCAGCAAAAAAAAAAAGAAAAAAAAGCGTGATTTTGCGTGCAAACATAACATAAAACAAAAAAAAATCTTAATAAGAAATCTAAAATAAATGTTTCAAAAAATGCAGATAAAGAAGTTTTTCTAGAGAGATGAAGAAACTTGCACAACCTTATCGTTAAACTGCACCATTAAACACCATAAGTATGAAAGAATTTGCATAATTTAGTCAGCGACAGTAGAAAAATGTTATGCTGGTGTAAATCGAAAAAATTTTCAATGTAAGAAGAGTGGAAAAGTTTCAAAGCTTATTCTATCATGCAACATAAACAAAAAATATTGAAAAAAAAACTAAGAGAGATAAGAAAAGGAAAATAGAGTGGAAAGGATGATGAAAATTTATGTCATGCATCATGCTGCGATAAAGATTTTTATTTTTTTATGTAGATCTGTATGCAAAGTGATGTTGTGAGTAAGACTTGTCTTTAATCTCTCATGAACTGAATTCTCAGACTCTTATTATTCCAACATCATTTTCATATTCCATTAAGCGGCACCACCCTCACCCTCATACCATTTTAATGTGTAGATATTCATGTATGCCATCACCAAGTAGAGAAACTTAATAAAAATGTTCAACATTTCTAAGAGTTTTGTATCTTTTTGATTTTTTTTTTCAATGATTAATTTGTTTTATCAGTACCTGATGATCATCATCGAATGAGTCATGATGATGATGGTAATTAGAATATTTCTGAAAACATAAAATGAATGAATTCAAAATTAAAAGAAATGAGTTAATGGTTTTACTTATCAGATTGCCAGATGTTGTTAACAATAAATATTTAAGACAGTTTGAATGGAATATAATGAAAGTTCATTTTGTTTCGATCTGATATCATTAAACATGCTATGTCACTCAGTAATTAATTGATCATCATTAAAAGTAATCAATATTGACATCACATGTCGACGATACCAATTCTTAAGAAATAAATCAAAATAAATCGAAAGGCTTAAACATGAACTTCACGATAAAAAAATTTCACTTCTCATGCGAAGTTGATTAGTCACAAAAACGAATGAGAGATGAAAGAAAGATTTGCGTGAATGTTATTGACATCAACATGACTTGCGATGCTTACCTCTTGCTTACTGATTTGTTCTTCCAAAGTCTTCATTCTGTTATCATCTTCATTCACTGTATAACTTTTAAAGTTGCCACGTTGTTCGCTCATTAATATTCCCGAACTCATTTCTCCCATTGTCTGTTCCACTTCAGATGATGTTGAAGATGGTTCACTGCTCTGTCGTGAGTGATTGTCCGATAAGCCCGAATCACGACTTTCGCCTGAATACAAACAGATATTGCAATTTAATTCAACTTTTTCATTTGTCAAATGACTTTTATATGAAAAATTTTAATTTACCATTATCAGAGTTTTGATAAAGTCCAACTTTTTCATATAATTGCTTCTCCAATCGTTTTTCTTCTTGCAATAAAGCTTGCATATCTGGTGGAGGTGCAATTGACATTTCAAAAGCATAATCATCAAACTCTTGTCCTTCAATTCCCAAGAAACTCGATCGTTTGTTACGAATTTCTTTTTTAATTCTCTTCGTTGAATTGATTCGTTTGAAATTATCCAACTGATCATCATGGCTTAACTCGACTTGTTCTTGGGCTGGCAATGGTGGTGGCTTTTCTTTTGGTGGCTCCATAATCAAATATTTAGATTGATCGATTGGGAAAACCATTTCCGTTCCATCATCAATGCCAAAACTTTCATTGCTTTCAGCCATCGAAAATCGTGAACTGTCTGACGATGCTGGGAACATTAATTCAACATTTTCGTAGACAGGGATTGGCAAAGGTTTCTTCGGTATCTCGTAGTAAGGTTCTCGTGAGCGAGGCACTTGATAATGTGGCTCCGTTTTGATGATGTTTTCCTTAGTGTCAACAGAGTTGGTGCCTTGAACATTTTGATAAATTTGTCCTTCCAAGTTATGTTGTAAATTTGAGTTTCCAACTAATTCAACTGAAGTTTGTTCATTTGGCTCCGGTTCAGCTTCATTCTCGTTATCAATCATTTTAAACGCCATATCCAAAGCTTCTTCAATCACCTAAAATATTTAAATATTCGATGTTTCTCAATCATAAAATAATTTGAATAAATTTTCAACCTCAATTTGTGGAAAATATGTTTTAATTTTCCCCTTGAAGTGTTTTTGATTATATACAAAATATTTCCACATTTTACTAAGGAAAGTTTTCATCCATAACCTTTTTTTTTGTGCTTTCGCTTTTTCTAGATGTTAATTAAATCATTCTCCGTGCTAACTTACCGTCGTCGTCCTTAATGATTTAATAAATAATAGAATGGAAGGAAAAAATTGTTTCACGTTCAGCCGAATCATCAATCTCACGAACGAAAAGGGATTATGATCCGCATAGGAACGTATGTCATTCATTTCATTCAGCACATATCCACACACACATAATCAAACTATACTTTCTGTGCAACACAAAAAAAAAAAACGAAATGAAATTGTGAAAAAAGTTTTTGTTCGTTTCGTGCAACGTGCTCATGACTGAGGGATGTTAATTAAGGAAAGTTTTGATAGGGCGGGAGAAAAAATCAATAAATCAACTGAGAATATCTAAGAAAAGAAAGCCAACACCATTCCAACTGATTACAAGAGCTTTTCTGTTATTTTTACATCATCTGAATTTGAATTATTATTGAAGCAATTTTTCACCAGTGTATTTACATTATGTACGATAACATTAGGTATTCTTATCATCTAGCATAAATACATCTACTTTATCTGTTTCTAGGGAGTTGCCATTTGCCAAGTAAGTAAATATAAGAAGCTAAGAAGATGAACTCCTACGAACTTCATTTTTATCCTTTTTCTTAAGAAGCTTTTAATAAGTATCCATGAATTCAAATAAGTTTTAAATATCTTTGCAAGTCTAAACAGTAAGGGAACGTTCGTAATTAATTACAAAAGAATTCAAAATTTTTCATTCGAACCCCTCGATGTAAACTAATAAATAATTAAGCCGCCTTCACATTTCAATGTTCTTCATTTTTCAAGCCGCCGATAATTTTAATTAAGAATTTCAAAAACATTAATTACGAACATTCCCTAAATAGAATTTCAATTTAACAGGTCAAAATGTATTTGTAAATATTATCTCTGAGAGTAAAAATTTTAATTCTCTTTTCTTATCTTTTTATATTTCTAATGTTTTACTTTTTCCTTCAGCATAATTGCACCATCTGTTTATATTCTCTATGTTCCCATGCAACTTTGCAACTGTTAAACTTTTCTACATTTAGTAAGTTAGGGAGATACTTTTTCTTCTCATAGTTCTAAGCATTTGAACTTTTCAACAATTTTTTTTCCTTTTTTGATTATCATGTTACTAAATTTACTTGAGCTCAAACTTCATCCTAACATAGCTAAATAAAAGTTTTAAATCTTCTTAGATTCTCTTTTCGAGCCTACATCTTTGGATTTACATTTATTAATAATTGAAACCTTAAGCCACCAAGAGTTATTGAATTGAATCGAATTGCAATTTAATCTGAGTCAATCAGTTAAGCGTTAAAAGTTGATTTTCATGGAGTTGCGCACATGTAACGTCACATTCACATCATCAAATGTCATAACTATTTACTTATTGTGGTTTCAATCAAAACAATAAGTCGCTTTGGCAAGGTTTTCATTCATTTTAAGAAGAAGAAAACAATCTTGAAGATTATTCGATAACAAATTCAAAGCTTTGCGTCACGATGGTCAGTCACTGTAACGTTACAGTTGAACAACTCCATTTTAGCAATAGAAAGTTTAATAATTTAGAAGCATAGAATAAAAGCTACAAATAATTATTTGCCAATTCAACGATGGATTTTATCCTCGGCATCATCCATCAAGCTTTGGCCATCAGACGACGAGCATAACGAGAGAGCGGCATCAATTGAGTTGCTTTTCTCTATCCCGTTTGTCTTTTGGTGTTCAGATCGATTGATGATGCATTCATATATATAATTATTTTCCATTTGAACGTCATCATATGACTGATGATCGTCCATTAAATTAGATTGAATAAAATCAAGAATAGCAATATTTGGAGTCTTTGGAACATTTTCACTGTGATGGGTTTTGTTAGTAGTAGCCGCTTCCAAGTTCAGAACCATAACCGATTGTGTTTGATCGTCATCAGAGCAACTTACGCTTGATTCATCATCGATTGTCTCCACGTCTTCAGCTTCATCCTTTGTTACTTCCTTTTCTTTAACTTGGTCTGCAGTTTCCTTCACAACAAGTTCATTATCATTCAGCTTGGTGATTTTCTCTTCTATGACATGCTGAAACTCGTCAATGTGTTGCTCTGTCTGTTCATCAGCTTGTGAGACAGCACAAGAAACATCTGTTGTTTGAATGCCGCTGTCTTCACGGTCAGTCGATCCCAAGGACTCATTATCATCATTCACTACCAACTTAACATTCACGTTATTGTTGTTGGTGTTGTGGTTTGGATGTTGCTGTTGTTGTTTTGTTTCAAATTCATTCTTTACCTCTTGAATGTTTTTGAATTGCGCTTCAACGGGATTACGTTTCGGTTCGTCAACTGGTGACGAAAGTTGAAGACTCGACAAACGATCCTTTAATTTCGTCGTGGTTGGTAATTCAACTTTTTTCGGTGGCGAAGCACTGATTGTTGTTGTCGCTAAATTGTTTCTTAAACTTGAAATACGATCTTTAATGCTGACAATTTCCGTTCCCAATTTGGAAGCTGCCGCACTTGTACTAATGTTACCATTTCCAACGACAGCATCATCTTTCGTTTCTTTCTCAAACAATTCACGTCGCTTGTGAATGTCAACTTTGGGAAGGTCCAATTTTGTCGTTTTTGAAACGCGACTCTTGTAATCTTCAATTGCATCATCATAAGTGTAATCACGTTCACGTGATTCAAAAGATGATCTTATTGATGGTGGTTTTGTCGTCGCTGTCGTTGTTTTTGTTGACACAGACATTGTATAAGTTTTACTTGCCAAATCAACCGTCATTCGTTCTTCAATTTCCGTGTTTTGTTGCACTTCCCGATGCATCATCGTCGGTGTTTTATGAATGACATCTTTGATGAGTGCCGTTGAATGGAAATTTCCATTACTGTTATTGTTGTTGTTGTTGATTGCATCGTCATTTGCCTTTGTATCATTTGGTTGATTCTTATCTACATCATCTTGATGATTATCACTCTGAAAACGGAAAAATATTTGCACAAGAGAAGAGAATAAAAGAATTGTTGGAAGTTAATTGACTTTAGCTGTCAACTACAAGTTACTATAAGAGGAAAAGAAAGAAGAAAAACTCACATTTATCTTAGATATATCACTTGAATCATCATTAGCTTCCGACGATGCTTTCAGACCGCTCATGTCGATAGACGAATCTTCTTCCGGATAAATGGCGAGCGATGACAGTTTACTACGTGATCCACTGGAATTTTGATTATTAAGAAGATTCATGTCAAGATTGCTTTTCTTTTTATTTTTTTTTCAAGGTCTAACAAACACAAAACTCACCGTTCTTCTCTCAATTCATTAAATGTTTTTGATTTTCGACGATTACGATCGTGCTCTTCCTCTTCCAACTTTTTCACTTCCACAACACGATCAATGATATGCTCGACTCGTTTTCGACGCGACGATTTCCAATTGTCTAGATTCTGTCAATGAAATTGGCGCGAGTTGAGGATTTGATTAAAAATAGTAGAAATTGTGTCATTTTTTTGTGTTTGATTTACAATCAACAATGTTTAATGTACGTGAGACGCAATATTTATAGCGAGTTGATCAGTAGCAACAAAAAAAAAAGAAAGAAGAAATGAGAAAACATCAAGATTCAATTGAGATGTTAAAAAGAAGAGATAAAATTATTTTCACGGCACGATGCTTGCTCCAATGAGCTTCCATTTATCTTGCGCTGATCTCAAAAACAGAGCAAAGCATCGAACCGTGTAAAGAGATGAAAAAAAAACTTTTACTTGTTGACATGCGTAATATGACTAACTTACGTTTTGCCAATCTTCTGGTTCTTCTTTACGATTTACTTCCTTTGCTTTTCGAATCTCTTCGGCTTTCTTTAGCTGCTCTTGAGCTGTTTGAAATAAATTGCTTGGCTTTATTGCGACAAACTGCATTGGATTGTAGGCTGGTTTGGGTGGCGCTGCACGAGTGATTCTTTCTTTTTGAATGTATTCCGTATGTTCCACGGATACCTGATCAAGTTAATAATAAATTGTTGAACAATTAAACATCAATTTAATGCTACAATAAAACAAAAACTTTTATTTTTCTCACTTTCTTGCTCGGTCTGTGACCATCATTTCCATTCACTTCACTTTTCTCATCGCATTCACTGGATCGATGACTGTCAAGAGTTTCACACGATGAATATTGACTGCTTGTGTCCATTGCATCCGTTGATGGTGATGGCATTGTTCTCGATGATATGTTGTTACTTTGTTTACTTTCTTTATCACTTCCGGCTTAGTTTTACTTTTCAAAGATTCTTCGATAACTTTTTTCACTTCTTTCTTTCTTTTCAAAGTTTTTCCTGTGATTCTTTACTATACTCAAATGAAAACTCCCAGCGAAATCATTTCATGACTTTGTAGTACGAAGAATTTATGAATGTTGCAGTTGATCGACCAAATTTATTCTGTAAGAAACACAAAAAGGGTTTTATCAAACTTGCGTAATTTTCCTTTCATTTTTTGGCTTTTATTTTCTTCTTTATTAACGCCACGCTCCATTAAAGTTTAATGTGGGATTACCAAGAAGAAATCACATTAATACCCAACCAACGTACGACCCACTTTACTATTTATTATTAACGTTGATGATCATCAACAACAGAAGTCCAAAAGTGCTTTCAATGCATTTATTATCTAATGAGTTTAAGTGAAAAGCATATATTTATGTAATATTTATGTTTAACGCGTAGATATATTATTCATTTGAAGAAAAAGACATAAAATTGCAGATTTTTCCGCGCTGTTTTGTAAGTCGGAGTAAAAATAATAATAATCATAAAGAAAAAGAAAATTGACAGCAAAAGTGAGTAAGAAAAGTTTTTTTATTTTATTTCTAGCAACACAAGAAGAAGGAAAGAAATTTTTGTTACTTTCACTTTGATTGTTACAATTAAGTTTGGAAAACAATGACTTGAATGTTTAAATTTTCTTTTTTCTTTATTTTTCTAGGTAGTGCGCTTGCATAAGTGCAAAGCAAGGCAAATCAAATAACAGAGGCCGAGTCAAGCTTGTCTGTTGCTTATAGATGTTTGATCTAATGAATAATTACGATTATCATTATTATTATTAGTATTTTGAACAATCAATTCAGAGCTGCCTTGCAAGCAAACATAATGAATGAGCATTGTTGTTGTATAATAAGCCTACTGGAATTTAAAATCGATCAAGTCGCAAACAATCGATAAACCTAATTAATTTCTCATTTTATTGTCAGTGTTCTTGTTTTCTCATGTTTTGTGCCGTGTTTCAGCTTTTTCAACATTTTTTCATATATTCAACCTTATCAATAATCACACAATTAATTTCTTTTTGTCACTTAACGACGTTACTTTTATTCCCATATGTTATCAAGATTCGATGTCATCTTCGTCGTCAACAACAAAAACAACAAAAGAAAGCTTTTTTGCTTGAAGCAATTAGAGAAATTTGTCTGTTCATCAAGCTGCGACCGACGCACATTTATTCCACCAATGTTTCTTTACCGCTTTTTAACCATTGATGAATTAATAATTTTAAGGCGATTCATTTCCATTTCCATGATGAAATGAGTTGAAATATAAAAAAACACAACGGCATGCAAAAACATTTTAAGTGGCATTTTCAATTTCTATTTGACTATATTCAAGAAATGTACGTGCTGGTAATGTCCATCCGCTCACTGTTTATTTCCTTATCTCTTCAGATATTGGCGAGACTCACTCTTAACCACTTAGACGATAGATAATCGATAGCAATTACCTTTCTACAAACCTTATTCGCTTTTAATTTCCATTTTACATAATTTTTTTTATTATGGTTTTTATTTTTTTTTACTTCTTTTTCTTTCTCGACTTCAACTTTAGTCGTTTCAGTAATCGAACGTGTAAAAAGCGCCTAAAACGTGACATGAAACTTTTCTCTCTCACAATTTGTTATTATTTGCAAGCATCACATCACTTCACATGAACAGAGAGTTGAGTTGAGTTGACCCAAAGTCTCTTGTTACCGTAAAACGCCATGAACAGACAATACAACGAATTTCTACCAAAAATGGAATTAATGGACGTTTTATGATGCATGCGGATAAAAAAAGATTTATCAAGTGAAAGAAATGATTTTTATCGTTGAACAAAACTTAATTGACTTTTCCATCCAAATATCAATTTTTCATTTCTCTTTCATTATGAATCGTTTTTATCTCATTTAGATTTAAATAATTTGGAAACAATTCAGTTTTAAAACAACTCTATTTATAGCGAGTGTTTAGTTTGACGGAACGAAAATATAAAACCAACAATAATTAGGTAAAATCCACTTCCAAGGCTAAACGAAACGGAAGATTAATCGATCGATTAAATTCATTCGCCGAATAGAGATACAGAGACAAACGAAGGAATCAATAACAATTTGTTAACTTATCCATCTGACTTTAGTTTCATTTCAGGAAAATGGAATATGTAAAACGACAGCACAACTGCTTCAAGCCTCAAGGGATATTTTATGATTTATGTCACCGATGACGAATGAAAATGACTTCGCTTACGCTTTATGGTAATGGCAGACATTTCACTCAAATCAGTCACCGAATGTTTTCATTCTCTACAGTTGATCATTTAACAAAAATAAATCTTCATCCACTTTACCGTGTAATTCGAAGCGCACATTTTTCTGACATTTTCTCATTCATTTGGACATTAAAAACCAAGAAATTTACATAAAGATCAATTAATTATAATCTCGAGTTTACGTCAACCTGGAGAATTTTTCTCATTTCATCGAAAACTTTTATTTTTAAATATATATCATTATTGATCTATCGAAACCGATACATCAGCGTCAGTGTCAGATGGTGAATTTTTATGAGTTTTTTGAGCGTTCTCGAGAGGTCTCTGCTTCATTTCTAATCATCGTTAAGAGATCTTCAGTAAGCGATAAGAAAAAAGCTCATAAAATATAGAACTTTGTTGCAATCTACACACATAATGGAAAAGAAAATCTACAGAGAGAAGAAAAGCAACCAACTTATGAATATAAAAACAACAACAGTTTTCGGTACACCAATAGAATATTAAGAAGACTATATTCAAGTAGCAGTCAAGCAGCATGCAAAGGGAAAATGCCAAAAAGTAACGGGAAACCTCGAAAGAGCCACTCGAGCGCGAGAATTTCTTAACAGAACTTCATGAAATGGAAGAAAAAGAAAGAAAACCAACCGAGACAAGGCAATGAAAGGCGAATGAATGAAGCAGAAGAAGAAGGAAGGAAAAAAACGTAAACATATCAAATGGCATAGATTCGTGCTTAGAACCAGTCAAATAATGCAACTCGACATCGACCGACAAGAAATTCTATTTTTATCATTCATCGTCGACGTTCTATTTTTATTGTTTTGAGCATGCGGCGAAAATTTTGAGAGTGAGACAAGCAGATGATGAATTTGAAGAATTTTCCATTTATTTATCAAAGATTTAAAAGTTTTGTGGAAGTCCAGAAGTTTGGAATGTTAAGTAATAGTGGCAAGTAAGAAACAAACAAAAAATTCAAGCACATAAACGTCCGACATCGTTTTCAAACACTTTACGCCACTGCTGACCGATCACAGTTGTCTCCACATTTACTGTCGCGATATAATCGAATCTGTCATTCGAAATTTTCCGTCATCCATCAAATGCAGTTAAAAGAAAAAGTTTTTTTACAGCTCCATCATTTGTTGCGTTGATGAACGAACATGCTTCGTCCATCACACGATAATTAAAATTTATCACTTGAAACGCAACCCAAATCGAATTGAAACGAACAATTTGAAACATAATAGCATTTTGATTTCTTGAAATAAATGTTTTATGTTTGATGAAATTCGATGAAGCAGCTTTAAGTTTAATAGTTGAGAGATAGCGAATATAAAAAAATTAATAAGAAATTATTGAATTTCACTAAACAACCACTTCATACAGTAGACATTTATGTCTGCAATGACTATAAATGTTAGCATAATTCTAAGAAGAAACAGAAGAATGAATACAAACTTAGAAAGTGCACAAATGAAAGCTTGCTGGCAGAGAGGAAAGAAAGAAAGAAATAAAAGAAAAATCAGAGCAGCAAGTCACAGCAAGAACAAGTTTAGTGTGCATCATACCACACTTCCATCCAATTGCTTTATAATTCAACGCGTTTAGAAACGTGAAATTAATTTTTCTCGACATAATAAACGAAGTGTGAGATCAAAGTGATTGGCTTTGTCATGATTGTCGTACAAGACTTATAATTTATAATGAGAAAATATTGAGGACAGTTGGTTGACCAATGTGTTAACCTTTTGCAACTTTTCGAATCCTTGATCAACGTTTCTCCTTCATTTTAATACGAATAATGCGACACTTCTGATTACGAGTTCAACTTCATGATGATCTGATTTATACAACATATTTTTATTTATATTTTTCATCGTAAAATTGTGTTTAAAATTTCGTAACAATGAACCGACATTCGACCGAATAAAATTTGATTGCGACACACATGTAGGAATATAAAAAATTTCGCGGATCGTTAGACCCTTGTCGATGAAATTTGATATAAAACAACAACGAAAAATGACACAGTCATACAACGGTAAAGAACAATTAACATTCTTGTGTGACTCTCATTCGTCCTCGTAAAGGCGAGTGATGAAATAAGTAATGAATCGACAATAGAAGCTTCGGGCTGTGTTATGAACTTTTGTATGGATTCACATTTTATTTATGGAAGAAAAAAAGCAGAAAAATATTTTTTGGAGTGTGATTGAAGCTTGAGGCGAGACTTTCAAGTCTTTCAGGTAACAACAAACCAAATATGGTTCAATCGATGAATCAAAGAGAAAAAAGCACATTTCATCATCATCAAGTGCTGCTGCTACTTCTGCTACCAAATTACTCGCGTCATCGAATTCGAGAGGTTAACGAATCATTTATCTATGTATTCTCATTTTTTATTATTGATGCAATGCAATGAATTAACGGGAGGCATCATGAGCATGGACATGATGAAAATAACAAATGAGCGAAATCGTGAAACCAACAAGCGGGTTAACTGGGTGGAGTTGAAGTTGATTGAAATAAATTTCCCAGGTAGACATAAGAGCAATTTTAGCAGTGACCACATAAATTAACAACATTATATAGAATAGCTTGTGAATATCGTAACAAAGCTTTGCAAAGCAACATTCATTCATTGTTTTCAAATGAACTATCAATATCACATAGCTGAACTCGCAAAACCCGAAATAAGTCACAAAAAATCAATCAAATTTAATTCCCAGTTCAAGCATCAGAAAATAAAAATAAAAATCGATAAAAGGTTTTGTTTATGACTTCTTCTGACATAAAAATGACATTAAGCCCAATTTATTGAACCACTGCAAAAAAAGAAAAAGAAAAAAAATTATTCCTACACAACCCAGATTACTCTTTTTGTTGTTATGTGTTCACATTAAGTTCAGTAACATAGCTCAAACATTGCAATGGAATTAAAAGTCATGTTACTTTTATGTTGAATCTAAATTCTCTACTTCTGCTGTTTAGAATTGTTGATTTATTTTTATTAATTCTTATGAATTTTTTGTTTGTTTACAAAGATAAACAAACCCAACGCAAAATGACGATGATAATGTTAAATTATGATAATGAAACAGTTTTTTTATTATTATTCAGTAAGAGAGTCATCATGTATGCAGATTTCTACATAACTTTTCAATTCAACTTCCATTTGAATTCTTCTCCCCTCCCATTAAAAATATTTCAGAGAACTTCGTTAACAAAAAAAAGTGAAAATTGTACAAAATTCGTGATGAACTTTAAATTTGTTATTCGTGGACATGCACGATGGACAGGCACATACAAGATGTTCCCAAAACAAAAAAGACATGAAATATGTTTCAGATTGTAATTGGAATGGGAATATTTAGGAATGAGAGGAAATCACGCTTCAAGCATGTCTGGGTCAATGCTGGTAACATTTTTCTTTTGAGAAAAACTCTTGAAAAATAAAGAAAGAAACAGTTGACCTCATAACCAATCCACATACTGTGAGTATAAAATTGTGGCCAAAGAATGTGTAATTGAAATACGAAATTGGTTTTCCAGAGAAAAATTGAAAGAGAAAAAAAAATCCCCAAAACCAAAATAACGTTGAGACAATTGCTTTGCTTCAAGCTTGAATAGCTACGCGGCATTCCAATGATGAAAATCACGAAGCGATAACGCAATTTATCATAATTCAAACAATCACTCGATGAGCGATGCCAATTTGGAAACCAAATTAATGATATTGTGTATGCGCGCCTTGAAATGATATTTTTTTTTGTTTCTTTCTTCTTTACGATCGCAGAATATTAAAGCTATGAAAAGCAAATTTGCTTTGATTTGAATGTCTCGCATTGAATTGTGATTTTTTTTTAAAAACCATAATAAAAGAGAGAATAAATTTTCAGTAAATCACTGTTTTAGCGTAATAAACGTTTGTCAAATAACTTTGCTCTTTATTAATTCTACTTAATTCGATTCCGTAAACACCTCTAGCTGAATGAATGAACTATGATATATCATTGTTATAATAAAATTGCAAAAGCATTTTAATTTTTGGCATTTGATTGTGTACTAGTGCGGAAATTGGGTAACTTTAGCTGACGGCAGTTCAGGTCATTCATATTTAAATCTCCGAAAAAAAAAAGAAATAAAATAAGAGACAAAAAAGTTTGATGGAAATAATAAAATAAAAAGTAAAATTTATTGTGTGAAATTATCACAAACGACATCTGGGACGAGTTGAGGCGAAAGTTCATATGCGTGGTGGTGAAATCATTTACCAAATAAAAAAAGAATAAAATTATAACAATTGCCCTAAACGAATACATATCGCACGATGACTCATACAAGTCACGCATCCAAAAATAAAATTAATAAATTTCTTTCTTCATTTATTCATTTGCTTCTGTGCTTCCAACTGCGAATGCTTTGACGATGAGCATCTGTTATAAATGCGAACCGGAGCAAGTAAACCAATTTATTGTGTGAAGTTTGTTTGCTCTTGAAATTCCCTTATTCAAAAGGAATTTTGTTTTCAATAGTCAGAGTTGATTGCAAACAGATCATTTATCATGTTGACTTTTCTTGACGCCGCCCCGAATCTCAATCGTAATGAGAATTCTTTGATTAAAATGTTTTAAGAGGCGCGGGCACCACACAGAAAATTATGATCTCTTCAAGTGCGCAATAATTTACACAACAACAATCCCTACGACGAGATTTAATTGAGCCAAGTGTCGTTTTAGTAATGCATCAGATACAGACTTTAACGATTTGTCTCTTTCATTAATTTATTTTTAATTAGATTGCTTTGGAGTCGGTAAAATGTGAAGAGTAGAAGAATTTTAAAATTAAAATACATAAAGCAGCGACAAACATGAATTGCTTGGCGCACCAAACTTTAGATCCGTTGCCAAAATATTTCAGGAATGCATGTGCAACCCGATGCTTGATGAGAGGAAAGAAAATAAGAAGAAAGTTAAGTTATTTTTGTGATGTTTGCTTTTTATGTGAAAATATCGTCACATTTACCGCGACATTTCTGTTTTTAAACATCAAACTCATCAACCATCATCGGTTTTGTCATGATGACACTTCAAGTTTCTTTAACGTTTATGTATGTAACTTACTTTCAATCTTTCATCGTCTTTTTTACCATTAATCAATTATCTACAATGGAAAGTAAAAAACTAAAGATGTTCTCAATTTGTTCACTTGCTGCTATCAACAAAATTTCCATTAACTCCACACAGCTTCGAAGAAAGAACGTGATCTTTTGTCTCTGGTTATTCCTTACGTTGCTATTTTTAACAACAAATAAACATCGATTTTAATTCTGTCTGATGATGTTTTTTTGTTCATCTGCTGATGGCATGATGAACCCGTTGGAATGAACGATTTCACTGCATAAGTTGCTTGCCAACGTAAATTGTTTTTAATGATTTAGCTTTATTTCAGATTGCAAATTAGTAAATAAACAACAGGAATTGAATCATCGCAGTTTGTATGCAAAAAACTTCGTCATTTCTGACATTGAGAAAAGGCCAACAAAGCGATTTATGAACCATTAATTAAATCGCATCGTCGAGGTATGCGATGATGATCCAGGAATTCTTTTCTTACTCAACCGGTTACCGCATCATCTGACGTTGAATGACCTTCAGAATTCGTGCCTTTAACATAGACCATTTGCCCACGTTCCTTCCATCATATGATTCTCTCTTATTCATTTGTTATTTATTTTCTTTTTTTTCGCGTTTCGCTTTTAAAACTCAAGTCTTCTTTTTTTCTGCCTTCTACTCGATTCGCAATCGTTCGATCGGTCAATTTGTAATTTGTTTTGTAATAACCACGCAACAACAAAGACTTCTTTTCTTGTTATTCCTTGTTTCACTTACTCGACGGTTTAACTCAAATTAATCTGATTAATGACTCTTCACATTCCTCTATTTGTTTATTTGTTTGTTTGGTGGCACCGATGGCGCAATAGCTTTAAAGTTTTAATTAATTTAAATCGCGCAAAATAAATGAAACAGTTTTTTATGTTTCGTTTTTGTTGTTCTTTGCAGAAATGCTTTATTAAATAAATTGAATTTTAAGAGCCATCCGACAGTCGAATGAATAGAATTCATGTTCATTAATCTAACGAGTATGTGAGGATGGCACAATAATGAAAAACATTTCACATTTTATTGCACTTGGTGTGAAACGATGAGTCGAAACTAAAATTCCTCAAATGTCTCGAAATTGGTGATGCACGAAAATGATGTAAAACGTTCATTTTTGAGGGCGTTGAATGAAATTCAAGGCTGGTGCTTGCTTGCTTTCTTTGAAATGTTTTGAAATGTACCAAACGCTCGTTTCCTAATTAAAAAACTTTCTTCAAAGCATGCAAAATTTCAATGTTGCGAATAATTTTTCATTTGTCATAACTAAAAAATTTTCAATCATCTCTGATGACTGTGACTACTGGTCATCGCTTTTCCTTTTCTTTTTTCTCATAACTTTCAACTTTTCTTCTTTCATTTTCATTTTCATTGCAAGCACCACGGGGCAAGTTTACAAATTTCATGCATTCAATTTCTACTGAGGAAATTCTAGTTTCATGCATTGATAGTTAAGCGAGTTTTGTTTTTGTGTTACATGTTTTTGTAGGCCAAGTTCTTCAGTCACAATTTAATTTCTTTCTCGTTTCTCTTTCATAATTAAAAAAAGCTTTTTTCTTTCATTTGAACTCTTAGACTTATTTAGACATAAATGCGAATTATGAAATGAACTCAAAGATCATATTGAGGGGGCGAATACTTTCTCGCCCCAGCATTAGCAATAACTCACGAAACTCTTGTAATTATTGAGCGCAATTATCTGTTTTCGCTCGAGTTCTTCAACTCTTATTACTTTGACAATGTTCCTGGTTCAACCTACAAGAGACATTCTTTCCATTTGTGCTTTAAGTTGATATATAAAACAATTTATTCTTTTCTTTGTCATGTCTCCAACATTAAACTTCCCGATAGTTGACTTTCTATTATTCTTAAACGTTCCGTTCCATTCCATTCGCTGCCCACCTATCAACTTAAACAAACAATTTCTTGTTACATACTTTTTTTACAACTCTGCTTGATCGTGTTGTTTATTTATCCTTTAAAAGTCATGATAAACTTTATTTTTTGCATTTCCTCGAATTTTTCTACATTTCCTTTCATTTTTTCACATCATGACTGACAGAAGAATTACAAGACGTGATGCTTAATTTATGTCTCTAAGTCAAGAGCTAATATAAGAATCTTTTCATGTCGATGAATATAAAATCATTGAGAAGAAAGAAACTTCACGTCTGTCCATTTCTTCACATCGTCGCATCTTTTAAAGCTTTAAAGTGAGATTTATCGATGCGGAAAAGTGTGATGATGATGCTATGCACTTATCGAAAAGTCAACCTAATGAAAGATTAAAGAGTTTGAAGAACCAACTTTAAGACGATTCTCATTTCGCTTTGCTATGTAAACAATTGAGAAATCTTTCATGTCTCTTCGTGAATGGGTGAAGGTGATGAGACGCTTTCGTGAAATGGAACTTTTCACATTTTTTTGTCTTTTTGTTTTATTTTAAGCTAACGATGTTTTTATGTAAATTTCATATTTTTTTTCCGTGGGTATTTCCTTTCAACTGTAATTATTGTTTCCATTCTCGAGACCATCAGTAGAGTCGAAAAGAAGAAGATGATGATGATGATGGTTGCGAACAATTTGAAAACATTTCATCACAATAACATACATTGGAATGAATGCTGAAGCTGCGTGCGAGAGTTGTGACATTTATCGTCTTTGATTTAACACAACCAACAGCTATTTTATAGCGGCAGCAGCATCATCATCAAGCACTGTAAAACTCTTGATTTCCTATGGCCTCAATCATAAGTAACAGTCACACTCTTTGCACTCGCAACTTAATAGCCCTAAACTATATTTCCGACTACCTTCTGCTTAAGCTATGGCATCATCGACCATCAAACAAGTTATTTATTAACTTCAATTCAATGTCGATCATTAATAAAACATTCATGTCTAGCTCTCTTTATATTCATCCATAAATACTTCTTTGGTAATTGAGTCATTAGATGAACGAGTCAGTTTCGATAAAGTTGAGCATCATCATCTCTTATGTTTTTATTTATGCTACTTTTTTTCTTTCTTTCTTTTGACTTGTTCAAAGCGCAAATAATTTCTTTTCCCTTTAATTAGGCTGAATCGTGTAAATTATTTATTATTTCGAAAAGAAATCTCCTTTAAATGCAAAGATAGAGAGTTAGTCATAATGAGAAATGAATTAAACGTCATTAAAAAATTAAAAATTCGACATTTTAAATCAATTTTCGGCACGGATTAAGATCGAAAGCTTACGCTAGGCAAGTGTTTATGGTCTACAACAGGCCGATGACTCGGTTAAGACGAGAAAATTTATTTACGTACTTTTTCTTTCCTTCTTTCTTTTCTAGCGGTAAAGTTTCATTAAAACCGTCAATAAATTACCTTACTTCCACGTCTTTGTCAGAGGGAGCGTCGTTTATTAATTACTTAGCGCTTCTTAGGTCTTCTTAATTGTCAAAAACGCAAAATTCGCATCAATTAGCCTTAAACATAAATCTGTGATAAAACCTTAAGCCGCTACTACATTTCCACCGATGTGACACCTACGTTATTTATGGTCGTCTCCCATCAAGTCAGCGAACATTAAAAACCTCCGATCTTCATCCGAAACACAAAGACTTTGCACTGTTAACTTCTAACGCCATGAAAAAGAAACTTTTTCACCATAAAATCAGCAATCAAACGAGAGAGAAATTAATTTGAATGATTTTTTTCAACTTTTCATTTTAATACAACTCACACCAATCGACTGCATGATACAATAAATAATAAATAATTAATTATGAATTGAAGGCAGCAATCATGCGATAAGAATCGAGGTTTTTTCTCCTCCAAGACAGAAATATTTCACAAGCTGCAGCAAGCCAAACCCATCATCATCACATCTTCCAGTCTTTCTCCTCGCTTCTGCCTTCTCCACACAACCATAATCGCTTTTTGTTTTAAACAGTTATAATTTCTATGGTTTGAACATCATAACTTCATAAGAAAATAAATTTTTTTTCCTCTTATTGTTTCATATTTGCGCAGCATTTTTCAAGCTAAGATATTCTCGATGTCCAAAGCGAATCGCAATAATGGCCATCAATTTTACCATCTCTAATCCAATCAAATAAGAAACAGCTAACATCTAAGCTGACTAATTAATTTACTTTGTAATTATGTGAAATTTTCTCTCTTCATCGCATCAAGGTAGATCTCATCAACGACGTTTGTAATGAGTAGAATAATAAAAAAGATGCGTTGGGAGTGAAATCAAGTTAAGCGAGTTGTCAATGAGAAACGAATTAAAACTGTCAAGGGCATTGCTATGAGTTTTATCGTACTTTATATGATCTCACAGTTATATGAAATCAATTTAGAATTCTTTCTTTCTGACTCAGAAGTTTTGCTTCATCTTATATAGATAAATATCTCGAATGGAAGTACATGAATATTACTTCATTTCATTCATGAGTCGACAGAAATAAAAAGAGAAAAATACCTGAAAGTTCATCGCATTTTTGATTTCATCATATTTATATAAACATTTACGCTTTGAAAGAATTGAGTTAGAAATTCTCACAACTGAACGTATTAAAACTCTAATAATTTTTCTTCGTTTTTTGCGTAAGCACATCGTGCTGAAAACGTCTGTCTACAAAGTGTACACAGCACGATTCATACAAGGTGGGTGATGAATGATAATAACCGTGAGTTTGTGCATTTTTCAACATTCCATATTTCGCCGAAAATCAATGTTCGAGTGCTGTACGCAGAATTCAATTCAAATTGAATCGTAGATGGTAATAAAAGAGTTTCATGAAGATTGGGGGAAAGAAATAAGTCAGAAACATTCAAAACGGTGATGAATGTTCGTTCACGAAACAAGCTCAGACTTAATCCAAGGCGAAATCAGTGCTTTTCTGCTGTTTTGTTAAAAGGTGTAAACTTGTTGAAAACAAAAGCGAAGCAGAATCAAAAAGAGCTTGAGAAATTGTATAAATGTGGCAACGGGGCTCTCGTTTGGGGAATTAAATTAGTCAAGAGCACAGTAAAATAGGAAAGTTAAAAAGAGAAGTAAGAAAGAAAATAGAGATAAAAACCAATAAAGAAATGAAGAAGAAAGAAGTAAAGAAGTTCGAGAAAATCTTGATAAGTCTAAAAGCGAGAAATTGGATTTGAGAGCTACTGGTGACGTCGATGTGCGGCATCGAGAATCGTAAGGCAAATGATAGGAATTTTAATTAACGCAAAGCAAAAATAAACTCGACACATCAGATGATTCTCAACTTTTCTTTTTATTCTTCTCTCTATTGTGACACACAGAGAATGAAATAAAATTTGATTTTCTTAATTATAAAATTAGAATTCATGAAATTTTTGTTGTTGTTTTCAAGATTGACATGGATTACTAAATAAATAAAAGAATTGCATACTTATGATGGAAAATGAAAAGGCGATTTCATGCATGGGAGTTAACGACAGCATCTACAAGACGACAATTACGACTCAACCAAGCCTCAAATTAGAAACACAATAATTATCAAGATACATAAGTCAGCAGCAAAACTCGGATTCGATCCGAATGAAATCAAGCAGTCTTGTGAGTTAATTGGCTAAGCTTACCCATAAAAGCAGCACAATACAGTAAAGCTATTGTAATTATATCTAAAATTAAAAAATCGCTCGCTTCTAATGCACAAGATGTTGAAAATTGAGTAGAAATTCTTTATTATATGGTGTGCTGAGAAATATTCAGTAAAGATGAGAGGTGAAAATGAATCTATCATCATACAAAAGCTGCAACAGATGGTAAACGACCATAAAAGTCAATTTAAAGTCGCGACTCGCGATTGATAAATGTCACTATCCTTGAACTCTTTAAAAAGAGTTTCTCTGTTGCATTCTTCATGATCTACATTCATCAAGCCGCTTAACAATGTACGAAAACATAAGAAGCAAATATTTCTTCTCTTTTGATTTCTTGCCTTTCATTCATTCGTTCGTTTCTACTCTCGTTCGTTTTGTCAATGTCCTTGAAGAATGAAAACGTCCTTGCCATGCACTGCGCATTCGCTGTTGACTTTTTTATGCTATTTGTAGCGTATTAACAAGATTTTATAACTTGTTGTTGCAAAGTGGAAGGAAAAAATGCTTATCAGGGGCATACGCTAATTTTTCACACGCTAAAGTCTTAAGTTTCTACTTTAATTGTTTCTGTGTGCTAAATTGACTTAAAACAAACACTTACACATAGTTGTTGTTAACATTTTGCGCAACATTTTCCGGAGTTTGAAAGAAATCTTTGTTTTTATTTTACTTCTGTTTATTTTATCGACTTAAGAAGTGAATGGAGCGGAACTAAAATATTCGATTAGAAAAAAAATACGAAATTCAATCAATTTGTTTTTTCTCTCATAGTATTTCAAAAACCGCGTTGAAACTGGACAATCACTAGATAAAGAAACCATTTGATGTCTGTAATAGCGCGACTAAATGAAACCCGAATTCTTTTGCTATAACTTTTCAAAAGAAATTCTTTAAGTACATATCTACATCTTTCTCTTATGTATTTTCTAAAAAGCAAACGAATGATCATGTGAAAAGTAAAAGCAAGAGAAAGATGAATCTACTGAAATAAAATGAAAATCTTCAATCTAAAATTATTCAATTCTTCACTGGTGAAGAAACTAAATTTTCCCTTTCAAAACATCCCATTCTAAATGTGCTGAATAATTTTATGGACATTCATTTTAATTTAATTAGATAGCTAGTGTGTTTACGACACGATTTAGCGTCATAAAGCTGAACGTTGTCAGGGGAAGCATAAAAGTCATGAAATGAAAACTTTAAAAATTTCGTTTGGGCCATGAAAAAAAAACTTCTTTTTTATTTGATATTTTTCTCGAGAATTTTTTTTTACCTTCTTCTTTGTTGGCGCTTTGTACACAGAAGAAAAAAAAACAAGAAACTTAGAACAGTGTGCGTAATCGTTTTTAAGATATCCTTTTAAGGTGCGTGAGAATATTTTAGACTATCCACTATCATTAAACTTTTTTATGTTATATTTTTTTGTAATACGTCCTTCACGATGTTTCAATCTTTCAATCTAAATTTTAAATTAACTTGCACCGACATATGAAACCAAATGAAACAAGATCACAAAGAACAATCCTTAATAATCGTGCATGTAATATTTGTGTTAATCCCTTAAGTTTCAGTTTCTCACATCACTACATAATTCATCTCTTCGACCATATAAGTATACTGAATATCTTTTCAATTCCTTATGATCCAATCACCATTATTATAATTTTTTTTTCTTCTTCTTTTTGTGAGAAACTTTTTTTTATGTTATTCTGTGCTCGTGTTTACTCGCGCAAACGATCACAAAAACCGTCCAACTCCAAAGGCGAATGAAACTATACTGAAACCTTAGTCACGAAAAATTAAATGTTATGGAAAGAGAAGCGATCGGTGAGAGAGAAAAGTGAATAAGTCACTTTAAAATGTGTGTGTTAAAATTGGTAGTATCGCCTGATGACGTTACACAAGTTTTTCTTCTTTGCTTGCTTCCAAATAAAAATAAAAATGATCGTTCATTCAGGTGCATTGCGCATTAATTACAATCGTGAAATCGTGTGGGAACTGATTAGTTAATGAACTCTAATCTGGAACTAATGACGTTTGAGATATAACTATGAATCACTGTTGTATTTTCAATGAGATCCGACGAGCAGGCAAAGTCAACTCGACTTAATTACCATAAACAAACGATACAAACTTAAACTCTTGAATCAATTTTGTTTTACGTATCAGCTGGAAAATTTTGATTGCGGTGTGTTTAATTACTGTGTGGGCGATTTATCTTTATTGAGCCACCTTGTCGTAAATTAATTAAATTAACTTATTTTGCGGAGTTTTTGTTATTGTTTTTGTCATTTGTTTCGCAATTTTATGTTTTAGAATTAAGTCGGACTTACCTTTAAACCTTCACTGATAACGAAATATTTTTTCGGCGAAAAACTTTTTTACGTAGTTTAAATTATCTTTTGCACGATAAGCTGCAATTATCACTTAAAATTTGAAATTTTTTAGTTTTTGTTCTTTTTACATGTCTCACTTTCTGAAGTATCCTAAATAGAGTATACAAGTACAGCAATTGAAGCAGTAGTTTGACACCCTTTCGAACATAAAAAATGAAAAAGTAAAGTGACTCGAAAATTATTTCCACGAATAAAAATTAAAAAAGAAAACGAAATAAGACTCAATAATGAACAAAAGTGATGAATCTAAAGAGCTCGATTGCTCAAATGCCGGAAGAGGTGTTTGGCTTGTTAAATTACCCAAATACATAGCGAAAAAATGGTTGAAAGGTAATTTAAAAATAATAAATTAAAGCTCAATAGAAGGATAATAGTTTTTGCCCCTTTCTCTAAACCTTTTAATAGCGCAAAGTGATGCTGAAGTAGGAAAGCTAAAAATTACCAAATATCCAGGCCAGAAATCACAAGTGACACTTTCGTTGTCAGATACAACTCTACAGATCGACGCCGAAGAGAAAATTCCCAAAGATCATAGATTTGATGTTCAAGCAGTGAATAAACAAACATTGGGAGTATTTAGTCATAATGGTAAGTGAAAGTTCAAATCTTTAAAATCAGTGATAATTTCTGAAATTTTCCAGCTGAAGGCGAAAGGTCGGATAAACTTTACATGGAGGGAACCATTGTCGAGAAACTTGAATGTCGGCCTTACGCGGATCAGACTTATATGAACATGAAAGCAAAGTCTATCAAAATTGCTGCTCAACCGAAAAGAAAAGTTGAACAACTCGACACTGTCGTCACAACATTCAAACCTATTTCAGATCACAAGCACAACGTAAGTTCAAATAGTCTAATTAAGTTTATATTTCTTGTCTTATTGTGTTAAACAATATTTTTAGATCGAATATGACCGGAAGAAGAAAACTGACGGAAAGAAATCGAGAACGGATAAAACAGCGGTCATGGATATGCTTTTCAATGCATTCGAAAAGCATCAATATTATAATATTAAAGATCTTGTAACTATTACAAATCAACCAATTAGCTATCTTAAGGAAATACTAAAAGAGATTTGCGAGTATTCGGTTAAAAATCCTCATAAGAATACTTGGCATTTGAAGCAAGAATACAGCCATTACTCAGCAGAGAAGAAAGAACAGAAAAAAGAAGAGGAAAAAGCGGACAAAATGAGCGAAAGTGATGAAGACTTTTAAACCACATTGATTTTCTATGTTTTCATATTTTATTTTTTAATAAAGTTTAAGATTTCTAAAAGTTCAACACTGTTTCATTTACCACATGGCTCGTTGCATTCCAGCCATCAAATTATAGTCGGCAAAGTGTCTAAACATGATACGACTGACACGGAATCTCTTGACGCATCCACGAGGTCTTGAAGTAATCATACATCTTTCACGACATCTTACTCGACTGGAGTCTCTAGGGAAGTTATTATGCAATTCATCAGCAGCAGCTTCTCGCAATTCAAAAGGTAAAATGTCGTTTCTCTTTATAGCGACAAGACGTAATCTGTCAGCTGCGTGTTCCTTTATAAAAGATAATTTATCAGTAATATTTTTACATGACTAAATAATTTAGCTCATTACCTTTACACACATTCTTCTTTTGTAATCCTTCAACATATGCCAGTTTGTCCATTTATTTCTAACTTGCTGAAGCTAAAATACAAAAATTGATTCTAGTCTAGTTACAACAAAAGTTCATGGAAATATTTAACTTACACCAAAAATTGTTTCAGTTCCAGTGCGTAGAAAACCACATGTCGCTTTAGATAGTCCACTTATTAGCGACATAACTAGGTATTTTTATTTTTCTATTTTATTATGAAAACTCGAATTTCGAATTTAAGGGGTGAACAGCGATAGCAACGAAAAAACATGCAAGTGGGTATAACGCTCTTGCTCTTTCTTTCTTCTGCTGTTCAACAAAATACAATTTGATTTAAAATGAAATTATTTGTGTATAAAGGAGAGTTTGGACTTCCTTCAATAGATTTCGAATGTTTGAGAGTTTTGGTGAGTTTCAAATGTTTTGTTTAATTCAAGACAAACACTAATTTCATGATTTCAAAGACTTATTTCAAGCTCACCGATTTGAATGTTGAGATTGATTACTCGTGTAGTCCATTTCATTCTGACACAGGATTTCTTCCATACTTGATTGATGAGGATAGGAAATATTGTGGCTACGATAAAATCATAAGTCATTTACAGAAAGAAAAAGGATACACGTTGATCACATCTGCTCCACAACTTAGTTATTTGTCTGAAAATCTTTATCCGTTTTTTATGTATCAACTGTTTGGAAACCCTCAGAATGTTGACGATACAAGAGCATTATATGCTATGAGAACACCATTTCCATTCAATTTTTATTATCCTGGAAAATATATTAGAAGAACTGGAGAAGTTTGTCAGGCAGTCTCAACATTTTCTTTAGAAGATCCAATCGACCAACACGACACAGCTGAGATGAATTTCAAAGCCAAAAAATGTTTAAATTGGATAAGTGAAAAGCTTGGAAATAACGAATTTTTTCTAAATGGAGTCCCGAGTGAAATTGATGCAACAATTTATGCTTATTTGGCAGTCATCATTAGATATCAACTTCCCAACAATCAACTTCAAGCTCACGCTAAACAATGCGAGAATCTAGTCCGTTATGTCAATAATATCACAAAAAAGTGCTTTAAAGATTCCGAATTATTTGAAAGTCCAAAAGCCAAAGAGAAAACTAAGAAACAAGAACAAAATGTTTTTACAGGAGAAGAAGACGAAGATCCGCCATCGGTTGTCAGACGTCGTTACATTCTTTCAGGACTTGTTGCAACAACTGCCATGATTAGTTACGCATTTCTTTCTGGAATATTTAGTGTAATGACCTTACATTTCACTAATCCTACATTGAGTGACTAAGCTTAACTAACACTGTAATAAATTTCATTTTCAGATATCACTTGCAGACCATGCCGTTGATTCTTTCTCGTTTGACGATACTAATATGAAAGATGATGATGAATAGTTTATAATCTTTATTTAGATATTCATTGTTTGATAATAAATAAATTGAAGAGTAAATGGACATTGAATAAAATAGTTTTAAGCATTTGATGCATTGTGAAATGCTTGTAACGATCGTGAATGTTTAAATGGAGCTCCGTTTGTTGCTGTTATCACTTCTTCCAGAAAACTCTCAGAATTGTGGATTGTTGTGCCACCAAGAATAATTCGATATCCCATTTGATTCAATTGATGAACAGCGAAAGCTTCTTCATACGTTGCACCACCGATAATAAAGACAATAATTTCAGTTGGCGGTCTTCGGTATGGAACTTCGGAACTAATGAAAGGATATTGTTGATCAATGGAACGTCCTTTTAAAATTTCTTCAAGCAAGTCTTTCAACACACAAACATGTTGTGTGTAAACATTTTCAACACCTTTCAATCCTTTTATTAAATTTCTTGTAAGTTTCACGGCATCAATTTTTGTTGTGTTAAAAAGCTCATTTCTAGCACTTTGGCTAATATATTCAAGCATCTTGGGAACCAAATGTGTTCGTCCATTTCGTGCTTTCAAAGCATTTAGTAGTCCAACAGTTCCACAGTTTGCATGACGTTCATATCGCATTGCATAGATGAGAATCAATCTCAAAGCGTCTTCAATGCTTATCCTCTCTTCTGTTATTAACTTTTTAACTCTTTGAAGTTGAGCAGAATGATCAGCTCTACATGCCATATCTTGTTCAAGTTCAGACATTTCTAGTAATGATTTTTTGCTAATTTGCATTGACAATTCACTGATGACAACGAGATGTTTGTTGACTGTTCCTGACATTTTCTTAAATTGCGGATAACTCTCCACAAAATTCTTCATGTCAGCAATAGTTTCGATTTTTTTCTGCTCCTTTGCACGTTTCTGGAATGACTCGATGAGATCACGAATAGTGACAGCAATTTCACCAAAATTTGAGAATAAATTCTTAGAATAGAAGTCATCTTGTTCAGCTGATAAGACAACTTCTTTTAATTCATTGGGAACGCCAACAACGTTTGACAAATCAACTCTATTATTTTTGATTGTTAGAAGTTGATGAACCATCGCTTGATAAGTCCATTGAGTTAATAATGCCGTGATTGGATCATCTCGTCTATCGAGAATAAGAAGCAATGGAGGAGGAACTCCATTCTCGGGTGGCTTAAAGCTGAACAATGAACTCTCTTTATTGATGGTATCAAAAACTCTTTTTGCCAGATTCTGAGCTGGTTGACTGCCATTTTTATAACGAATCGTTGGGCGAATTTTCAATGACAGCAAAACCCCTATAATTCCACTCACTGTTCTCTCTAAAGCTTCTTGTTGCCAGTTTAAAGAGTGTAGACATGTTGGAATATTTAATGAGAATAGTGACGAATTGATGCAGAGGTAATCAGCGTACATTTCTTTAACTTCTCTTACAGATTCCGATTCATCACACTCAGCAAGAGCTTTAATTTCAGTTCGCGGAATAATGTTGCTGAAATCTAAGCAAAGATAACATTCTATATTAGTAAACAATAAAAAATCATTAAGTTGAATACTTACAAATGAAGTAAGAGCCATACTTGGGTGATTTTAACTCATTTGACAATCGAATGATGTTGTCTCTCGTTGGCCTTATAAAAACAATACATTTTAAATATTTTAATCTCTCATTAGATCTTCCAGAATCGATTCTTTCAAATAGATAAACTTCTTTTTGTAACATATCAGTTTGACTGTGAGCCATTGAAATGATTGACGTCTATGAATAAACATTGAAACTTATGAAAATTAATGGAAACATATTTTCTAACTTTTCTCACCGTTTCACGATCCATCAACAAAATTTTCATGCCAGGTCCTGCTTCTTCAATCATCTTATCGATGTACAACTGTATCGCTTTAATCACATTCATTTTAATGGCTTAAAAATAATAAAATTAATATTTTTGTATGTTTTTGTTGAAAGATAATTTTCATGAGGGGTGAAAAGCTTGCGTAAAGTTACTTCGAACTTTCGAATCTGTTTTTCTTTCTTTTCTTTCGAAATTACTCCAACATGGGTGAGTAAATTAAAAAAAAGATTTTTCTTAATAGTTATAGCACATTCATGGACATCCTAATGTATTCATTGTGAAATTTGTATCTGCCTTTGTGCTGTAATTATGAAGTTTTATCAAAAACTGTAGCATATTCGACACATTTTACATTTGTTTTATTCCATAGGTATTTCTCGCGATTCATTTCATAAAAGACGGGCCACTGGTGGTAAGAAAGCTCAAATTCGCAAGAAGCGAAAGTATGAATTAGGTCGTCCACCAACTAATACAAAGGTGCGTTTAAATTAATGTTAAATTAATGATTTAATAATTTAGTGGATTGCAGACACGATAACAATTTTATAACCTCAAACCAATTCATTTTGTTTTTTAGATTGGAGCTCAACGCATCCACTTTGTAAGAACTCGAGGTGGTAACCGTAAGTTCCGTGCTCTTCGTTTGGAAACCGGAAATTTCGCATGGGCTTCACAAGCAACTGCACGCAAAACTCGTATTCTTGATGTTGTTTACAACGCATCAAACAATGAGTTGGTTCGTACGAAGACATTGGTGAAGAACTGTATCATTACCATCGATGCCACACCATTCAAACAGTTCTATGAATCACATTACTTACTTCCATTGGGACGTAAGAAGGACGGCAAACAACAACAACTTGCTGAAGGTGAGGAAGATCCGCTCTTAAAGAAACGCGGAAAGGATGCACTCAAAAAATATGAAGCCAGACAAAAGTTTGCAAAAGTTGAAACAGCTCTTGAAGAACAATTCTTGCAAGGACGTTTATTAGGTAAGCATATTGTACTTGTTTTGTTGTAAAATTAAAACATCAATGATGACAATTTTTAAAGCGATCTGTATACATTTAAGACTATTGAATTCGTTTTGAAATCAAAAATCTGCTTTATAGAAATGAAAGCTTGTCATAGTTACTCTGATTATATTTTTTACTAGTTAAATTACGCTTATAAATAGATTTCTCTTCAATGTTTATTAATTATATACGTTTTTATTGAATTACAGCAAGCATTTCATCTCGTCCAGGACAATGCGGTCGTGCTGATGGATACCTTCTTGAAGGCAAGGAACTCGAGTTCTACATTAAGAAGATTAAATCCAAGAAATCCAAGTAAAAAATGAAACAATTTTCCGAAATGCTGTAACAGAAATACCTTGTGAATTAAAGCATTTCTTAAATAAAGAAATCAACAACATAAATTAATTTGGTGTTTGTTTATTGAAATATTTTTATGCTTCTGTTTTTAAGGGAACTTATGAAATAAATTCTATGGTCACATACATATATAGTAGGTAATCATAATTTTATTTTACATAGAGCAAATATTTTATGTTCTTTACTTGACTCGATGTTGTTGCTAACTTGACTTAGACGAATCATTTGAACCGGTTCTATGTTTATTGAACCAGTCTTACTCAAAGTTTTTGTGAAGTTGTCTCAGTTTAATTCTGTGCATACTAAAATTTTCTTTGATTTTTCAATTCGAGAGAAATTTTTAACTTTAATTGCTTAAAACAATAGTTTAATAAAAATTAAAAGTAATAGAAATATTGAGATGTCATCAAAATTTAATCGTCCATCGACATCGTCTATGGACGAACATTTTTCAAGTCTAGAAGATTCAGAAATATTTTTAAGAAAAAGATATCGTGATCATTCTCCTGACGATTCACTCGAAGCAGGAGAACTCTCCGACGCACTTTCAGATGACGAAGATGTTCCTGGATGTCCATTACCATCAACACCTGAAGATAATGAACTGCTTGAAGCAGAGGTAAATGTATTGCTCTCTCTTTTTCAAATATTTCGTCATTGAAAATGAATTATCTTGTGAAATCTTATCATTTAAAAACCATAAACCTTCAAATCATACTTATTCAATAGATGACTGAGGTTTTAAAAGCTGGAGTGTTATCAGATGAAATAGATTTAGGCGCCTTAGCACACAACGCAGCAGAACAAGCTGAAGTTTTCGTAAGAAAAGTGTGGGAGGCAAGCTGGAAAGTTGTTCATTTCAAGCATCTACCAAAATGGCTTCAAGACAATGATTATCTACACAAAGGACATCGTCCTCCCCTACAATCATTTGGTGCATGTTTCAAATCAATTTTTAGACTTCATACAGAGACAGGAAATATTTGGTAATTTTATGACGAAGTTTCTTAATTCGCCGAATTTATTACGCAGTAATTTCAGGACTCATCTACTCGGATGTATCATGTTTATCGGTGCTGCAATATATTTCCTCATTCGTCCATCATGGGAAGTTAATTGGGAAGAGAAAATGATTTTTAGCGCCTTCTTCCTTGGTGCAATTCTTTGTTTGGGATTCTCATTTGCTTTTCACACAGTCTCATGTCATTCCGAAGTGATTGGAAAACTATTCAGCAAGTAAGTTAAGAATTTAATATATCAATTGATATTGAAGCTTACGAATTACTTATAGACTTGATTATTGTGGGATTGCTATGTTAATTATGGGATCATTTGTGCCGTGGTTATATTACGGATTCTACTGTCATTACCGACATAAAATCATCTATTTAAGTGTGGTGACTGTTCTTGGGTTTTTTTCCATTGTGACATCACTTTGGGATAAGTTTTCAACGCCGCAATTGCGACCAGTTCGTGCTGGAGTCTTCATGGCGTTTGGACTTTCAGGAGTAATTCCAGCTTTTCATTATGTTTACATGGAAGGATGGTTCAATGATATAAGCAGAGCTTCTCTGGGGTGGTTAGTATTAATGGGATTACTCTACATTCTTGGTGCAATGTTCTATGCATTGCGAATTCCCGAACGTTGGTTTCCTGGCAAATTTGATCTTTGGGTAAGTTTTCATAAAATTAAATAAAAATTGTGAACATGAATTTTATTTTGAAATATTTCTTCAGGGACAATCTCATCAAATATTTCATATTTTGGTCATAGTAGCTGCTCTTGTACATTTTCATGGAATCAGTGAGATGGCAATGAATCGTGTTTCTCTCGGCGAGTGTGATGTGCGCCACGCTTCCATTGTTTTGTAATCAATGCGAAATATTTCTGGCTTATGTTGAAATCATAGATGAAAGAGTTGTATTAATTGAAGAATGATTTTGTTTTTGCTGAGAAACTTACAAGTTCAATTTAGTTTTGAATTCTCAAGCGCTTTTTGTTGAATTACATGCTTTGTGCTTTTTACGTGCTAATTAAAAATTCTTCAATCATTGAAAATCATTTTCTTTATGAAATTAACAGATTTTCCGTTGATCTCCAAAGAATTTCAATTATATCCTCCCACACTATTAAAATTAAAGTTTGTTGATCATCACAAACTATAATTATCTAAAAGGCTTTAAGACAGAAATTGTAGATTCTTATATTTTTCTTATTAATATTTTAAGTAGGAATTTATTAGGTTTTTATAATTTATTGAGAATATAAAATTTAATCCTAATTCAATAAACAACAGAATGATTCGAGACGAATAAAATTAAATATCTGAAATCATAAAAGATCAAAAATCATTTTTATAATTCTTGTTAAAAATAATTGTAAAAAATATTCGAAATTTTTAATCTTCATTTGGCTGTAGATATTTTCTTAATATTTTTGTTGAAATTCTATATTCGTATCTATACTGAAATAAAAAAAATGTAATTAAAATGTCGACTTAAGGAAAGAAGAGAAATAAAAGAAAAAAATCTCAACTGACTACATTAGACAAAACTTTCTTTTCAAACTTCTCTGTAATTATCAAATTTTCATAAATTAAACTGAAGTTTTTGTCCTCGATTGAAACTCAAATAGATTTTCAATTTATTTATTAAATTGCTTTCTACAAAAGTTTATTGTCGTACATTGTAAAAAACTTATTCGTCAATTATTGTAGATATGTTGTCTAAATTTTCATATTTCTAATAACATAAATTTAGTTGACCTTTATTAACTAAAATCATGCACACGGATCGTAAGTTTGGAAAACATTCGTGAAATTCACGACAATGAAAGATAAAATTGCTCCAACAAAACTTCCGATTTGTGTCCACGCACCAACCAACACCAAACTTCTACCGCCTTGATATCGGAAAATTGTTGTAATTTTTAGACGAATATAAGAAGCCAGACCAACCACAGCCGTCCAACTAATCACCTGAAATTAAAATGTAGACAAAACAATTAAAACGGGAAAGAACATTAGGAAGATTAATAACAACTTACAACAAGAATTTCTCCCATCACTTTGTTCATGAGTGGTGGATTTGGTGACATCACAGCTGTCGTCATCGAATAAGTAGCAAATGGAATTGTAATAACACAAAGTGCGATAATATTTCGAATTGATGTGTTTGTGACAAAAACTGCTATGAAGCATGCAACAGGATTTGCAATCGAACTTAATGTCACTGCAAGATGATAAGCAATGTTTCCATAAGGTAATGTACCAAAGCTCATAATTGATGGAAAAATTGCATTCGAAAACATGCAAACGACACCAAGAAGAACTAAAAGTCCGCGGTAATTTTTGTCTGATAATTGTTTTCCTTCTGGTTTTGTAGGCACTTCATCATCTCCAGCTTTTGGTTGTTTGACGTTGTACTCGTAAGTGTTTCCATGTCCAATGGTCACACTTTCTGCATATTCATTACGAACGATTTTGAGTTGATCCAAAAGGAAGAAAGAAACGAAACTGGCAATGAAAAGTGATGAGACAACAAGGAAGAAAGTTTGTGTTCCAAATCTTGGAGGTGGTGAAAATCTTTCGATGCCTGTGTCGGTTTTGATGCATTGATCATTTCCACCAACACCTTGAATCAAAGCTAAAACTCCTGGTAAAAATCCTGAAAGTCCTTCGCCAATCAAATATGTCACTAAATAGATATCCCTGAATCTTCCAAAATAAGGCATGAACAGCACACTTGAAGTGCAACCCACGAGTGCAAATAGGAACACATTGACAAAAATTGCAAGTGATCTTTCAGCTCCTAATATTTCCGCTGTGATTGGGTAAAGGAATGCCATACAAAAACCAGCGATGATGCCAATTGCTAGCAAGAAATAAATAATAAAACTGTCTTTGATTGGAGCAATCTTTTGTAGTAATGTGTAAAGTAAAGGTCCAATGTTTCCTATTTGAATGATGATCACAATATATGAAGCAAGATTCCATCCTTCAGGTGTTGCATTGACAAGCAATGGCAGCTGAACATAAGTTGAATTAATTCCTATCCATGTACCAACACCGAAAAACACTGCCAACACATCGACTAAGGCATTTCGATTCGCAAATGCAGCTCTCACTTTCGATAAGTTCATTCTCATTGACGTGTTAAGTAGTTGAGAATTTTCATTAGGTGGTGTCTCCGAACCTAATCGTGACGATGAACTGTAAGGATAGAAAGACATTTTGTTAATGACTAAAGTTCTTTAAAAATCTCAAAATTTATTTACAGCAAGATATTCGGAAGAAAAATATTTACACAAAAATGAAATGGAAACAATTTAAACAAAAGAAAGTTTCGCTTTCTCGAGATAATCATTAAATATTTATTTACGTCACATTCTGGTTTGGAGAGAAAAATAAATTTACCATCATGTCTAGACATTGACATAGATAATACAATAAATCAAATTATTAATAACGTTGTAATTACAGTAATATAACTAATGATAACATAAATTATCAATAAACGAGAGAAAGTTCATTAAAATGTTCTTGTTGACTTGATTCACATCATTGTTGATATGAAAAGATTTTCTCACGATAATCTACTCAAAAAACTTTATGAAATAAACTTTTTTCTTACCCTTGTGCTTGAGTAACAATTTCAGTTGGTAAACTTCTTCCTTCCACAATTTGTTGCAGTTCACCCTGATTCTTGTTATGAATGACTGACTCAGTTTCCATATCTTTTAATAAATTTTGAAGGGGCTTTTATCGCACGGAATGCTAATCTAATCGCAAGCAAACGATAAGAGAAATGGTAAAACCAACGATTATTAAGAAAGAAATAATATTGCTTAATTCATTTTATTTCCAACTGTCTAAACAAGGAAACGTTGAATATCAAGTTCTCGATATCAAGTTGGAATATTAAATTCTCGATCAAATAATCAAACAAAGTTTCTGACATAAGGAATAATCATTTAATTTCCTATAAAACTTAAATAAGAAATTTCATAACATAAATCAACTCTCGACAACATTTATGATTGTTACTATCATTCTGAGTTGTGAAAATGATAGCAAAAAAATAAAAATTATGATTAACAAGAGAAAAAGACTCAAGATAAGAATTCTGAACAGAAGATGAAATCATTAGTGACCTTCATGGAAGTAAAAGTGTTGTCAAAGGTCTTAATAGCTTATCACATTTGAAGCATGTTTTCATTGAAACATATGATGACGAGAACGAAAGTTTCATAAACATTCATGAATGAATTACATCAAGAGTTACGTCATCAAATTTAGTGCAAAGTCTTACCTAAATAAATTCTTGCAATATGCAAACTCGATAGATACAATTCAACTTTAAAATTATTAAGTTGAATAACTTGTCATGATTACTGTATTATTATGTTCTGGTGAATTATACACTTAACACTTTTCGTCAGGGTTTTTTGTAGAAATCATAAACCTAATTTTTAGTTTTGGTTTAATCACAAATATCAAAACGTGACATGAAACTAACAATTTTACCAAATCTTAATGAAATATTTTTCTTTAATTTATTCGAGAAGAATGAGCATAAAATTACTTGCTATCACTGGACATAAATGATTACGAATGAAGAGGGACTGACTTATTGAATAGCAATTAAATATTAATTTAGATCGACTATATGCGGTTCTCAAGAAGAAGAAACTCAGTTCGAGGAAATGGGAATTGACATAGATAATTTTTTAAATTGTAGAAATATTAGCATTCTTATGGTAACATCTTAAAATTTCTATAGAAGCTTTGAGTTTTATGTAGAGGTAATAAATTTATTTAATCATAGCTCATAAATGTGTTATACGAAAACAGAAATGATTAAAAGTTGAATTCATTTTGCTACGACATTTCCTCGGATTGTCACTTGATTTAGATACATTCCAGTTTCCATTCAGTTCCACATTGAAACGAGATGGAAACGAAATCGTGTGGATCGTTATTATTGATTCTTCATTAAATACAGCTTCATTTAAAGAAATGTCAACTTTCTTCGACGAAATTTGTTAAATATTTCTACACTTCTCAATATTTAAAACACACTGCAATCATTTTGTAACGCATGTGAAAATTTAGTTACGAGATCAAAATTTGTTTGTTTACAAAATAATCAGCTGTTAGGCAGGGGTCCATCAAGGGGACTTGTTTACATTGATTGTTAAGCTGCATTCACATTTAAGATATTGAAAATGGGGAAAACATTTTCAGATTTGTGAACATTCAAAAAATTGGATTCATCTGTATTCTTAAAAAAATAAAGTGAAAACGCTAAAGTAACTCAAAAATAAAAACTTGGAATTGAAGTGAAAGTATAAATGAAAATCGATAGCAATACATTTTAAAAAGATTTTCATTTTAAACTCTTAAATAAAAATAAATCTCAAACTCGGACATTTTGTTCGCAAAAAGAATTACAGAAATATTTTAATTCATTATAGTGACTTTAATTCTTATCAAGAAAATACTATTCATCAAGAATAACTTCTAGAATAAGAGAAAACTCATAATTTTATTCTCTTTTAAAAAAACCTTCGCCATTGCCAAGTTCGTCCCTGAGTTTTGACATCGTAAAACTATTAAGAATTAAAATGAATTTTTGAGTGCATAAAAACGCATTTAAACGCCATAGAAAGTGAAATTTCCATAAAATTAAGGTTCTAAAGACATTAATCTTATGAATAAAAGTGAAGGGAGCAGCTATATGAACCCAAAAGATGTCAAATAAAAGCAACACAATAATCCACAATTTATTTCGTCGACAGTATGGCTTAGATTCTCAGAACAATTTTCAATCTAAGCTCTTCAAAAGTCGCTTATCGATAGCAAAAAGCTTATATAAAAAAGATCTTGTTAGTCATTATGGTTGTGTTAATGCCATAGAATTTTCGCAGGACGGCAACTGGTTGTCTTCAGGTAAGATCATTTTCATTCGTTTATCAATTAAATAAATTACTTATGCAAAACATTTTTATTTCTGTTCCTCTGAAGTGTACAGAAATAAAAAATTAAATTTAGATTTTCTGTACACTGCAAGTGATAGGTAATGGAAGAGTCAAAGATAAAATGTATGAAGTAGAAGTTTTTTATTTATTTTAAGTCTTCCTGAATTGACTGGAAATTTATTGAGATTTAATCGATTTTCTCTTTTGACAACAAATGTTTATCCTGAGAAAAGATTAGTTATAATGAAGTTTAAAGTTAAATATCACACAAGAATGAAGTTTGTTCAATACTTTAGTATGATTTATGGATCCAATGGCGTATTTTAGAGAACTAAATCATTTTTTAATCTTCTAACAAAGAAGAAGAAGGAATTTTAACTCATAAGTCACAATTAACGACTCACTAGATGGAGACACTTTTCATTACACATGACTTAAAAATATTTTTATTTTATCTCTTTTTATCTCAAAAGGTGGTGATGACAGACGAGTGCTGCTATGGAATATCGAAAGAAGCCTCATAGACAAAGAGGAGCCTCAAGTGATGCTTAAACAACATTTGAGTAACATTTTTTGTCTTAGCTTTGATAGCAGACATTCTCGAATTTTCTCTGGTGGAAATGATGATATGGCAATTGTTCATGATATTGAAACGTAAGTTGATTAGAAATTAATCTGATATTGTATGATCAAGCAATTATTTCAGTGGAGATTGTGTCGATATCTTTCATCATACAAAACCTGTATACGGACTTGGCGTGGATCCAAGTAATGACAGCATATTTGCAACCGCTGGAGAAGATGGTCGCATTTTATTATTTGATATGAGAGCTTCAAACGATGATCCGACAGTTGTCGTAAAGTATCGAAATCCTTTTCATTCTGTCATGTTTCATCCAATCGATGATCACTTCATGATAACAGCAAATTCGAAAGAAGGCGCAGCTTTGTGGGATACGCGTGCACAACGTATGCCTGTTATTCGTTATGGTGGCGATGATGCCGCTCAAAGTTGCATGAGCGTTCGATTCAACTCAATGGGCACACTTTTGCTCGCTCTTCGTCGTCGTCTACCTCCTGTGCTATATTCAACTCTCCATCAAGAGCCAATTTGTCAATTCTACAATCAAGATTACTACAATTCATGTACAATGAAAAGTTGTACATTTGCCGGTGATAACGACGAGTTTGTTCTGTCAGGTTCCGATGATTTCAATTTATATGTTTGGAGAGTTGGCGATGCTGATCGTAAGTCTTCAATTTAATTGAATTTAATTATTTTTAGACATAAATTAATAATTTCAGTTGAGAAGCGAAAGCAATGGGTAGATAAGAACCAAATGGTCCTTTATGGTCATCGTTCGATTGTAAATCAAGTCCGATATAATCCACAAAAATGTATTCTGGCATCGTCAGGAGTTGAGAAGATTATCAAAGTAATTTAAATTAATTTTAATAATTTTACCTTTTCACATTTATTTAATTCTTCGCAGCTTTGGACTCCTTTTGAATTGGATAAATGGACTGGAAGTTTAACTGAAGAAGTACAAAATGAGCCAGTACGAGAAGTCTTTACACACGAGGAATATATTTCTTTGGTATATTCGAATGGACAAGTACAAATCAACATTTATCTTGTCGATAGAAATTTACCAACACTAAACGAACGATTTTTGTGTTTATTTTTTTAATTATAGAACATGACGCACGATTACAGTAATCAAAACACCCATGAAGATGCAAGAATGATCGCTTTCTTTGATTATCTTGTTCAACAAGAGATTGAAGGCTGGAGTAGTGAAAGTTCAAGTCATAACAGTGATCATACGTCGGATAATTCGTCACGACCTGATAGCCCAACTTCTGACACTGAACCAACAACAAACTTTACAACAGTCAAACCGCCGCTAAGTCGTCATCGTGGTAAGAATTTAAAACCTTTAAACTCACTCAATTTTAAGCTTTTTCCTTCTTAGAAACTCATCGTCGTGGTGAATCAAGTCAACGTCACAAATTTCGAAATAGAATTGCATATCTTATTGCAACAAAACGTAAAACATTGAAACGATTAGCATTGAAGAGGTTCACTCGTACACCAGCTAGAAGAATGAAGAGCAAGTACGTTCCACGACAAACAAAGCGAGCGTCATTGAGAGCTGTTGGTAGAAAACCTTATGATAAGAAGATGAGACGTCTTAGTGTTCAGAGCAAATATAAAAAGCCTGTTTCGCATGAACAAACGAGTGATTCTGAAGTGCCACAGAAAATAAAGAAGCGTCGTACGCAATCATATACCGCCACATCCTCTTACAGATCGTTCCGTCGAAAAGCCAAAACGCCTTTGTCATCAGCATCAAATACAAGCACAAGAGTTGCTGACAAATCAGATTCAAGTTCTGATTATGATGATGAAGATGATGGATTTGGTGACAGTAGAAATGGAAATCTTCCATCAACTTCATCGGGGCCAGTTCTTGATGTTAACATACCAAGCACAAGTACCGGAATCACAGCTAATGGAAAAGGTTACTTATTTCGTATTGCTAACACCATGAATGATTCTGATGATGATCAATCGATACCTGATACAAGTCATCCAGCAACAGACAATATGTTGAGAGTTCTACGCTCGCCACCAATTCAAAACAATCACAATAATCATCGTGCACAGTCACATTATGATGGTGTGAATGATGGAGCTGGTACAAGCACACAACGTGGATTTTTATATAACTCAACACATCGTGCACATCATGAGAAACCACCAAATGGACGACAAAAGCATCAGCCTCAGGAAGAAGATTCATCGTCATCAAAATGCATCGAAGATTATGCTTCAACGAATTCCAATTCGCTTATGTCAAGTACTGAAGAAAGTAGTAATGATAGTTATCCTGAATCATATTACAAAAAGCGAAAACTTTGTAATGATAATTACGTAGGTGTCGATGAGAATGGCAATGAGTCATCAAATAATAACAATACGAGTTCGTTTAATAATAACAACAGTTTTAACACTGTCAATAATAATTTTGTTGCGAACGGCGCTGGTTCATCGTCAAATGTATTGTATGGAACGCCTTTGAATAGAATGAAGTTGACGCCTGACAGTGGAAATTCATCGCTACCTACGCCAAGTCCATCAAGCTCAAAAAGTAATACACACAATGGAAATCAAAATGATGTCATGAAGAAAATTGAAATTATCAAAAAGAATTATCGAAAAAATATTCAAACATCGGACGATGATTCAGACTAATTCAAAATTATGTAAACACACATATTCTCCTTCAATCCTTCTAAAAATTTTAATAGTTTCTAAGTTCTAATGTAAATTCGTGATTTAAATATTTTTTTTTGAAGAGTAAAATTTAAAATGAGTTTTAGCAGCTCTATGAATGTATTTCCAAAACATTTAGATTTAAGTGACTAACTAAAAAGAAAAGAAAGAAAGGAAATTTTAAATCTGATTCGATGTTGATGTGATCAATTAAAGGAATAATTAAAATAAAATTTAAAACATCATTTCAATTGATTGGATTTTTTTTTAGGTGCTGTCTACCTAAGCGCTGTTTCTAAAATATTTGGAGCTAAAAACCATTGCCGGTTCTGCCTCTTCTTCCCATATGACGAAAACTAGACTCATATTAGCTCTAATTCGTTGCCAATATGAGTTGTTCAGAGATAAACAAAGGAGAGTAATCAAATACTGCATTAGGTGGCTTATGCTACTCTAAGTAATATTCACTTTGATCACGGTTTATTATTTTATGGAGCAGTTCTACAGCAATTATCCATAATGGTTTAATATCACAAATTTAATAATAATCATCCATTAATGATTAAACCAATTTGAAAAAATTAGGTAGGTACTATTCATTCAGTCGAGATAATTCAAGCAGTTTGAATACTGTTAAACTAATAATACCAACTCAGCTTTAATAATAAGAACCAAATATGAAAGGATTCATAGTTACCATTTTGATGAAAAATCGTTTTCTTCATATTTCCAGTTTTAAATTTAAGTGAATAACGAGAAATTAAATTGCGTTATTTCTAACCTTAACACGAACTTCCCGCCATTCGAGACACAATTTTTTTTCTGGTTAAACCCCTGAGCGTCGATAAAATTGTCGAAAAGATTGTCGAAAATACAGATTCGAGAGCTTGTGAAGATTAGTAAGAAATAAAAATTAATAAATAGAGATACAATAAACATTTACCACGTGAAATAAGTTTTAGTGTAGAGATAAAACATAAGTAATTAGTTTAAATATAAAAGTTATCCCAAAAAAGTGCTTTAAATGTGGCAAAAAACAAAGTGAAGTGAGACGAAAATTTTTCCCTCCAATTATTTTTCATGAAATCGTGAAAGGAAGCAGATAAAAAAATGCCACTGTTAAAAAGAAAGCCATTTAAGCGAAATTTGATCCCAGAAGGACTCAAAGATGATGATGAAGTGTTCTACTGTGAACTGACTAAAGAAGTTTTCAAAACTTATGAGTGAGTGAGACATAAAATATCAAATTATTCTACCCCAAACAAGCAGACTTCTGTGTGACGAGAAAGAAAAAAAAGTCCCACGCCATTCAAGCCCTTTCTGACATATTTGATTTCATCCATTCTTTTTATTCTATTTTCTCCTTTAGAGAATTCTTTGAGCGTGTTATGCTAACAAATTCAGTGATTTGGCAGTGTGCACTTACCGGTAGACCAGACTTAACATTTGCTGAAGCATTAGCTTCGGAAAAAACAGCAAGAAAAGCACTCCGTCAATTTCCATCGGCCTTGCGCGGTCCAATCATTCTTGTTGCGTCACATACCAAACGATCGTCATTGAAAGAACTCGTCGATGATGTTTTTAATTTCGTTAAAGATCGCTTCTTTAAGGATGAAAAGATCGATGTTATGAACGAAAGTGGTCGAGGGTGTCGATTTTGTAGGATTCTTGATGTTATTACCTTGGATAATGAGTAAGTTTTTCCCTTCATTTTGAATGTTTAACTTTTTACTAACATTGTGAAATTTCAGTCGTTCAAAACTTTATGAGCCAAATGAAATCGAATATAAAGTTCAAGCTGTTGATGATAATAAACAACCCCAAGTTTGGATTACAAAAACCGAATGTCTTCGTCGTGACAAAGCTGTTTTTACGAAAGAGAAGACGAAACTCTTTTTAAAGCAGCATGTTGAGGGGTTCAATGCGATGTTAAAAGTGAAAGAAGAATCGCTTCAAAAGTTTGTTGTTGATCAGATGTTGTCATCAGAAAGCTTGTTTGTGGGGAAACTTCCTGATTTTGAAATATCGAAGAAGCTTCAACAGCAACAAGAGAAAAACACAAAAAAAGCTGAAAAAGGTTCAACAACTAAAAGTAAAAAGTCAGGAACTAAACAAGATGACATAACAAAATATTTAAATAATTCAGGTACAAAAGAACTTACAAAAGAAGAGAAAGAGCAACGCGAAATATCGCGCGCTAATGCAAAGAAGTTTAGAGAAGAAATGGAATTGAAACGACAAGAGAATGTAAAGCTAAAAAAAGAAATGGAGGCTGAGAAACAAAAACGATTAGCCGAAGAGAAAGCAAGAATTCTTGCCAAAATTCAAGCATCAGTCAGAGATCACAATCAATTAAGAGATGATCTTGAATTGACTGATCAGCGTGTCATCCCAAAAGGAAAAGCTGTCTCTACTCTTATCGACAAGCACTTTGCAGACTTTGTTAAGATTCTTGAATTCTTTCATTCGTTTCCTGAAGTTCTTTTGATCGCCGATAAATTTCCTTATGGATTGAACATCGAACTTCTTGAACGTGCACTTTTATTGAAGGAAGTCAACGGTCCACTTGGTGATATCTTTCAGGTGCTATTACGAACAATTTTCTCGATGCAAATCGAAGAAGAAGACGAAGTAGGATTCGAATATCGTGTCACCAACAGTGACGTTCCATTAAATCATTCCAAGTTTGAACATATGAGAAAAGCTTCGTGTGTTCATCGATTGTGGGCGATGAAACATTATAGTACTAACATCAATGAAATGGTTCTCGATTCAACGACACTCAGTGAGGTTTTACGATTACATTTAATGGCCTCTGGTGCTATGTTAAGTGAAAAACCTGCTAAACATCGATTTGCAACACGAGGCGGTTATCGAAGTCAAGACGATCCTGGATTAAATTTCACAATAAATCATCCACACATCATTAAGTTCCTATCACAATACAGCGTCTATCAATTATCAACGAAAGATATTCTTCGCATTCTTGGATGTTTGACTGATCAAATTCTTTCATATTCCAACATGAGAGAAGTTATTGAAGAACGTTTAGAGAAATCTGCGTATGCGAAACTTGAATATAAAAATCTGAAAGCAAATGAAGGACGCCGCGAGAGAAAAGTTATTGAAGAGAAGAAAACGTTGCAAGAGGAACATAAAAATCTTATTGCGACGTATGCTGAATTGGAAGAAGACAAAAAGCAAGCTTTGATCAAAAAAGCAGAGGAAGAATTAGAACATAAACTGGAAAAAATTGATTTGCTTTCGATACGAGACAAAGCGCATCACATGAAAGACTTAAAAGCTCAGGTTTCGATATTCTTTAATCATCAGACATATCTTGGATGTGATCGTGCATTTAGAAATTATTACATTTTTGAGTCGTTGCCAGGATTATTTGTGGAACATGATTTAACATTTGCTGGTAAATGTCTTGAGAATTATGTGAAAAATAATCCTGCATTGGCACATTGTACGAAGGAACAACGTTACAGAGTCATCAAACAAATGGTAAAGAATGAAGAAGGTGGAGCAAGTGATGATAAAGAGAACAACATTGAAGTGAATGGAACTGATCAAGCAGTTTCATCTTCGAATGTTGTTAAAAAAGAGACAAATGAAAATGATTTGCAAAAAGAGCTTTACATGTGTAATTGCGATCCATTAACTTGTGTTGTTCATTCGGAGAATGTTGAAAGAAACACTTGGACTTATTTTAATACAGCCGATGAACTTGATGCTCTTATTGAGTCGTTAAATGTTCGTGGATTTCGTGAGAAGACTTTGAGAGAGCAATTGGAGGCAAGTCGTGATCTTATTGCTGATTATATTCAAACATGTCCATCAGAAAAGCTCAGTTTATTGACTGAAGATGTTAAACAACCTTCAGCGTTAATGTCTAAAATCGTCAATCGAACAACAAAGAAATATGACAATCCGAACTTAAATCATGCTGCTGGAACTGATTGTAGCGTCATTTATGATTACAATTTACGTGAAGTTCTTCTTGATTTTGAGCAGCGTGTGAGTCTTGGCGGTTTGGGAGAGTTGAAAGTTCAAGATAAGCATTTGTGGCGAAAATATATCGAAGAAGAACAATATTATGCACTTGATGATAATTTCAAATGGGGGAGCGCACGAGAGCACTTAACAAATGGAGAAACTACCAATGGACATGCTGATGAGAATGGAAGTGTTCATGGAAGTGAAAATTCAAATGAAACTGATGAAACTGAAAGTTTTTCTGCTGTTGATGGCTTGGAATTGCCACTTTTTACATTAGATTCAGGGAATTGTTCCGACATGGAATCAGATGTTGTTGATGAAACTCCTAAATTTAAAACATCTGAAGTTGAAGCTGTTAAATTGAAAGTTAAGAATCTTGCAATGGCTTTACTTCAAATTGAGCAAGGAATTGAATTGAAGTTTATTCGTGCACCATTTGGACCTATGAAAGAAATTAAAGATAAAAAATTGATGGTTAAAGCTATGGAAACTTGCAAAAAAAGAGTTTTAAGATGGGAAGAATCGTTGATGAAGTCGACAAGTTATTCTCAGGTAAATTATTTTACTTTTGTTGTTTAATTAAACACAAAAATTAATTTTAATTTCCTTCCAAAGGTTTTCCTTCACTTCAACATTCTGAACGATTCCATTCTTTGGTCTCGATCAGCACAAAGAGTTGGATGCATGATATGTCGTCGTAAATCCGATCCAGAACAAACTCTTCTGTGTGACGAATGTAACAAAGGTTGGCACATGTTTTGTCTTCGTCCACAACTCACTGTCATTCCAAAGGGCGATTGGTTCTGCCCTAAATGTCGTCCTGACGATTATAAAACCGAATCAAAAAGAAAATGTCGTAAACAATTTGTTGAAATTGATTCAGAAGAGGAAGAAGAAGTTGAAGCTGATGAAACGGTTGAAGAAAGGTAAGTTGGGAATTAAAAACAAGCAATAAGTAACCTTAATGTACTACTTGATAAGATCTTTAATGGAAATTACTTAAATAACTTTATTTCACAGTGGATCTGATGATGAGGACGACGTTTGCATGGTTTGCCAGTACACGGGAACAAAACTTTGTCTATGCAGTGAATGTGATTTCCAATGTCATCCTGAATGTGCTAAACCACCAGTAAGAAAAATTCTTAAGAATTGGAAATGCTGGAAGTGTACAAGCGCTCAACAACGAAATGAAAGATTTAAACGTCGTCGAATGGACAAAGGTGGAAAATAATTTCTTTTCTCATTTATTTTCTTTATTTTTGTTGTTCATATTTTAATAAAAAATTTATATTTTCGATTTATTATCATTCATCATTTTATTTGTTAAGATTTTTCTCTCAATTTATGAAGTCAAATTAAATTTTAATCATCTCATTTTTTACTCATCAGATGAAGATGGAAGTGAGGAAAAAGCTGAGAGCGACGAAGAAAAGCCATTAAAGATAAGAAAAGTTGAGAAGACGAGTGACAGTCGAGTTCGTTCAAAAAGAATTTATGATGAAAGTGAAGAGTCGAGCGTTTCATCCGATGAAGTACCTGTTAAAAAATATAATAAAGAATCTGGTGAAAGGCGATCAAGTCGTCAAGCTTCAAATAGAAATTCGCGAAGAAATTCACCCGAACCTGAAGAGAATTCTCGATTAAGAAGACGAAGTTCAAAGAAGTTTGCTGAGGAAACAGCAGCTGAACGAAGAGCTTCAAAAAGATCGTTTGACGCTTTCAACGCCATCAGTTTAAGTGCACTCATTGATGACATCATAAGACATAACAGTTCATGGCCATTTACAAAACCAGTATCAGTGAGTGAAGTTCCAGATTACTTTGATGTCATCAAACATCCGATGGATTTCGGAAAAATCAAATCCAAACTCAATCTCGGAGATTATCAAACAAATGAACAAGTAATAAAAGATGTTGAATTAGTTTTTCACAATTGTGATCTGTACAATGTTTCAGATTCAGTGATTTACAGGTGAGATAATTAAACAAATTTTTTAAAGAAATTTAATTTAAATTTTTATTTTTCTTTGCAGAGCTGGAAGTAAATTAGAGAAATTTGTTGCGAAACGTTGCAAGGAACTTAACTTACCATTTCATCCATCCGATATGATTTCAAATTAATGACAAGATAAATTTTCACTTTCCATTTTCATTCACACCCAGTTCAGATTTTCAAGTTTTGGTTTTTAATTTTCGAAATGATTACAAAATCTTAAATTATTTCCTTACATTATTCTTTAGTTTTTAGTGATGTTTTAGAGTGACTTAAATAAGATAATTTAAGGTGGTTTCATTTAAGCATTCTCGTAATGAAAAAATAAATAAATTAATAAATTAGAGTAAGAAACGCAAATCAAAAACTTTTTTTCTTCTTCTTTCTACACACGAATTTTATTTCAGAATAATTCTTTGATTTTACATGAATTAATAATGATTTATTTTAATGCACATCGCTTAATGGTGTTCAGCGTGCTCTTTGCGTTTAGATTCTGCCCATTTAGCAACATTTTCGGGAGAATTAGCTGAAAAAAAGGGAAAATGATGTTTAGATTCAAGAAATGAGAATCAAAAATCTTAATTCATACCCATTCTGTCAATTTTGTAGAAGACTGGGAGAGAAACAACAAGACCAATCAAATAGTATCGCCAAATCCAACTGTTCTGAACATGCCATTTCAATGGAAACTGAGCAATCTTTGCCGAGAATGTATAAGGGAATTTCATTGGACGTGATGGCGGTTCTGCTGGTGCTCCTGATGACATCTTGAATGGTTGGTTAATTACCTTTAAGTCGTCTAAAATTAATAAACACAAACAATGAGCAAAATTAAATTTAAAAGTAGTTTAAATTCACGAAGCTATGTTAGGTAATCATCATATTGACAATTCGTAAAAAAAATATGAAATTCGTTTTCTTCAATAATTTAAGCTTAATATAAATTATCTTTGATATAAGGAAGATGAATAAATTTTAAAGATATTTTCTATTCTTAAAGTATTATTTCTACCTAATGAATGCCACTAAATAACAGAATAATATTAATTTTCACAAACCTAAGAAAACCAGAGTTCGATTGAAAACGAGTCAAACGGCTCAATTAATGATGAAACGGTTCAAAGTTATGTTACGAACAATTTTCAACTTTCTAGCCCCTCATTTGTCTATACAGAGACTGTGTGTGAAAAATATTTTATTATTTCTGTGTTTCGTCTATCCATACTTCTTCTATTTTAACTAATACAAATTTAGAAATAAAAATATCCAAAACTACTCAAAAATGAGTCAAGAGAAGCTCTCTAGTAACAAACTTGATATCGAAGGTGCACAACAACGCTCGAGCGCTGACGAAAAATTAAAAGAAACTTACAAGCCCATTTCTGAAGATTTTGGGTCAGATCTAAGTAAGTGGCTAATTTTGTATTATTCTAAATAAAACAATATTTGCGCATTCAGATTATTCTATTGATCTCGTTGATTTCCCTTTGTCAAACTTAAAAATTCTTTCATGTTTTCTTTATTTTCTCTTTGTTTTCACAAAAAAAGTGAAAAAAAGTAAAAAGTGCTGATGCAATCGAGAATGTTATTTCAAAACCGACATTACAAAATACTTAGGCCAACATAAAATTCGTAACCATGACCTTAACATGCACATAATGTAAAAGAAAAATTTTTATCTTATCGAATTGTGTAATTCTAGAATTACCTAAATTTATCGATTATTCTTTTATTATGGATTATAAAATTTGATTTTTGTTATCTGAAGAATGATTTTCATTCATTTGACAAAATCGATTGTAAAAAAAACGTAGTAAAAACCACATGGCATGATATTTAGCCGTGAAAAAAATTATGAAACACCTACAAATATCGTTTTGCACGAAGTTTTACGAAAATAATTTCAAAGTTTTATCTCCATCATTATTCTCTCATTAAACTAACCGCGAAATTGCTACTCACAACGTCATCATCTCATTCTCATTCAATTCAGTTTCATTAAATTCAATTTATTCATATTTTTGCAGCCACAGGAGACGCAGTAAAAAATTCAAACATGGCCCGAGAAAACGGAGATCCCGTCAAGGATGGAGCTGACGAAAAAATGTTGGAAGGAAGCGAAAAGGAAAATCTTGCATTGAAGAATGTCGAAGTGAAATTCATTTCCGGAGATTCCAATCCGAATGGTGACGCAAAAATTGACATCGGAAATATTGAAAAGGTGAGTTTGCATCTTTGTAAATATTTCTAAGATGATAATTTAATCATTTGTACAATTGCTTATCGATATTTATTCTAAAGAATATGTACATGAAGATGTTAATTAGTTAAATATACGTTTAGATTTCCTTGCAAATGCCAGATGTACAAATGGTCAGTTTCAATTTGACTGTCGATGTCATTTGGCATTAATTTTATGAGAAAATGACAGAAAATGTTAGCGAAATTTGATACCTAATCGATTAAAATTAACACCTATTGTGAATTTTTTTAACATTCTTAAAATATTTTATTGAAGCAACAAGACTTAGATAAAACAGAGAAGAAAAGATAATAAAGATAACTTCAATCATTTCAGGCTTTTACTGGTATGACGAAAGAAGAGTTGATGAAATATGCAAACGATCCATTCTGGGTTAGATTGCGTTGGATTTTATTCATCTTTTTCTGGGCTTTGTGGATTGCAATGCTTGCTGGTGCGATTTCAATCATCGTATTTGCTCCAAAATGTGCTGCGCCCACGCCGTTAGTCTGGTGGAAGAAAGGTCCTTTAATAACAATTGATGGAAGTGAAACTGAAGATGTCATCAAGGAAATTAAGAATTATAATGCCAAGGGAGTTGTCTATGAATTGTCTGGTGATGAAACTTACTTCGTTGATACTCCTTTGGTCGAGTCAAAGATCAAGAAATTGGTGGAAACTTACAAGTAAGTAAATTTCTTTGAAGAACTTTTAATTTCATTTAATGAATTGAATCTTCTCAGAGCAAACGATATTCACGTTGTTTTGGATTTGACTGCCAATTACGTCACAAAAGAAGACAAGTTGTTTAAGGAAGCGACTGAAGCAGTTGTTACACCAGAAGTTCTCTCTGCGTTTGTCACAGCAAACACTGCCGATTTACCTAATAATTGGAAGAAAGTCCACGGAACTGAACCAGCATGGAAAAAAGAAGGAAAGCTTTACTTCCTCAGTCAATTTGAAGACAATTATGATCTTCAAATGACAAGTCCAGTCGCGCAAAAGAAGTTGAGTGATGTATTGACACATCTTGTAGCGTTAGGCGTGAAAGGTTTCCGTTTGCTGAATGCACAACATTTCATTATCAATCCGGAGTTGAGGGATGAAATTCCTGATCGAAATCATAATCATGGCATGAACGAATATGGTTTCTTCACACATGGTCAGACGATTTATCAAGATGATCTTGGAAAAGTTATCAGGAACTTTACAAGAGTAGTTCATAATGTCACCGACAACGCAGGATTTTTGACCATTCGAGATGATTCTGCGGTTCGAGCTGAAGTCTTTGTTGACAGCAAATTGAAACATTTTACTTTTGATCTTCCGTATTTTAAGTTCCTTGAAACTTTCTTGAAATCATCAAAACAAACCGTTCCTAAACAGATTTATAATGGATTTGCAAATCTTAATGGCACTGTTGATGATGAAAGCTTGTGGATTCAACTTTCATACAAACCAGAAAACTTCAAGGGAGCTCTCGATGCTTCAGGTTACAACATCTTTATGGGATTCTTACGTGGTGTTCAAATCACCAGCATCAATGCTTTGAACTATAATGGAAGCAAGAGTGAAAGCATGAAGAAACTTGAAGAAGCACGCGAATCTCAAGTCTTCCAACATGGAAAGTTCGAATACTTCTTGAGTCACAACGAGACTGCTTTTGGTTACACGAGGTGAGTTTTTAATTAAAGAAAATGAAAATAATATGAAACTAACATAATTTTAATCATTGCTAACATTGGTCATTAGAACTCGGTAAGATTCCAATCACTAACCATTCTTAATCTTTTAAAGTTTTTCATGAATTTTAACGAAATTTTCTGTTTTTGATTCTCAGAACAAAGTCTGGTATGCCTGGCTACTTCATTGCTATGAACCCAACTGATGAAGATATCAAAGCCAACTTCACTTTCGGAGGAACTGCATTGGAATTGTCTGTTTTGATGTTGAGTGATGGCTTCAATGATAATCCATTGAAGAGCAAAATCATCAGCAATGAAATTCCACTCACCAAACATTCAGTGGCAGTTTTCACTTTTGTTCCACAGTAAAATGATCTGAAATTAATCTCAATCAAATCTGCATGCTTATAATCAATAAATTACTCAACGATGATGATATTCGATCAAAGAAATAAAATTTGATGACAATATGTGTAGCCTCTTTGTGAAAATTTGGACGAATCTTTGTTCATTTTTTCTATTTAATGTTCAATCAAAATATTCCAATAAAAGTTTTAATGTAGCATCAGAATTTATGACTTTTAATTTTTAATATTCATTGAAAAACTCAAACTACAATTGAGAGGATGAAGTTAAATTTTATTCAAAAAAGAAACTTAAATGAAACATGTCAACACATAAACTTAAATATTGAATTGTGAAATTTAATCGTCATCAACTTCACTTGCTGAACTTTCTTCCTTCTTTGTTTTCTTCTGGAAATATTTTTGAAAATTTCAATAAGAAGCCACAAAGAGAATTTAATTAAATTACCTTTTTCTTTTTATTTTCTCCATCACTGCTTGATTCATCCTCAGAAATGTATTCCTTGCTCTTAAAGCCAGCCCCACTTCCAACTTTTGTAGGTGAAACTTTACTTATTTCTTTTTCTTTCTTACGTTTCTCACCACCACCAGCAGTTGTTGAGCCACCAGACGCTTTGTATTCTTCCATTTCTTTTGCGTAACGCTCTTTATCTTTGGAAGCTTTTTCTTCCCATTTACTTTTATCCTTCAATGCTGACCACATTTCACCTCCTTTCTTAGCAATTTCTGTTATTTTAATGCCGGGATTGTCCTTCTTAATATTCTCGCGATTGTCATTCAGCCAAGCCATGAAAGCAGTTGTGGCTCGTTTTGGTGCATTCTCATCACGATCTTTCTTTGATTTCTTGGACTTCTTCGGCGATGAACTTGATTTCTTCTCTCGATGTTTCTCTTTCTTTTCCTTCTTCTTCTTTGCTTTGCTGCTGTCATCAGATCCACCAGCATCAGAGTCACTCGAACTCACATTGCTGTCAAATTCTTCAGCGACATCAGATTCTTGAACATTTGGATTAAAATCTTCATCAGTCGACTCTTCATCACTTCCCGACTCATCGGAATCACGCTCTTCAGCTTCTGCCTTGACGCGAGCCAAATAAGCGTCTGGTTCTTCTTTATCTGAGTCACCAAAGTCATCAGCATAATTCGATGTCATTTTTCCACTATTTTTAATTGTGATCTTCTTGGAAACAATGAAATCATAAAGTTTCGCGTATTCTTCTTTCTCAATACTGCTGAATGTATGTTGCGTTCCTGACTTCAATTCAATTTCAAAATCAAAACTTTTTGTCGATCCTCCGCCTCGAGCAAAGTTTACACATGCAATTTCTTCAAAGCGAATATGCATTGGAGGTTTGTGAACATAAATGAACCCACGTTCCAATGGATATAAATAACCAGCAGCTGCTTTGAATGAACAACCAACTGCCGGAGTTCCTGAATGTCCAAGGAATGATCCCGGACCAGTCAACTTACGATTTATTATGACTTTCATTATTTTACCAAGAACTTCATAAACTGGGCCGGACAATTCTTTCGTAAGTTTATCATCATACTTCTCTTTCAGTTCTTTCTCTGTAAATGGCAATTCGATGCTTGTTTCTTCCTCCATTCCAAACAATAAAACTAAGAAATGATAACGCGTTTGACCTTGTTTAATCGGTGGATCCAACGATACAACAAAGAACATTTGACGATTGTCTTTGTGTGGTAATAAAAAGAGACGCAAGACAGTTGACAATGGAATTTTGTAATCAAAAGTTTTACCGTGAAGTTGAAAGAATGATTGGAAAACTTTGATGTCGTATCGACCACTAAAAAGTAAAATCAAAAAAAAAACTTTAGAAACAAATTCAAGTTTAAAGAAGATGAAAATGCTGACCGTGGTGTTAAACATTGTATTTCACGAAAGATTGCAATAGCATCACCAGACAATGACAACACAGAAGCTTTGTTGATAACATTTTGATAGAAAGCGTCGACTGGATCATTCTCAGAGGATTCGGTTGTAGGAATGTGATAACGCATCTCCATAAGACTTACAGGAGCATCGTCGTTTTGGTGAAATTCTAAAGTGACTTCATTTTTTCCAGTTGTACATTGTGATACATTCGAGAGTGGAATTTCAAATGAAGTTTTCTCGCCAATATTAAAGCTGAGGACGTCGCCTTTGAAGTTGACTGTTCCCCAATTCCAACCTCGCATGGAAAGTTCCTTTTCAAGCATATCAAGCTCATAGTTTTTCTTAAAAAAATCTGCAATCTTTTTCTCGTCATCTTTGAAGCCAATGAAACGATGAAGTGAACCATTTTTCAAAAAGATTCGAAGACCAAAGCTGCCGACAAACTTCTGGAAATTTACGCAATCAATATCATCAGGTGTAATTTGCTCCACTTTTCCGGTCTTTTCTGATTTCCAAATTAAAGAGTCATTGGTCAATTTAATTTTTCCAGGTGCCTGTAAAATAAATGCAGAAAAATTAATAGTTGCGGCAAAATTAATTTTCGTAATAACATGAAAATATTCAACAAGTTCATTAAATCATATTAATCATTAACATACCAAGTATCCGCGATGCTCTGAAGAAATAGAATTGAACTCTAGAAAGTCCATTTTTCAATCCTTTTTGCAATTAGCAGAGATTTTAAAAAATTAAACGAAAATGCTTGTTGATCAATTGTGTAAAGTTTGAAGCCGAACGGCTTTGTATGGGAGGTCAAATCCACGCAAGTCGAAACCCGGGTAGTCTGGCGTCACTGGTGCCAATTGTGTAAAGTTTGAAGGCTGCGCAACTACGAATCGAAGCGCGATTTCGACAAGTCGACAAGAGATATGACGAGGGGTGAGTAAGATTCCAGTCGAAAAATAATCCAAGGACTTCAATATTTATAAAAAACAAGAAATTTACAAAAATATCACATTTAACACATTACGCAGTTTACAAATTGCTTTAAAAGATAAATAAAATTCTCAGGTAAGTTTAATGAACCGAGTTTTGAAGAAATATTTTAGAATGAGATTGAAAAGTGAAGAAAATGTTTGAGCATCGAATTTTCTCGAATTGACCTTTGTTAAAATTAATAGGCAATATTTCTTAACACCATAGCATACTATATGAACCATTTGGTTATCTTGTTTATTTGCATCTAGTTACAAATCCTGATTTTTATCACGTTCAGATCTTTAAGGTCATTTTAATTAAAGAAAATAGTAGTTGTACATGTCATCATCAGTTTTGACACATTTTTTCTTCATTCGATGAACATGTGTGAGAAGAAAGAAACGTAACTTCGTGATAAATTCACTGTTCAATTTTAAAAAACAAAATACTCAACCACACAAAATGCTTTTTCTCGCTACGAATGTGTAAAGAGTGAGTGAGCCAACGAATGTCTAAAAATAATGTCAATAATTGAAATACACCAAAAGTAAATTTAGCCATTATAAAAATGGTAGTGAACAAACAGCATTGCGTTGATGATGTGTTGCTTTTGACTTGCTTCATCGGAAGTAGATAGTTTAGACAAAAATATTATTTAATTTAATTATTAACTTATCAGCTTCTCCTTACTATTGTGATAATTTTATTGTACAACTCCTCCGCATTCCTCCATTTAATTCATGGACCTAAATACATACTTTAAGTACACAACTGAAGTCTATCTCATGATCTTTTCATACTATTTTTGGAATTTTTCTTCACTTTTCCTTTCCTCTCAGTGTGGGACGTGTTTTGACATGTTTTTCATATTTTTCTATTTGTAGATTACTTATAAACAGTTAGAGAGCATCGCATCGAGTCATTTATAAAAATGCATATAGAGAATCCAGAAGCATTAAGAGATTGGTTAAGGCCTGTTCTAGAGCCATTGTAAGTTTATTAATTAAATTTTCAATCATCACTTATAACATTTTTCACTTTAACAGATGTGATGCCGATCCAGTGGCTTTGGCCAAATACGTTTTAGCTCTTTTGAAAAAGGATAAACCCCAATCAGAGCTTGAAGTGAGCATGGCTGAACAACTGGATGTATTTCTCGGAACACAAACGAAACCCTTCCTTGAGAAACTTTTTGTAGTTGTGAAAAACTTGACCTACATGAAAACGGAACCTGTACGTGATTTAACACCACCCTTAAGTCAAAGCAGTACTTCAACTATCCCAAGCATCGAAAGACGAGTGAAAGAAGCTGATGAAGGAAAAGTTGAAAAGCCATCTTCATCCACCTCCATTGTCACTAAGAAGCTCACTGTTGCACCAGCACCAAGTAAAAGTAAAAGTCAAGAACCAATTTCGAAGGCACTGTCAGAAGGTCGCGATACACGACGAAGAAGAATATCCAATCGAAGTAAATCCCGTTCACGTTCAAAAAGCCGTTCAAGATCGAAATCGGCTGAAAGAATGGAAAGAATTCGTCGCTCAAGGTCACGTGATCGTCGAATGGCTGAACATACGCGTGATAAAAATTCTCGCCCTTATCGCAATGCTTCACCACCTACAAGACGTTATGATCATCGAAAAGGTGACAGATTATCACCAAAGCTTCATCGTGGTGGTGTTGGTGCTGGTGGAATTCGAGCGCCTCGTTCGCGAAGTTCATCGCCAGTTTATCGAAAATCACCTACACGAGCTGATGAAGTATTTGAGAAGCAGAATAAGAGATGTCGTGATTTTGATGAGAAAGGATATTGCATGCGAGGTGAGACGTGTCCATGGGACCATGGCGTGGATCCAGTTGTTCTGGAAGATCTCAGTAATCCATCGATAGCCATGAATCCTCCTGCAATGAACATAAGAAACGCGCCACTACACAGTGAATATAATCCCGACGCTCCGGATTTATGGACCCGTGGACCACCCGGCTTCGGTCCAGGAGGTAATCGAATGCATTTGCCAGTGCCAGCGCCACGTCCACCATATTTTGGATTTAGAGGCGGCCCACCAATGGGCTTTCAACTTCCACCTCTACCCCGCGAACTTATTCCTGTTCCTGTAATGGATCCAAACCATCCTGGTGATGTACCCGCTCATATGAAGCGTCGCTTTGAACCTGAAGATGGCGTTTCGATGCCTGAAGGAGCCAAACGAAAGGTTCCAATTAACAGTCGTCTTGGACCGCGTGTCAATCCAAATGGCGGTCAAGTGAATCCATCACAAAATTGTTCATTGGAATTAAGAAAAATTCCGCGCGGTCTCAATGCCATTTCACATCTCAACGATCATTTTTCAAAGTTTGGTAAAATTACCAACATTCAAATTGCATATGAAGGCGATCCGGAAGCTGCAATTGTTACTTTCACGTCTCATGCTGAGGCTAATGTTGCTTATCGTAGTACGGAAGCTGTTTTAAACAATCGCTTTATAAAAGTTTTCTGGCATTCAGGGTCTGGAACTGGTGGTGAAAATCAATCCATGAATGGACCAACAGGATCATTGCCGAAAGTTTCTGAATTATCGATGCGTCGTTTTCCTTATCCACAAAGTTCTCATGCAGCAACCCCAGCAACGACATCAAATGTAACAGCTGATAGTACAAATACTGCAAATGTAGCTCAACCAACATCAACAACAGCTGGAAATAATCAACAGGAAGTTCCAACAACAAGCAGTGCTGCAATTGCTCCAAAAGGATCAACAACTTATATTAATGCAGCTTCACCAGCAGCACAGCAAGCTCAACAACGGATGAAAACAGCGAAACTCACTCGTGCTGCCAATGATATGATTCATAAGAAGCAGAAGGAACAACACAAAGTTGCCGTACAATTAGCTCAAGGATTATATCAAAAGAAGCAAGAATTATTGCAGAAAAATATCGTACAAATGAAACAATTGGTGGAGAAGTTGGAACGAACTGATCTATTGGATCCTGGACGTGCACAATTGGTAATCACAATCAAAGCTCTTCAAGCCATCATTGATAATCTGAAGAAGGAACTTGAAACGGATTCAATGCACATTGTTGCAAAGTCACAATCAACGACACCGCAACGTAAAACGAAAGAACAACAACAGAAAGAATTATTGGATGTTGAATTGGAACTTATTAGTAAGGAACAACATGGAGATGATGACACATACGCCATCAAGAAGCGGTACATTGAGTTGCAAAAATCATTGAATCGTCCACAATTTCCAGCTGGTGGAGTAAGACCTGCAGTTGTACGACCAACAATAGCACGATTTGGTTCAACAAGCGTCGATCGACGTCCCACAGCAATTCAAATTACTGGGTTTGCTGTTGAGGATAGCGATGCCATTCTTGGACATTTCAAGGTAACTTTGAATGATTTTTTCTTTTTTCTGAAGATTTTTAATCTCTTATTCATATTATTTGATAGCATTTTGGTGAAATCACGAAGAACGTTTTGAATGAAGTAATTCCATTGTTGGTGCTTTCATATTCAACTCGCATCAATGCTGAACAAGCTTTGGCACGTGGACGACAGTTCAAAGATAAGACGCTGAATGTAAGTGAAAGAAACAAATGAAAGATTGTCTTAATTAAATTTTTAAATAACTTCACAGATTGTTTGGTTCAATCCCAGCCCAGTGGAAGAGAAAGTTGCACAATTGAAGGATGAAATTGATGATGGTGAAGAAAAGGATATTGATGGAGCAAAAAATGAAACAAAACTTGATGATGAAAAAAAGGAAGGATCAGATGAAGAAGATATCGAGGAAGAACGTTCGTGGAGACGCGGATATGATGCGGAATAGAAGATTGCCATTGATACTTTTATTAATTGTAAAACTTTCTTCCTTTTTTAAGTCAGAAAAAAGTATCAACAACAGCAATAATGAATACACATTGCAAGTAGCTTATTGACATTTTTTGAAATAGTAAACTGAAATCATTTTTTTACTGATTAATTTTTTTTCTAACAACATCAATTTTTTTTACATAATTTTTGATTGAATTTGATTAGTCGAGAAATAACTTTTTTGATTTTTTTTTCTTTAATTGAGATTTTATAATTCTTTCTTGAGTAATAATGCAAGAGAAGGTAGATGAGAATTGCTTTCTTAATTGTAATTTAAAGTAACAGAAAGGCATTCAAAATGAAGAAGCTACATGTGATGGGAGTTTGAAGAGATAAGAAAGAAGAAAAATCACAAAAACAAAACAATTTTGATGTACATTTGTTGTAATTTGACAATGTTATTGGAATTTAGTAGATAAGATGAAAAAACATGCAACAGAGTTTGCTGAATAATTTTTGGAAAAAATAAATAAATAAACAAACAAACAGATGAAAAGGAAAATTAAAAAAAAATAAGAAGAAGAAAAAAAATAATTCGATACCAAAAAAAATGATAAAGTTTCGAAAATATTTTCCTTTTAACTAAGAAACAATTTTAAATCTTAAAAAAAAGTTTTTTATTTGTGTGTGGTTTTTGGGGAGGATTTTTATGTTTTCAGCATAACTACGAAACTAATTTGAGCGTGTTGAGCTACCTAGGAGAACAAAAGATTTAATCTGACAAAATTCGACAATCTAATCTATCGATAATAAAATATTTCAAACAAGCAACGTGTACTTAACAACCATTAACATGAGTATGAATTAATGATTCACATTAGTATCAATTTCAACTGAATATCTAAGAATTATCTTAATTACTCATAGCTATTTGTCATAGATATTTATCGATCTGCTTAAATCTTATTTCTTTTCTTAGAAGTATTGCTAAGCTACTAATAATTATTCCAAAGTCTCATAATTTAATTAATAAAAGCTAGATATATTTTCTTAGGCAACTAGTTTGTAATAAGTATAAAATGAATTAATAATTTCATGTAGAGTCGAACTGGCAGAGTTGTTTAATGATAAAATTTTAAAATTAATTCAATAAGCTAACATTAAACGATGACATAGGAACGTCAATTGGCAAAGTCATAAGAAGTTTCAGAATTTCTAAATTTATTCGAATTCACTCATTGATTTAAATAAACACGCACTTAAACATCGAAAGCGAGTAAACATCATCCTCCAGAAGTGCGACCTACTAGGAAACATTCGCTAAGCATGTTCATTGAGAGCCAAAAAATGTTCAATAAATCTCGCAAAACGGGAAAATATTTAAAAGTCATCGAAACCAAAGCAAGTTTAAACTGTGACGGATCATTTCAGAAGATTAAATTCAATGAAGTTACTTAAAGTAAATGATCACGATCTGTTCATTTCGGGATCAATATTCATGGCGACGTAAACACACACGAGACGACCTTGATGTAATCTGGTCTAAATAATTTAAGTTTACGTGAGGAAGCTTTTTGATTCTGTTCGCGAATCCACGCAATTCACAACACCACACAGTTTAATTATCAAACAGAATCGTTTAAGTGCATATGAATGACGGTTTAATGAAATCTTTCTTAATTGATTTATCTCACTTTGAAATCGATCACTTCTTTTTTGTCACTGATCTGTTCCTAGCGGTCACTAGAAGGAATTTATATCTGATGTACTTAACAACAGCATCTCAATGAAATACTTCACATTTGTGTTGGTGCCTAGATCTTGTTTCAATTTTAATCATTAGTAATCCCAACAAAAGCTTTTTCTCGTCACAGTTCTATGGAGTTTTTAATTCACATATAAATAGCTAATGTCTGTAAAAATGTCAATTCAATTCGCTTTCAATCGTTGAATAGTCCAGTGACATCAAGTGCAAGTTTCTATTGTTAAAATTTTAGAAAAATTCTGAAGGTGACGAGTTAAGATTACGAAAATCAGAATAAAAAAGTTCTAACTAAATTATTTTATCGCAGATGAAATCGATTATTGTCGGATTATTCACAGTGCTTGCTGTTGTTCAAGCTAGTGTTGTACAAGTTTTGCCATCATCCACAGCTTCCCTTGTAAGAACACCATCATTTGACTCGGCTGTGGTTCATTCTGCACGTCACAATGGCGCGTTTTCTTATAGCACTGTTGAGAATCATGGATATGCCCACGCTGTGCATCATCAAGTGAGTGTCAAAGTGAACATCGAAAATTCAAAAGTCGAGTAACTTTGCATACTTTTATTAGGTTCCAGTTTATCGCACTTATAATTTAGCTCCACAAGTTCAACAAGTTTACTACGCATATCAACCACCAGTTTATTCAGTTCATCCATCTTACATCACAAACTTCAGTGGAATTCCTTTTCCAGCACCAGGAGTTATCTCACAACCTCCAGTTTTCGGTGGATTCCCAATTCAAGCTCCTGGCGTAAACCCACAAATTCCTATTGAAGTTGCAAGCCCAGCTGATAATGCACCAATCGACGGTCAACAAGGAAGTGTAACAAGCGATGACGACACTGTTTCAATTGAATCAGCTTAAATTCTTTAAATCAAATGTGACATTATCAATGGAGAAATAAAATTGTGAATATTAAACAAAGTGATTATTGAATTGAAAATTCAGGTAAAGGATAAATGACGAAAGGAATTTTAAAAAATTATGAAAATTTCAATAAATTTCCTTAAGTCTTTTCACAGCAAAAACAGGAAATAAATTTACGTATTGAAGACTTTGAAACATCTAAGATTGTGATTTTAGAAATGAATTAACTTTATAATGCCAATTTGTATCGAACGTTTAACTGATGAATGTTTTTGCTTCTTTTACCTCTTTACCAACTCAGTAAGTATGAATAAAAATCATTCGAAAATTTAATAGATTTGATTATCGGCATATCAAATTCTACTCAATTCAACTCACTACGTAATCTTTAATCTTATTACAAAGTTTAATACGTGACAGTCCCTGGAAATATTCTCAACCTTTAATAAAATAAATTATGTTAAAAATCGTGAAAAATATTTCCACAATTATTTTCCATGATCTTCGAGTGTAAAGCCCAGTTTGAACAGGTAAAGTAGTCTTCAATTGTGAATATAATTTATTAATTGCAAATAAACTTTAGAAAATAAAATAAATAAAAAAGTTTAACATTAGCTAATTGAATTGAAAAGCTTAATTAATTTTTCCTAGTGGAGAAAGGAATTGGTGGGATTTCAACATCAGGAATTTCTGAATTTTTGTTTCCATGATTTTTGATTGCATGATTGATGGTGGCAGAAGGAAGTGAATTTTCATTTGCAGGCTTTTCATCACGTTCTTCTTCATCTAATTTCCTAGCACCAACTTGAAACATTGGCTGTTCGAATGGTGGTAATTGATGTTCTTGTTGGGGATAAAAGTTTGGTGGCAAGACAGGGAATTGTTGAACAGTTTGAAAGTTTCCATATGAATCATAAACGAATGGATAGCTGTAGGGATAAGTTGGGAATTTCTGGAGAGGTATCAGAGATGGTGGAAATCCATATTGGTTCAATGGAATTGGCGACTTCTCAGTTGGCTTCTCTTCAGTTTGTGCAACGTTCTCTGAATTGCTTCGAGTTTCTTCAGTTTTATGTGCTTCGTTGTTTGATGACTTTTCAACTGCTTTCTCGGCTTCAAGAGATTTTAACTCTTCAGGTTCAGTGACCTGGAAATATCATGCAAATGAAATTATTTCATCTTGTTAAATAACTTTATTAATTTTACCTTAAATTCTCTTCTCTCACTCACAACGTTATTTGGATGAAATGGTTCGAACACATTTGCTGGATAAAAAGGACTGAGAACAGGAATTGTTGGTTGAATGACAGGTTGGATCAAAGGAAATGCACGTGATGGTGTCAAATTTTCATCTGTCGTTATAATTGCGTTGTAAACTTTTGGAGTTCTAAGAAGTTTGGCACTTTTGGTCAATGCTATCGACACTGTTAGAATAACAAACACCTGAAATACAAAAAGTTTTATTTCTTCGATTAATTGAAAAGTTTTGCTTATTAAGAAATTATTACTTTTCAAACTTGTTTTAATTGTAAGCATTTCATGATATAAGATGAAGAATACAAGTTTGAGCTTAAGTAATTTTTATTTATCTACATTTATGTATTTATCAGCTTCTTTCGAAAATTCCATTTCATTTATCACTATTTGTTAGTTAAGTATCGTAAGATTATCAACCGAAGAAAGCATAAACCACATAAAACCAGTCATTCGTTCGTTTGGAAGCATTCGGAAGTAATTGCATGTATTGAGTTCGTTGTAAAGCAACACCATCATGTGGGTTCATTCTCGATGTTAGATGTTATGAAAATGTAAATAAACCATACAGAAAAGAAACTGAAAGTGAATTTATATAGGCAGGAGCTTGGCTAATGTAACAAATGGTTTATGATTTGAAAGTAGAACTCATGGGTGCGCTGAAAATTTCACTTTTCATTTCGATAACTATTTCTTTATTTTCCTTTCGCTTTCCATTGATTTGTGGGTGAATTCAATCAATGATAAAGGTTGATGATGAGAGCTAACTATAGAAATTTCTTCTCAACATTTAACTACGCATTCATCACGTTCAAACTTTCCAAATTCTTGTGCATGCCGTCGTTTATCATCGACGAAACATCGTCGAATGTTTTGTGCTTTTGTCTTATTTTGTTAGTTAGGTTAAAAGTTCAACGTTTCTCTTTTCCGTATGTTTTTCTTTATGATTTTTGCAGCATTTGAATATTTGTAGAGTAGAAAACGGAAGTTTAAAACGAAGCTTAAGTCAAGTAGAGAGCAAACAATATTTATTGGTTTGAATAAAAAGAATTCTTTTGTAAGGAAAAAGTTTTATTATTTATGATATTGAATGAAATTGAGTTGGATTAAGCAGATAAATATTTTTCTTTTAATTAGAATGAGTGCAGGTAAACCTTTAATTTTAAATCTGATGCAATAACATTAAATAGATAGTGTAACAGACATTTTTAATTTCTATTATAATTCTTGATTGAAAAATGTGCATGAGATCAAATGCATCCAACGCAAATCTGACTCTACAAACCTTTATTTACGTGAGAAAAACATCAATGATTGGATTGAATAAAAGCTTTGTGTTAATTCCTTTTACTCAACTATCTAAATAACACTTATAAATGCCCTTCAAAATATCATCACATGTTCCATCATTCATTATTTTTGCAAAGACTGATTCGCAAATATTCGCTTGCAAAGTTCAATTAAATTTACTTACTTTAATTAACATTTTAAAGAATAACTTTTTTAATTAATCCAATTCAGAACTTTTAAATATTTTTGTATGTTGCACTACGAGCTCAGCCGCCTGCACCATTCAACAAATTAATTCACTTTAAATCTTTCAAATCGAAATACAAAAAATTTTTCTTATAATTTTTTATTCAATGTTTTCAGTCGAACAATCAAAATCAAACAAACACGGAATAATATAAATTTGCTTAACTTATATACGCCGCTCACACACCAGCATCAATGATAGACGAAGCGCAATGAGTTGCTGTTGAATTTTACAGACAAGAAGTGAATGAAAAGTGTTGAGCGCGAGAGAGAGTGAAACGTTGGTAATTGTAAAGTCTAAACTCACAAGAAGTCAACTACCCATATTACTTTTAATCATTTGATGACGATTGTTGATTTTCGAAGCATCTCATCAATCATCGACAAACTTCATCTTCAAATTCGCCAACATTGATCATTTCAATCAACTATCGGAGAAGATTTTAGATCGTCATTTTTGTAAGATGTTTTAGCAGTCATCAAAAAGACATAAAGGAAACTTTCCATTTCATTTAGAACATTAATCTACACAAACGATGTAGCCAATAAAAAATAAAGCCATGAAAATGTTACAGCAAAGTATAATCGTGTTGTTGGAAGTCGTTAAAGAAACGCCTACAATAAAGATACAAGCAGATAAGTAAATCGCTTTTTTTCAATTGAAGTATGAAATGAAAATAGTAATTTTTGCATTAGTGCAACATAATCTTTTAAGTATTCACAATTAATCTTTATTGATTTCGGAAGAAAGTGAAATTTTAAAACTTTGATTTGTTATTGTTACTATTGGATAGCATTTTAAACTACAATTATGGGAAAGGTTGAAAACAATTTTTTGTTGTTTTCTTCTTTTTCTTATTCTACTTATTAATCATCAAATACCTGCTTCAATTGTTCGTGACGCTTTCTCTTTGTCTAATTTCAATTTAACTCGTCCTTAATATGATATGGAATGTTTATCTCTCATGAACTGTTTCTATTCTTTCTAGATTTTTGATTTACACAAGGAATATAACTTCAATAACTTCATGTTGTGAATTTAAAACAATGCTTGTAAGATTATTCAAGGTTACAACCGTTAATGAAGTCTCTAAGTATTTTCAATTAAAATTTACTACGCTTAGCAAGCTTAACAACACCCAAAGTATTTATGCTAGCGTAAAAACTTTAACTCAAAAATGCTGTCGTTCTTTTTAAAAAGAGTCCATTCGATGTTGTAACATTACAATAACTCAAAACTCATCACACCGTTCAACTCAAAGAAAACGCCGCAAACATAAACATTTTTTCATGCGGGTCACGTGAATCTTCTGAAAGAAAGAAAAATCATCGCGATTCTTATTCTTTGATGAAATTATTCGTCGCTCTGAAGAATGGAAGATGAAATTCAAGAAAAGCATAAAAGATCAAGAAAATATTTTAGTTTGCGTTGAGCATGTTGAAGAGCGGCACATTTTAGAATCGAATTTTAACGTTTTTTCAAATTACAAACTTGACTCGTTTAAAAGCTTTTGGATAACTTTGAAAGCTCGCAAGAAACTTTTATCTAAAAATGATTCAGAACATGATTTCATTTTAACAAAGAAACTCTTTCTATTTCTTTTTGAACAAAAAAAAAGGATCTTTAATCATATGAATACTAAGATATCAATTTCCGTCTTAATTCGATTCTCCTTGAATGTTTCAAGAGTTTTTCAGAAGAAGCATACATTTTCAATTCCTTTATAAATCGTTTTTGTTTTACATTCTCGCTTTCAATTTCAACGATCCTCCAACTTTTATTATTCTGCCGTTTTCAGCGCATTCAATATTCTCATTCTTTTCTTCAAGGAACTTGGAAACAAAAGATATTGAAGGAGAAAACAAGATTCATATTTCGTTTCTTATGAAATAAATAAAATAAAAAATTCATTGAAACAGCAAATTGTTCAATTTTAAAGACCTCACGCTACCAATTGAGATTCCTTCGAGCGTTAACATACGAAAACTTCAATTCAAAAATGATTTGATGGACTTTTCAATGAGACTTTTATGAAGAGAGCGGATTCATAACAATTTCAGATGGTATTGCGCGTGTAATTGTCGAAAGAATGAAGAAAAATCTTTAAGTAGTCGAACGTTTTTGTAAACCTCAAGAAACTATAAAATTTAGTTTCTCGTATTTGTTTTTGTTGAGATTTTCTGATACAAATGCAAATCTTGGTTGGACGTTTATTATTTTAAGAGTTTTTATTTTCGTTTATTTAACTAAAAAAGTTAAATGAACTGATGCGTAACTCGGTAGTTGAAGTTTGTCTTGATGGTTTAAATTGGAAGCTCGTGAAAATACTTACTTGAGTCATTCCAAATATATTCAGTAGCGATCGTGATGTTTTTCGTCGAGTGATTCAAATACAAATTAACTTCTGCCTTTGACATGTTTTTGGTGGTGAAATCTTTCTTTGAGTTCCAAGTACTTTCATTTTAATGACACAAGGAAACAAGGTTTTAAATTTCATTCAAGTAAATAGGTCATGAGTCTATAAGTAATTGAATTGCAAAGAGGGTCGTTGCTTCACAATGTCTTTAAATATTTTACAAGAATTTTCTATAAATTATTTTCGTCCGACGATGCCAATAATTTAATTTGTCACAATTTAAAACTCAATTTAATCTGTGACACGTGTTTTTAATTTCTCTTCTAAAATTGTCACTTGTGGTTGCACAAAATTTAAAAAGGATTAACGTCACATAAACGCACGTGAACCCAAATATCATTTAATGTCTTTCTGACCCCTTTAAACATATTTAGATATTTATGTATAACCATATCCGCCTACAATTCCAAAGATCAAAAAATTCATAAAGTTAATTAATTCAAGAAAGTAATCTAACTTAAATTAAATTCCTCTTCAACAATGAAACGAAATGAAGTTTTCCAATTGAGAATCGCTATTGAAATGAAATTCTAACAATTCCAAAAAGTGTTGAGAAGTGTCACCCGCAGATACTTTCATGGTAATCCTGCAATGAAAAATGTTTTTTCTCCAAATATCAGGAGGGTCATGTTTGACTATATTAACATTCTGATTATCATTGAAAATACTTTTGTGTATCAATAACAAGCGGAAGGAAGATTTTTGGAAGTAAAAGTTACTTGAAATCGGGACAAACATGACTATGAAGCCAAGGAAAAACTTTTTTAATGAAATTTCTCATAATTTAATACGATCTTGAAATGATTTTATTGTTGATGACTCGACTCTGTGTTTGTTGTGATCCCTTTCAAATGTGGGTTGATGGGATTAAAATATGTTTTATTGTGATGATTCTCATGATAGATATTTAACTGCTGTAGCTTCGGGATGTTTTTAATAACACAATTAATATGTTTTCATTTCAACTGTCTCATTCGTTTGGATGATCCTGAAATATTTTCGTTCGATATTGTAAATAATGGGAATTGTTTTCTTTCTTGTTCAAAATACTCGTACAATACCTGATGGTGCAGAAAAACTCGCTCTTCTGTCACCATGACATTAAATTCCCAACTCTATGCAAGTTCACTGTTGAAACAATGGCTTGTGCTTCTACAAAATTAATTTCGAGTCGGAACGTAGTTCATCTCATGCTTCAACAAAAGAGTTTCTTCCCCAGTTGTTTAAAATGCACACACCAGGCGATTGGATTGTTTAGGAATGATTTTATGTGAACAATTGAAACACTTATGAGCCATACATTCACAACGTTGATTCGGTTTTGGTGAAAATAAAAATGAAATTGGAAGAAAAAATTCATAACTCAATTCATTGGATAACAATTTCCAACTCTTTATTTTTGTATGATGAAAATTCTTTATTTTAAATATTGTAGTAAATATTACTTAAATTGATTCTAATAGTAATTCAATTTACAATGAATAAATCATTACAAACGAAAGCAGATAAACTTCAGAAACATTTGAATTCAGAAACCTCATCATTAAATAGAAAATCTTTGTGTTTCAACTTGTTGACTTATGCTTGATAAAAATGAAAGTTTTTAAATCAATTTCATGTCTTCCTCCAAAGTCTTTCGTCTTTGATGATCCACTCAATTCATTGTTTTTAAATATTTGATTTTGATGAGTACGAATGATTCAAATATTGAGAAGATAAATCAAGTATTATTTTTTAAATGATTTTTGAAAAGTTACTCATTCTTTGAACACATATTAATATTTGCAAATGAACAGAAATTGTAGACAAATGTTAAAGATTTTATTGTTTGAAGTAAAAACAAAGTAAACGTGAATAAGTCTTATTCTATGAATATTGAAACATACAAATAAGGATATGTTTCAGCAAATATTTTACTAATCTATGAAACCAAACTCATTTCGAAGATTCGTAACAATTTCCCACATTCATCTCAAACAAATATTTTTCTTCTTTTTAAATCCTTGAAATCGATACATTTCAATCAGACAAACAGTGAAACAAACATAGGTCACAAACAAATATCTCATTCAATTTGTTACTTATTGATGCGAAAACCAAAAAATTAATTTACCAAAAACTCAAAGAATAGAAAATTATACCACAAGTGTTTTTACTTTCAATTAACAATGGATTCAAGAGAGGATATAGAAAGGTTTACTTTTGTTTGTTTTCATAAGAAAATATCCTTTTCTTGAAATTTATCTTCATTGAAGCCACCCACTTGATTACACTGATTCACTTACAGATTTCTTCATTGTTGATATCGTGGATGTCTTTCGGAGAACACCTGAGGTAATATTTAGTTTTTGAAAAGGAGATTCGAAATTTATCTCTTGATATATTTATAAGCTGTTCCAGTGAACATTGTTCCACGGTGGAACTTCCACCATACATTCAAACAATAAAATTATAAAATTTATATTGATGTTCGTTTCTTATTGTCTTCCACTTGGTCAACGTGAAACTGTTGTGAGAAGCGACTTCATGTCTGTGCTTAAAGATCAAAAACATTGCGAAAGCATCAAACTCTACTTCAATGTTGGCCTTCTATGCGCAGACGTTTTTGGGTGGTGAAATATGTAATATTATGGGGGTTTGAAAACTCAATTTTAACAGTTTTCAATATTCTTCAAGAGCTGTTAATGAATGTCGCAAATTTTGAGGGCGTTGCCATGAGAAATCGATTGAATGTTTAAAAATAAATATTTTTGTTATCCACTTTTTATTTTTAATTCAGATAATTTAAGCGTTTAGGATCAATTTATGTCAGAACGGCTCACAATTTTTCCATTAAATATACATATTGTAGCCTATTCATTTTCAACAATTTAACATTTCGTCTACAATAATGGATTTCAAGCCAAAAAAACCAACAGCGATTTGCAGATTATTTTCCTAGGTAGGAAATATTGAAAACGAATTTATTCTTATTACATTTTAATACGCGCTCAACCTGGAACGTTCAAGCAACAAATGAATCAATTTTTGAAGGTCTGAAAAATATTTCGGATGAGTTTTAACGACTCTTAAATTTTGAAACAACCTGAAGATACTGTTTTGACCTCTCAACTGATAACTCTAATGCCAAATTTATCGCGTCAAGTCACGCGTAGTCTCAATAGTTGTACAAGGAAAACTTCAAAAGAGCAAAGCTTTTACTTGTACACGGAATAAAAGCAGAAACAAATAATTAAAATAAAGATTTTTTGTCAGCAACATTAAAAAATTATTATCATCTTAACTTTTTTATACCAACATTTTTTAGTAACATAAATAATCTACTGCCAGTGCAGTGGAATAACAACAAAAAAAAATTCATTTCTTGATCTTATTTATATTTCATTCTGAAAAAAAATTATGAAAGCTTTTAGCAATAATTATTTCGTGACAGAACAAACCATGTTTGACACTCAAATTGATTAATGGATATCATTTTTTAAATCAAGCTTTAATAATTTATCAGATTTTTCCAAGTATACATTTCGGAAAAAAATTCTTGATCAAAAACATAAAATTCCTCAAATAAAAGAGGAAAAACAACTTGACCCTACTTGAACGATTCTTTTCAGAGTTCGTTTAATATTTATTATGTTGAATTTTTCATAATCGATTTTTTTATTTGAAAACTTTTAATTAACTCTTGATTTTCGTATCATGAAAAATTATTCTGATTAACAAAAGTTAGCATATTTGATAGTGATTGAAGGAATCTTAAATTTATTGTGAGCTTAATTTTTCGCTTAAAGAGATGTAAATTGTAAACTTATATTTGTTTTATTATATATTTGTCCTTCATGCTGAAATCATTAGCTTCAAGTCTGTTAACCAGCGTATCCGTTGAATGTTCATAATTCTCAATAAACCTAAAAATCATCTCGAAAAAATTTCATCAACTTAAAAATCATTTATATTCCTTTCAATTCGCTGGGCACTTGAAAAACATGAATGGAAAATGGTTTATAATAGTTCAGGACGAAATATACTTCAAATAAATCCAAAATGTAATTGTATTCCTACTGTTAAACTGTACTTATGAGAAAAATAATTCGTGGAGTTTTTTATCATTTTTAAGAGCATACAAATTTCCTTTTCAATGAATAATCAAAAATTTTCATAAATCGTTATATAAAAATGAAGCATCATAATTTTTATATTCCATTTTCCTTTTTATTACCAGTTTTCATTAAATTTTAATTTCAGTTTTTGCAACATAAAAAATGGTGTCAAATTTAAACTCTTTTTGAATGTTTCAGCTTAAAGGAACGTCGCAACATTCATTGTTTCCAGAGTTGGGCGATCCATTTTCCGATACGGATCGCCGATCCAAAAGTGGATCGCCGATCCAAAACATTTTGGATCGGAAAAATGGATCGGATCGGCGATCCAAAAATTAAAATATTGGATCGTGAAAATGGATCGCCGATCCATGAAAAAAATGGATCGTGGAACGGATCGCCGATCCATGAAAAAAATGGATCGAAGACCCGATCCACGTTCCATTTTTCCCGTGCCCTTTTCTCTTAAGGGTCAGATTTGTAAAACATTTTTCTAGCCCTTAGTGTTTGAAGGGGCAAAACTACAATTTTCGCCAAAGGGTTAGGAAACTTATTAGAAAATCGTAGTTTTGCCCCTTTGAAAAACAAGGGGTAGAAAAATGTTCTACAAATCTGACCCTTAAAAGAAAAGGGCTTAGAAATTTTTTTTTATATTGGATCGTGGATCGGATCGGCGATCCATGGGAAAATGGATTGCCGATCCGGATCAGCGATCCGGATCGGCGATCCACTTTTGAAATTTTGGATCGCTTAACTGGATCGGCGATCCAAAAAATTCTTGGATCGCCCAACTCTGATTGTTTCATGTTCAATGTTTCATTGACTCATGAAACAACAAGAAAATGCTTCATGCAACATAAAGTAAAAGAGACAAACATATGCTCGTAAGAGCGAGAAGGAGATAACTTTTAATGTTACGGAAGAAATGAACGAAATCCAAAATAATTCTTATTATTAACATTTTACAGTCGGTTTAATATCTCAAAATGTGGTAATATAAGAAGCAAATTGCTGCTTGTGCTAGGGAATAACAATCAATAATAACATTAAATGATGTTTCACTGTTTCCACTATTTCTTGACTCGCTTATATTTTCTACTCGTATTGCTTTTTGGTTGGTTGGATATTATTGTTTAACAATTCTCTGAGTGTTTTTGTATACATCTTCATGATGGTTTTTTTTTCTGGGTTGGATATTGTTGAAATATCAAAATATCAATTTTGTACAATATTTTAGATTCAGTATACTTCTGATACTCGTCGACGGCGGTTGATTTGTAAGAAAGTAGACTTCAATTATTTGATAAATTGTTACAAAATAATAAAAGTGGTGAAAATTAAAAATTTAAAAAGAGAATCGCGTTGCAAATGAAAATTAGAAAATCCTTTAAAAAATAATTGATGTTTATTATAGTGCAAAGTAACATTTCTTATTGTTTTAAAAAAAAGTTTGGAAAAATTTTACCAAACATTAATTAAGAGTGAGACAAAATTAAATTAAAAATAATTTCTTAACACAGTGACTGTGTGTAAATAAAATTTAAAGAAAATTATAAATGAAAGAGAAAAATATGAGTTTACCGAACAGTGTCGATATGACAAACTTAATGTCACAGCATGGAAATCCATTATTAGGAATACCACCAGCTTTCTTTCTTAGAGCTGCTTCTGAAAGATATCAGAGAACTCCTAAGTGTGCTCGTTGTAGAAATCATGGTGTTGTAAGTGAATATCTTGTTGATATATGTATAATCAAAATTTTATTTTACCGACGGTGCTTACTGAACTCTATTTTATTTTTATAGGTGAGTGCGTTGAAAGGTCATAAACGTTATTGTCGTTGGCGTGATTGTTGCTGTGCCAAATGTACTTTAATTGCTGAAAGACAGAGAGTGATGGCAGCGCAAGTAAATATCAATAATTTGCTTTACTTTTCAAAACTAGTAATTTCACAGTTTTTATTCTCGAAGGTCGCACTCAGACGCCAACAAGCACAAGAAGAAAATGAAGCTCGAGAGTTGGGTTTACTTTACCCAACACCATCTAATATTGGTGGAAACACTCATAATGAATCTCAACAATCCACGGGTTATCATTCCGGAATCCCATCACCACCAAGTGATTCAACCGATCAAACAAGCAACAGAAATTACGCAGGCAGTGAATCAGGTTTGGATAGCAAAGTTTTTCTAAGAACCAATTTAGAGATTTCTTTTTTGATCACAGACGTAGAAATACAAAAGATTCGTCAAGATAAAATCAATCCAGCTTATTCACCCGCACAAAGTGAACCTGAAAGTCCCGGTAAGTTAAACAAGAAAAACACAAAAAAGTCTTTTCTTCTGGAAATGATCTGTGAAAAATCGGGAAAATGTAAAAAAGGGGAAAATTCTAAGTGGAAAGAGTTCAAGATTTTTTGTAGCTTAAAAACGTTTTAATGGCACGAGGGTTGTTAGTTGAAATTGCAATTACGAAAAACGGGAAAGGAACTGAACAAATTTTGTGTTTGTCTTTTTAATTTTCCGTCATTAAGAACATTCTCAAGTGGGAAACAAATAAACAAAAACATGTTAAACGCAATGTTTTGTTTTCACCGAAACATTTTGAAAGTCATACTCGACTAAGAAAATTAACGCAAAAAGACTGACGTTTAAAGTGCAATTAGTTATTGTGTTGATTTTGCCACGCAAAGCGATGAGGAAAAAACAAATTTGAGGGTTTACAAACATTGAAGAAAGTTGTGAATTATTTTCGTTCTGATGTTTATCAGATTTCAATACAATTGGCTACCTTTTAGCTACTTGAAGATCTTTATCTCCGATACCTTCAAGTGAAAATAAACATTCTCAGGTTGTTACAGTGTTTCATCAAGTTACATGAGATACCTTTCAAGATTTAATCACCGAACAATAGAAAATTGTTTTTAAGAAATTCGAGAAATTGTCGTGAAGAATTTTCGCAATATGAATGAAAGAACGAACAAAATCTCAAGAGGTTCGAAGATCGATTACAAAGAAGAACAAAATTACAATTCTGAATGGAGCTCCATTTGTATTAAATTTCCCTCAAGTGTTGTTACAAGATTCCTCGAAATTGTTTACTATTATTGACCTGAAAACATCGCAACAATTTCAATTTCATTCACAGATTCTAAACAACTTTTCAATTAAATTAATCTCAACAATGTTGATTAATCAGCCACACTTTATCTCATAAAATGAGGGTTTGTTGAAGAGTTGAGATAACTAATTAACCATCAAGTGTTTTCCCTTTTCAAAAGCAACCACGAAGTTGTGAATAATTTTAATAAACTTTATAACATGTAAAGACAACTCTTGAAAATTTAATTTTCCTGATTATTTCCAACAAGTCAGTTGTTGAGTTGAGTAAAGTATCAAAATATGTTTCGTTATTGTTATTTGATGCTCTTCAAAAATACTTTTCAGGATTCGGAATAATGAACAGATTAGTTTGTAATTTGTATCCTTCCTTCCCCTTTCATTCTCTATTTGCTTTTATTCAATTGTTGAAATCGAAAGATGTTATGCAACCCCAAATTATTTTTCACGAGAGTGGTAAATAATCTTCACAACCAGAAGTGAAAATAAAATCTAGGGCGGTCTTTTATGAATAATTATTCATTAAAGTTTGAATATTTATGTCACAGTTATTACTTCTTTCATACCATGAAACTTTGTTATATTCCCATAAATAATTGAGTTGCATACGACTGGGCGTTTGTTAAAAAGTTTTTTTTCTGCATTTTTCTGACAATTTTAACGCGATTTTTTTTTGCTTCTCAGTTGGGAATAAACGAGCACGACTTTCTGCTGAAACTGACCATGACACCGGTTCAGAGTCGTCGCCAAGCAGTCCAAGAATTAAAAACAAATCATTTTCAATGCCGTTGTCACTTTCACCATCGCGACATCAAGCTTCACCCAGTTCACCAGAAAGTGATTTAGATGTTGATGATTCTGCGCCTGATGACGTAGCACCGGAAAATTTAAGCTTGAAAAAGAAGGAAAGGTCAAAATCTCCCGCTGGAAATAACAACTTTTCCAGCAATTTAGGATTTTTGCCATATCAACAACCGTACCACCAACCGAACATTTCAACATCACCAACACAGCGTTCACCAGTTGATGTCCTTTTGAGGTAAAATAGAATAACTTTAAAAGCTTCTAGAATATTTTTTGAATACAATTCATGTTTCCTGCAGAGTTTTCCCCAACAGAAGACGAAGTGAAGTTGAACAACTTTTATCGAGATATCGTGGTGATGTTGTGCAAGCGATGGAGGCAATGCTTTGTGGTGACGATGCAATGACCCCGATCTCGTAAGTATTTGAAATACTCTCTTATTGATAGATTATTAACTTTGATTTACTCCCCAGTGTCACTTCATCAGCTTCAACATTTATGAAATCAGCTTTTTCCCCATTGATTCCACCAGCATTTACAGCTGCAGGTCGTTATCCTTTCCTTCAACATCAAGCGAAAAGATTCCTTTCAGCACCTTACACTGGCACTGGATACCTTCCTACCGTTCTCGAACCTGATCAAAATGACGTCAATGGAAACTCGAATGCTGGAGATTCACAAGATTAATACACAATGATCTTTACCAATGACAATGATAACTTAAGATTCACGCTTAGTTAGACCAAGGAGTGAAATTAACTTTAAAATTTTAACTCTAAAATGTTTTTCATAGTTGTATACGATTTTTCGCTCTTAAATAAGAAATGGATGTAAAATGTAAAGTAAGATGATAAAAAAAAAGTTATGGAAATAAATTTATTTAATCTTAAATAGATGCAAATGAAAATCTTTTCATCCCCTCTCATTTTTTAAAGATGTTACAAATTCTTGTTTCTTACAATACAACTACTAAGAATGTCTTCAGGCGCCTCCATTGAAATTTAATTCCAGAATATCTCGTTACACAAACGTTCATTGTAATGAAATTTATTAAATTATGATGTTGATGTCACTATGCTACGATTGTGTAATAATAACAATAAATTATTTGATGTTTCATTTGCAGAATCGAGAAAGGTGTGGAGAAAAAGCAGCAGATGTTAAATGGAGAATCAACAACATTTTGAATTGGTAAAATACTGAACATGTATTAAAGATGGCTTTAAATATTCAAAGCTCTTCATACATAAATATCTACAACATTAATTGTTGAAACGAAAATTTCATAAATCAAGTTTTATTGGTTTATCATATCCATGCAATTTTCCTTAAGAACGTTTCTTAATTCTTACATTAATATCTGGTAGTTTTCAACATTTATTACCCATCGTAAACATGAGAAAATAGATTCCGGAAAATTTCTCGAGGCTTGTGAAGAGTCACTTAGAAATATGTTTTCGAGTAGACAAAAGCAAGATATCGATAGAAACGTGATTAAATTACTATGCTAGTCTTCGATGAACATCAATAAAATTTATTAACATTCTTTTCTCATATCAAGTGTGAATTTATTTACATCAGAAGCAAATCATCCTTTTCTATTTATCACAAAAAGTTTTCTATTAGAAAATCATTTTATTTTGCTGATTAATGAACAAATTAATTTATGTAAAGAAATATTGTTCGACGATTACTTCAAATACATTATTCCAAAATAAGTTATGGTTTCCAAAACCAACAAACTTGTCTCATCTATTGAACCACTGGCTTACGCAGTAGAGACTTAAATAAACAATCTTATTTTTCTTCTTCTCGTTTCTAATGATTTTCAAGAGATGACTTTCATAAATTTCTGTAAGTTTGTAACAGTATTAAAGATTCAAATATCATTACTTGTGAATACTAAATGATGGATAACTAAATTTAATAGTAAACGTGAAATAAAAACATTTTGAATTCAACATTCATTCTCATGCTTAGGTAGACATCAATAAATCACGTTATTGTTTAACAATTTTAACAATGGCGGTTGGTTGTAGATGCGATTGTTAGACCCTGATATGACTCTTAAATAACTACTAAACAAACACCATGGCATAAATGCCTACTTTTATGGAAAAAAGGGTTGTTAAGCAAGAGATTTAGTTTCACATCTCGTTTAAAATTTGAATGGAATCATCCTGTGATCAAATCAATTTCTATTTATTTTATGTATGATCTCATGCCGCGCATCAAACATTTCACGATGATTATCACATTTAAACAATTTGTCATGAACCATTTTTTATTTACTTCAATAATGTAGGCATGACTGGTTGCAATCATCATAAATAAAGGAAAATATAAACCCAGTACAATTATTAAGGTAAACGGTTAACAATGGCTTCTCACAGTGAAACGCTGTGGAGTTTGTTAGATCGTCAAATACTATTACGTCCATCGTCTCAACTGTTACATTATAACCTTAAAGAGTTTATGTTAAATTTAAATATCGAATTTCAAGGCATTAAAACAATATTTACCATAAAATTCAAGTCGTCGAGGACCAAGATGTATGGAAGAATAAAGAGAAAAATAACAGTAGAGGAAAATAAATCTTAAAACGCTCAAGAGGAATCTTAAAAGCCCTTGAGAAAAGAAAAGCTGTCACCATTGAAATTATGTTACCTGTAGAATATCTGTGTAGTTAATCAGTGAGTCTTTAAAAATTTCAACGTCGTTGTTTGCTTAACAATCAAACTGAAACATTTTCGATGACGCAAATGCTTCAAGAAGTATAAGAATATATTTCAGATAGATAGATTTAAATAAACTAAACTTTGAAGTCGACAAAGGTTTTTAGACTGAACTGAAAATATCGAAATTGCAATTTTAAATGTTTTCTGGATGACTTCTAATGAAATTCTTTTTCTGTTGTTAAGATATTAAATCAATTAGTTTTTGAAACAAACGTCGTAGAAATTGTGAACAAAATATTTTTAGATTCAAGCACCTTTTAACGAAAAAAAATTAGCAAGAATCTTGGAATATTTGAATGTATCGATCAAAAGTGTTAGCAAAATAATTTAAATTATTCTGAAGTTGATATCAAGAAGAGAAATAAACAATTTTAAAGAAATTTTCATGAAAATTTGAGGTCACACAAGAGACAACTTAGTTATTATTAGCCAATTCAGAAAAACTATCATTTGTTTAAACCAGAAATATGTTGACATTTATAAGCAAGACACATATCACGTAAAAACACTTGGAATGAAACTCTTAACGTTGAACAAAAAAAACCTCCGGGTTAATTTTAGTCAAATATTAGACAACTTAAAGTTTTGAAGATTTTTTTGTGTCTACATTTTGGTGATGATTTTACATTGTTAAAAGTTAATGGAATATTTTTTCAGTGGTTGGAAACTAAAAGCAGCTCAAAGCTAATAGTTTTTTGTTTACATTTTTGTTCAAAATTGATTTAATTTATGAATTGTTTGATGATGAATCTGATGTCAAGATATTAAATGATGTTTTCACCATCCATCTATTAGTTTTATTTATTAAATGATTTGTGAAATTACCGAAATATATCCATTTGAAGACAATGAAATTAATCATGATGAAACTTCAATTCAATGTTTAAAATCGACATCAATTTCTAATTTTTTTTTCTTATTGAGAATTTAAAATTGCGTTTAAGTAGAGAAACCGAGAAAACTCATAAAAAACAGATATTTTCATTGTCGAATATCAAATTTACATTTTTACTGTTTCATAAAAATTAATTTCATTTTTTATTGCCAAGTCAACCATCGAGGGTGAATCCTTTCAAATATTGCGCTGAAAATTGCTTTTTCAACATCGGCTGGCCAATTCGTGTCTTCCAGCATCGTTGGCAATATTTTCTTATACAACTAGATAAACACTAAAATCTTAGAAATCATGCTGATACTAAGACTCTTGTGAACACAATAAATAAATGTCAATTGCAATCAATATCTTTTACAAAGTCCAAACAATATTTCTTGAATCCTTTTTTCCTTTTTCAAATAGTTTTTTTTCTGTAAGATTTCTCTGATCATACAAAAACTAAATTCCTTTCAAAGAACTTCTGGTTTTTATATTTTTATTATGGAAATATTTGTAAGAAAAATTATTGAACATCTTTTAGATAGTTGCTTCGGGATACTTACGATTTTTAAGAAGAAAGGGTTGCAAATCTTGAATTAATTCGATATCAATTGCACATCTTTCAACTCATGCTCTGACCTTTTTTTTTCCTTTCTTTGTCTTATATTCGTATTACTTTTTAATGCTTCCATTTCTTGTCACATCAATAAAATAATATAATTGAAATTTGAGAAAACTGCCTGAAACTTTTCTTTTCATCGCTTCTTTTCTTTTCTCATTTTTCTTTGAAACAGAAACAATTTTACGCGTCGATTAATTCTTTGTTATGAAAATTTGTCAACTTTCTCCATTCACAAAAGAAATTTTGTTTCCAAAGAAAATAGAAATTTCAGAAACAGAACTTGTAAAGATTTTATCTTTCATTTTTAGAAAGATTCTGCGAAGAGAAATATAAAAATCTTTTGTTTTTAAGACTCATCTCAAGACGGAAGCGAATTGTTTCCGTGGTTTCTTTACCAATGAAAGCCATGAGTTATCGCATTCGTTTAACTATCATACACATATGCAAAATTTCTTTTGTTTATAGTTTTTAATAAGAAGATGGAAAGAATTTAGAGTCATGGTAACTGGATGGATGTTTACAATTCAGAATGATTTCGGTTGAAATTTCTATGATACGATGAAACAAACATATAATCCTGGAGACTGGTACGAGACAAAAGATTCATAACAATAATACTTAATTGTGCTATTAAGAATATCCTCGAGCTACGAGAGTATAATAATGTGAGATATAACAATAAAACATATTTGAAGTTAAATCCTATCAACCCACATTGAAAATGGAACATAACAAAAGCTAAATGAAATTTGCGTTGAGCTAGATATCAACATTTTAAATGAAAATCATGTATTTAATTAGTGCTTTTTACACATTTTTTATTCGTTGAGGAAAAACATATTTCAATGTTCAACACAATTCACTTTCTGAATTTAAATTCCTACATCTTGCATACTATGTATTTCAATGTTGCCTTCTTCATAAGTGAGCATGACGAGAAATGGAAACATTGAACATTACATAATAATGTTTCAACATGAAACTCCGCCTGCATCATTTTCTTAACTGCCTTTGATTGGTTCAACATAAATTGCAAGACTTTCAAATAACATTAAATTTATGAAATTTTCTTTACATAAAAATCGTTCATTAAGAGAAATTTTAATTTAGCAACAAGAATGTAGAATAAATTTTAATATTAATTATAACATAATTTTGACACCAACATTCTCAAGATAAAAGAAAGATTAGTACCTAAATACTTCTTAAATTTTTAATATTCTTGAAAATATGTTTTGAGGTATTTGAGGTGACAAACGATAAAATTTCTCATTCCATCGAAACATTCCAGCATTGAGATAAAAATACAATTTTATTGAGTTCCTCTTATCGTTGTTGATGCCTTCGTGATGAGAATTCTTTCGCACATAGTTTGATTGTATTTTTTTCGCCTTTCCTCAATGACGATATTGAGTTGAAGATGTTATCGGAATTTCATTCCAATGTTGAATAAAAAAACTTTCTTACACTTGAGTTTCAAGATTATATTGGTTTTGTGGAGAACGAAAATGATCACAAATGAACAATGAGAAGAATTTCATCATCTTCCTGCAGTTGAAACCGCATTCAAACACACGGGAAAAAAGAAATTAAATTAAACGCTTGCTTATGTTCAGTAATCTTATTTAATAATGATGATATCAATCTAATTCATTGTAAAACTGATGAAACATATCGAGTTTCTGCTTGCAGGATTTTATTGAATGAAACTTATAGTTTTTTTATATTTTCTGTTCTCTGATTGTTCTCCGAAATTGCCATTGTGCTCATTCATGTCTTTTGTGGTTGAAATAAATTTGGAAAACATAACATTTAATTATGTCCTTCAGTCTTTTGTGTCCCATAAAGACTCAGCCAACTGCTGCTGTTTGTCGTTTTTGTGACGTTTTTATTAAATTAAATTTTAAGTTTTGTATCATGGTATGAAATTTGGAAATTCGATATGAAATTTTCAACATTTTGTGGTGGCTGAAGAACCAAGATTTATTTTATATTTGCAATGGTACTTGATTTCAACATACGTTCGTTTTTGATTGAAACTGCTACCAGAATCTGAATCGTTCATATTAGCTAAGTTAGAGCTTTATTCCATACAGCAAATATCAAGGCTTTTTGAGTTACTGCAATTGACATTTGCAATCACAAATTTTCCATGAATCATGAAGTCAATAACAAACTTTCTATAATTGAAAGACGTGCTCAACAGAAAGTTTAATTTCAAAATTAATGCTTGATTGAATCATCTAGAAGCTTTGTTTATGATTATACAAGAGTAACGCTTGTACTCGTCTGTATTGAGCATTTACTCAAATTCTTTTATATCAAATCTTTGAATTAGAACATTTAAAATGCATCGTATAGAAATTATTAATTAAAAATTAGCAGACCTTAAAATTAATGAATATCGTTACGATTATTTCAAAGAGAAAATCAACTGAACTTTTGACGTTCATTTAAACACAAAATTTAATAAAAATATTTTTGCCTCAGAAACTTTTTCATCACTTATAATTAATTAAAAGTATTTTTAGATATGTTTGCGAGTTCTTAAGGCTTTTTAATTTAATATTATGATGACCCATTTGTCAAATGAAAACTACGTGAGTGCAATAATTAATAAAATTAATGAAATTACTGAAATATTAATTTCATTAATTTCGGAAGATAAAAATCTTACAATTTAAGGATTTGGTAACATAAGAAATAATTTTATAGAAATCGAAAGCTTTTTAATCTTCAATGTTTTGTAAAACATTAAATCATGCTATCTCATTCTTTTTATGCTGCTCGAATACATTCTGTCAATGTTTTGTTGTTTCCACGAATTGTCCAAATTTGACGGCATAATTAAAATATAAATTCAAGGAAAAATTTAATTTACTATCCACACCATTTTTAAAATGTTGAACTTTTTCAATGATTTCATGAGATTAATTCCAGTCGGTTTCTATGATAGGTGGAGAGGTAAATTTCATAAGTTAATACATTTTAAACTGTACCAATGGAACAGATTTTAAAGTCAGATTTTAATTGATAGCTTCAAAAATCGTTCAGAAAGAAATTGAAATGCTCTTAAAATCAATTCAAAGTTTTTATAATAGAATACAGTCTAGCTAACAGTAGGAATACAATTACATTTTGGATTTGTTGAAATAAATATCAGCCTGGGCTATTATAAACCATTTTCCATTCATGCTTGTTCAAGTGCCCAGCCCATTAAAAATTAAATGATTTCTGAAGTAAAGGAAAATCATTTCGAGATGATTTTGAGGTTTATTGAGAGTTATGAACATTCAACGGATATTTAATCATAGAGCAATACTCTGAATGATAAATATCTGCAACCCTTCGTCTTTATTCATTTTTACAGATCAGGAGAGTAAGATTTGAACACATCAACAAAAGCAAAATTATTTTATGAAACATGTTATTGAGATAGATAAACAAGATTCAAATCATAATGGCAATATTAATAAAATTAAACAACAAAACCCTCAGAAGAATTGAAATATTCGCATTCAAGTCTACAAATAATTGGAAAAACATTTATCTGTTACTGACACCTTCTGAAACACTCAGAAATTGAACGAATTATTTTTCAAATGATACAATCTTCGATTAACACAATGATTCAATTTTGTTTAGATATTTGATTAAATTAGATAGAAATTGTTGTGAAAATATTTTTGATTAACATCAATTTGATGTCTCTCATGGAAAATTTTCTGACTTGTTCAAATAACACCTGTTTATCAGCTGATCACTTACATGTCTCTTCTCTTGTCATACAAATACAGTAAACATATTTGTTAAATAGCATTAATTTATTTTGTCAGTTCAAAAGACTTCGAAACGACCTCGTCTCGTGGCTGCATAGAAATAAATTAATCTTGATGATTATTTACATTATGCAATTAAAACAAATCTATAGTAGAAAAAAAAATTCTCAATTTCAAAAGCATTATAATTTATGAACAACAAAAATATAAATTGAATTATATTTGCAAATTGTGGTTACTTAAGAGGTTGTTCTGACAAACAAATCACGACGAAAAAGAAATTGCAACCAGTGAAGAGAAGAAGGAAGCATTTGGGTATGCTTTAGAGATAAGAAATGGAAAAGTTTTTATTTCACTGTCTAGACATTACTTTATTTATTGAACACTGTTAATACCTTTGAAAACCTGTCCCTTATGACTCCCTATGCAGTTCCATTAATAGACGCCACTGACAATTGCAGATAATTCTCGATTTTATTTTGTTTATCTTCTCAGTCTAGAACACTTTTACATCGTCAAGAGGAAATTATCAATTTCAGCTCAATCCCGCTCACATGTCTCTTGGCGACATAGGAATTAGTATTTAAACCGGTGTTCTCTCCTAAAAATTCATCATTCAGTTTTCAGATTTCGTCAAATACTTTTGAGTGTCCGAAAGAAACTAAATTGATTTTCAACATGAAAGCTTTTATCATTTTCGCATTGTTTGCTGTCGTAAGTATTAAATAAGTCAAGAATTTCCATGAAAGTGTTCGATATACTGAAAGTGAAATTGTGAATTATTCTCAGGCTTATGCTGACTTTAAAATCGCAACTGGAGACGATTTGAATCGTTATCGTGATCTTTGCAAAACTGAACTCACCATCCCGGATGAAGATATTGAAAAGTTTAAGAAATGGGATTTCACTAGTGAACGCTCTCCTTGCTACATTAACTGTGTGTTTAGACACATGCACTTATACGACAATGAAACAGGCTTCCAAGTATGAAATTTTAATTTATGTTAAAAGTTGAAATATTAAAACCAATTTAATTCATTCACAGATCGATAATCTCGTTAAACAATTAGGACAAGGACGTACTGACAACATCCGTCCCGATATCGAAAAGTGTATTGACAACACCGTGACAGATAATTGCCAACGTGCATTCAAAGGCTTCCAATGCTTCGGCAAGAACAACCTTCAAATGATCAAATCAAGTGTCAACTAAATGGTCACCTTCAAGGCAAGACCTCTAAATATTCATTGATAGGAGAAAGTAGAATTTGATGAATAAAGAGAGTTCAAAGCACTGAAATTTGACAGACTTTTATTACTGACTTGTTATCATCTCATTTCCCTGATTCATGCAAAACATTTCATTCTTTTTTTATTATCTAATCGCCTTTTTTCTTCCTATTCATTTTGACTCAAATATTCTTAATCAACTTTCAGCCGTAAATTCGACATAAATTTCAATTTAATGTTATGGAAAGTTTTGGAAGGAAGTAAAAATTAATGAAGAATTTCGTTTCAGATTTCATGTCAGGAAATTCCATTAGAAATTTTCCACAACTCAGTAAGAACGCAATGACTCGTACAATTTATTTGATTGATTTATTGATAACATCAAAAAGTGTTTGTTTTGTGTGTACATATGTGTGTAAATATATAATTAATTCGAATGTTAAATGAAAGTTAAGTAACTTTTTTCGTAGAAGTTTCGATTATCATATTCGTTTAAATATTTAGATCAAACATTTATTACATAAATAATGATTTAAATTTTAAAATTTAATATTCCAATTCATGGTTGATTTGTTGCATTGCAGCATCAATATGTATTTGGATGTCGAGATTTTCATCAACTCCAGCATGTTTATAGCCATCGAGGAAGTAACAAGTTTCTCCATCCTTTGCTTGATATTCCTTTGGTAGGAATGATGGATCACGTCTTGTGTATTCAAACTTAAAGTCATCAATTTTCGTCAGCCATCTGTTAAGTTTTGAAATTAAATTTCAAATTTAATGCTTCAAGAATAATAATAAATTAACTGCACTAACTTTTTGGTGGTTGGTGAAATATTTATACGTGAAGCTTCACTTCCTGATTCAAACTTGTTAGCGATTGTCACGTTATGGCCAAATAAACAATATCGTGGCATTTTCCTTCCGACAACTCCTGCCAAAACTGTTCCAGTATGAAGACCGATTCTCATCTAGATATTTAAGAAGTAAAGAATTTAATTAGAAAATAAAAAATTATGAATGTTTCACCTGAATGTGTTTCCCATCATGAGTGACATGCTTAGCACAATTTTCAATCATTTTCATTGCCATGAATGCTACTTTGTGTGCATCATACTGACTGGTTGCTGATCTTCCTTCTAACCCTTTAGCGACACAATAAGCATCGCCAATTGTTTCTACTTTGTATACGTCAAAAACGCCACAAAGTTCATCAAACACCTTGTAAAGTGATTCAAGCATGCTAATAACTTGAAATGGTGATGCACTTGAGCAAATTGATGTGAATCCAACAATATCGGAAAATAACATCGTGACTTCCGGAAAACTTTGAGCATCAACTTGTTTTCCAAGCCACAACTTTTCAGCGATTTCATCCGGGAAAATCATTTGCAGTAATGAAACATTTTTCTTTCTTTCTTTTGAAACAGCTTCATGACCTTCTTCGACTTCCTTTTTCAACTTATCCATGCGTCTTTTAAGGCCATCTTGAGCACGAGCTTGTTCACCAACAAGAATCACTTCACGTGTTGCATCGTAAAGTGGAATATCGGACAAGAAAAGTCCATTACATGTGAGACCTTCAAGTCCATCTAAGAATGGTGAACCGACAAAAAGCAAAGTGTTTCTTGGACCTGGGCAAAACACCATTTGACCTTTGATCTCAAGTCCTTTCGCAACGAAATCTTGACGACCTGCTGGCGCACGTAAAGTTATCAAGAACGGCGTATTTGTTCGTTTTATGATTTCATTGAATTCCAATTTTAATCCGACTGGACGTCGAAACTTGAAGTAATGAGTAGCAGCCTTTGTTGCGTTCAAATAATTCTTGAAAAGCTTACTAAATGCTTCGCCAATCTGCAATAATTCCAAATTTTCATCCATAATAAAATGCCAAGGAAACATTTTACAAAATGTTGAATTTGTCATCTGCAAGTCGTTAGGATCAGATGAGATGGAACGTGGAATAATTTCCGGTTGTTCTTTTATAGATTCTTCAATCTTAAACAGATAATGGAATCTTTGAACGGAACCTTCAAGTGGTTCCATTTGAATTGTACATTCGGTTTGATAAAGTTTCTTAGAAATATTTTGTAAGATTCCGAGCAACAGATACGCAACAGCAATACGATCTGATGTGAATATTAATTCATTTTCAGATGCACACACAAATCCAGTGTCAGTTAAATCTTCTTCTTGTAGCTTCAATACATCATAAACGCCATCTAACGATGCTATTAATTCTGGCAGATTTCCACCGAGACAACGAAAAGCTTTCTCAATGATGCCATGACATGATGTATTAACAAGTTCTTCTCCCAAGAGAATGAGTATGTCAATTGCTGTCGCTTCGTCGAACTCCATAAGAGAATCTTGGATGTCAGCTAAATAATCGTAATGGGGATATGTCGAGATATTTGCTCGATCGCCACCACTTCAAATTTAATTACATTCAATAAATAAAAAAGTTTCCTCAAAATATAAAAATAAAGAAATGAAACTTACAATTTCCTTAAGCCTGGAAACCTTCCGCTATATTTCTGTTTCAATGATATTAAAGCTTGATGAATATCATCATTTGATGGTGCTGTCAATAATTGCATAGCAGCATTGAGATGAGTTAAAGTTAAAGAGTCGCCAGAAACTTCCGGTAACTCCAAGTCATTATTAATTGTAGGTTGACGTTGCAAGACATCTGCAGAGCGATGTTGAGAGAAGGGACAAGCCATTCTATATAACTAATTGAATAAATATAATTAATAACACTATCATCAATGATTTTTGAAATTTATCGATTACCTAAGTGATTGATGTGATTTTCTTTATATCGAATTTATGGTCAATCGAATTGACTTTGCAAATTATTTTATGATGTTCACAATTAACAGCTACTTATTAGCTTCTAAAAAATATTTGATGACTGATAGAACAATTTCAGAACTCTTTTCATCGAGTTAAGAAACCTGTATGAACTTTTGAAACTTTTCTTCTTAAATGAAATGAAAATTTGATATGCGCATGTCTGAACTTTAGTGAAACTTTCAAAGTTGGATAATGTTTGTAAACAAAAATTCATTTCCTGACACAATAAATATTAATTCCATAATACTTAATTGCTTCCTCGGAACAAACATTCAATTGCTTATTATTTTGGTATTAATCAGTTATCATGCATCGATTTCTGATCTGAATTAGCAGATAATGTCAATCAATTTTTAATGAAGGTTATTTTCTATTCTTAGCTTGCTGTCATATGTAAACGATTAAAAATTTATGACAAAAAATATCTATTTTGTCAACATTATTATTTTAATTGATATGTATGGATAAATGTGACACTTTCTCCTAAGAATCGAAAGTTTTGACACTCTCAAGGATATTCTGTTTATTAACATTAAGAAACTCGGGTATTTTGAAACATTTTGGCATTCAACATATTATTTGAAAATATTTTCTACTATCATCGGTAATGTTATATTTATAAATTCCTTTTGTAAACAGTTTATATTCTTTCGACATCTGCTGTAACGTCATAATGTTAATAAATAAGAAAAGAAATTGCGAGTGTGAAAATAAATGCTGTCGAAATTGCCAATATATATTTTTATGGGACATATAAATGATGGGCAGTTAAAAATAGAATGCTTAAACAAAGATAGATGCCAGTGATTATTTCTTATCATATTGCACACAATTTTTACCTTCATGTGGCTTTGTTTTTATTTTTTGTTATCATCACATGCTTTCATACCAATACATGAACGAACGAGTGGAACTACATTTGCGCAGTTTTTGTTTCCAAATCAAGAAAAATGTAAGCGGCGATTCTCTCCGTTCAGTTATTTCAGTTCTTCCATGTTGTATCGTTCGCTTTTCTCTGTAATTCCACATCAAGAATAAAATTATTTGATATTATAGAAGATATACGTAAGAAATTTAAAAGTTATTTGGATAAAGCACAGACTATAAGAAGCCTTGAAATGTTGCTGCCGATATCAAGTATCAAACAAATGGTAAGATCCAATCTTCTAGCATTAATGCCGTCAAAACATATTTTATGTCTCGCATCGGCAACTTTTTTTTTTTGCTGTAAGCTAGCATTTTTGCAAATTCACTGACGCTCTTACATACTCGTCATAGTACACCTGTCTGTGTGAGAAACACTAAGAACTTTAATCGAGAATATAAAGAGCAAAACAAAGAAAAGATAAAGAGTTTATTGTGTGATGACTATTAAATGAACGACAAAGGCTTTTGACGTCGACGCGTTCAAGTTCAATGTCATTATCCGATACTATCTGTCATAGAAATTCTCAAAGTTTATATTGAGCTATTATTAATAATTATGAAGTGATTTCGAAAGAAGAAAGAATCGTAAACATGCAATCGATTTTAAGCAATTCTTTTGTTTTTTTGCCCCTAAAAATGATTCATTTGAAAAAGTTTTCTTATCATTGATACGAATCGTTGTTTTGTATTTTTTCTTAATTTAAGGTCAAAGTGACGTGGATTCAGCTGGCACCTTTTGTGAAAAGTGTGATTGTATATTTCGTCATTGGATCATTTGAATTTTTCAATAGCAATGTATTGTCAACAATTCTCAAATGTATTCCAATTATTTGCTTAATGGCTTTCATCTTCCTGATGGGCTTCAAATTCACTAATGAATATCGACATCATCAACTCATTCTTCTTGGATTGATTTTCTCATGTGCTGGAGATGCACTTCTCGATTATCAAAAAGGAATTTTATTCCAATATGGCATGCTTGCATTTGCCGTTGCACAAATTTGTTATGTCGCAGCTTTCGGATGGCAACCATTCAGGCTTCTTATCGGTGTTATATTTTATGGATTGGGAGCGCTATGTAAGGCGTCATTACAAATCTATTTGTTCAAATTATAATGTGAACAATTCTTTCGTTTAGCTTTATCTCTGATGTTCAAAAACATGGAAGGAATATTGATTTTTGCAGTTCCCATCTACTGCATACTGCTACTAACAATGGGATGGCGAGCAAACGCACGATTACAAAACCTTCAGAATCTTCCGAAACTCTTCACGGCTATTGGTGCAATTCTCTTCATTATAAGTGACGGTCTCATCGCATTTAATATGTTTTATGCTCCAGTGAAATATTCGGGTATTTTAATCATGTCTACTTATTACATGGCACAATTAGGGATAACTCTCTCGATTCTTGATCATGACGTGACACCAAAGAGCACGGTTAAAAGTAACTAAATAATTTACTTCATGAATATATGTTTGTGAACGTTCAATGGTGATCTGGTTTATAAATTATCTGAAAACTGATCTGAAAATATCTCAAATTATCAATTCAATTGGTTACATTAATCTGCCCTCTTTTTGTAGGTGAATGTACTTGACAACCTTTCATGACTTCCACTTCATAAATATTTTTCGAAAAGACTTGTTATGAAATACAAAATGCAATTTATTATAAGATATATCAACAAATATTTTGAGTATAAATATTAAGGTTGTAATAATTATTTTGATGTTTAAATAAAAGATTAAAAAGAAAAAAAAACTGTTAAAAGAAAGAAAATTGAACGGAAAACTATTATTCAGAAACAAAAAAGAAAATTAAAAATTAAGCTGATCATCATTATTTTATGATCATCAATTGTCGAAGTAAATAATCATTATTATTTAGTTTGTTTATTAATGAAAGATGGCAAAACTTTTTGCTTGTTTCTAAAAAATATACTCACTACATCAGTAGAAGGTACATTTTTCTTATTGGATGTCGTTTGTTCTCAAATCTATCAAAGATCTTTTAGCAATGCACTTTTCGCGTTTTTCAGTTTATCCAATCGTTTCAGCAGATGATTATTTGACGTCTCAAGCTCTTCAAGACGTTCCATTGCTTCACGATTTTCTCGCTGAAGTTTTCTACGTTCAACTTTAAGATCCGCTTCTGCTTTTTCAGCTGCTTCTGCTGTACTTTTGTATCGAATAACTTGTGTCTCGGAACGTGCTAAGCTTGCCTGAAGACTTGCAATTTCTTGTTCTGCTTTTTGCAAACGATATTTATAATCATTAAGTGCTTTTGTTACCTCACGCTGTGCATCGTCGGAATCGTCGTCATCTAACACTCCATTGCGTGAACTTGATCGTCTTCCACCTCGTGATTTTATATCGTTCAACTGTTGGTTTAATTTTTGAACCTCCGCTTGAAGTTCTTGTTTCTCATCTGCAAAAGTCTTTAGTCGAGCATCAATAGATCCTTCAACAGTGCTCAAAAGTTGAGCATTTTCACTCGAGACTAGAACGCGTTTAGCATCACTTCCATCGTCATTTTCTACTAACAAAATCACTAAACCATAGTTGGCGATTAATGTGTCTCGTTCATTTAGTTGTCCTTGCAACAATTTATTTTCCTCAGTCAATTTATCGTTCTGCCTTTTAAGTGAATCATGCGCTCGGCTCTTTTCACGGTACTCACGCTGCAGTTGTGCATATGATTCTTCCATCTCTTCTACGATATCTTTAAGTAGATCAATTTGATATGTTTGTGAGGAACGATCGTTGTCAAGTTGGGCATTTGTTATCATTGCTTTGCGGAATCTTTCTTCAACATCCTTTAATTCCTGTCGAATATCTCTCAAGCTTCTGCCTTCTTCTTCTTGTGAATCTTCGCTACTTCGTCTTGATGACATCGAATATCCGCGAATCGCTGAAGGATTGTTTCCAATCATTCGCGATCTCGGTGTTATTAATACTTCTGATTGTTGCATATCGTATACTCGATCAGCACTTTGTTCCAACTCTTTTTGTTGTCGGTCAAGTTCTCGCATACGAATTTCTCTTGCTTCAGCTCTTGCTTGTCGTTTCGCTGCTAAACGGGCTTCTGCATCTTTTGCAATTTGGTCAAGAGCTTGATCTTCTGCTGAAACTTTTGTAGTTCCTCTTCGTCTTCCCCCCGCACCAGGACTATCCATTATTTATTTCTTTTATTTTTAATTCAAAATAAAATTCGCTGTAGATTGCACAACAGAATTGTAAGAATGACTTGATAAAAAATTATAGTGCGAAATACCTTAAGTGATATGTAACTTAAACTAATCACTGTAGTCTTACAGCTTATAGAAAGTGTACTCAGAACTTTTAAACCTAAATTGGGAGAAATTTTACAAAATTATCCTATTAAATTAAAATAATTTGAAAAACTTGTAACTTTCTTATTTTTCCCACTTACTTAACTTTTCTTTTGTGTGAACTTTATGTCGTCCGTTTAAAAAATCGCTGGGAATGATTTTGTTATGAACAGTTTATTAGGTACTCGTTTAATATATAAAGAAATTGAATTTTATTGAAAATTTAGGTTCACGTTGAGTGAAATGAAAAATTATTTTGATGATTAATGATTTGGAAGTTTTACACCCACTGGATCAATTTTAAATTTTTTCTGTTATTTTATCCAATAGAAAATCAAGTTTCTATTTTGAAATTGCAAAATATCTGCTAATAAGATAAAGTTTATAAGCGTTGAATTATTAAGAATTTGAATAGTCTTATCACTAAATTTTGCAAATAAGCTTTGGAAAGCTTCCAAGAGTAACTCTATTATTTGAAATACATTTCAATGCCGAGATCAAACTAAACTTAAGATTATGCGAAGATTTTTCGCGAGATCGAGGGTATACGACTATAGCAAAACATTTTTTGAAGGGTATCAAGCTAAACTATTCATCATCATCATCATCTTCTGTTTTGCAATTTTTAATTCGAGTAAATTTGTTGTGAATTAAAAAGATAAATCTGATAAGATATGAAGATATTCGAACTTAGACCGGATTCAAACCTGCTCAAGTGTAATTTTGATGGATATAAACTGTCATTAGAGCCTATTCCAATTCTCAAGAGTGAAAACATTCCAAAACCTGATCGAGTGCTACCAGACACATCTTCTGAGTATTCGTTTCTTCATAGCAGTTTATATCAATTGCACAACCATTTAGTTGCTGATCCATGGCTTCATCATTGTGCTTATTATATTGATGTATCATTTGTCATTCATAAAATTCAATATGACACAACCGTCGGGAGAGTCAAACAATTAACACCGGTCTACAGATGTGCCATTAAGAGACCTTCAAACAGTGGTGGAATTTACAACAGCTACTTAAAATTCATTTCAGAGAAATATGCAGTTTTAAGTGATGGTATTGGAGGATTAAGAATTTTAGATACCGGTGATCGTCAAAAGAACAACGAATGGAAGGAAATTAAAGTTTATCAACCTTTAAATTCGTCTGGTTTTATCATACAAGATGCAAAATTCGCTTTTGAAAATGGAGTAAAAACGATTCACATGTTATTGCAGCTTATTGAGCAAATTGACGGAAAATTCCATAACATTATTCATTGGTTAACTTATGTTGAGGATGGAAACGATAAAAATTGGAGAGAAGCAGGTAGAAGAACACTCCAAGGCAAAGGAAGTCTACATTATCTCTCATTAGATCCAAAGTGTAAAGCTTTCGTGTACTCATCTAATTATGAATATAAATATACAAATGATTCATTTAATGAGATTATAGAAGAAATTCCAGTAGTTGATGAAACAACTGAAAAGCCTCAAAACGAAGAATCAGAAAATTCATTCACATGGACTCAAAATGGAGAAGATATTACAATAAATTTCAATCAGCAAAACGAAAGATCTAAAAATGAGTTTCAAGTAAAATGTGAGAAAAGTCACATTGAAGTGAAATACCAAAATCAAGCTCTTCTCTGTTCTGATCTTTTTGCTGAAGTTGACACGGAAATGACAACGTGGAGTTTAGAAAATGATTTCATGCAACTAAACTTAGTGAAGAAAGACACAGAACTTATTTGGCCTTATTTAATTCCTGGTGGCCCTCCTGCTGATTCGATCAATGAAAAGCAATCAATGCTGCTGAGTAGTGCGCCGATTTCTGATTTAAACACACAGATGGAGGAATGCGATTATGGTGATGATGGACATCAAGATGAAGAATTCTTTATCGGTAAATATTTGAAACAAAACTTAAGTGATTTTTTTTTAAATTTTATTCATCATTTTAAAGAACGTCTCGATGTTTGCACACATAAATCGTCTCACAAAGTTTTCCTTGCATCGAATCATCCTCTCTTTTCTACAACATTACGACCTGGATATCCACAAGCAGTGGCGGTGAGAAGTGATGTTGATTGTTGTTTATGGCTTCAACAAGTTTCATCGAACGATGAATGGTCAATGAAACATGAATCAACACTTCATGCCTTTGGATATATTCAAGCATCGAAAAGAGAACGAAAGTTCTTAGCTTGCTCACCAGACACAAATCTTGCAGTTATATGCGAATCGTCTCGTCATCTTTTCATCTACAAAAATTCCTACAATACAGCCGGTGGCTTGAGAAAACGTTCAGGACCTCAATTGACTATTGGACAGCAAAAACTTGTCTCGTTTGATGGATCCAATGGAGAAATACTTGGCATAGTTGTTGATAATGAAATAATCTTACTATTGACTGAGAATGCAATTTTATGTCTGCAACTTAGCATCGAAGAATAATTAATTTTATGAATTCTATTTTTTTATTATTTAGTGGCAGATAATAAAGAGTGAAATTGTTTTAAGAAAATGCTAAATGAATCACAACTCAAAAGTTAAATTTGACAATTTCTTCAGTACATAAAAAGTGATCCAACATCTTTACAAGCCGGGTAGATTTCAGGAAACTCATACTCAAATCCAGTTTCGACTGTTCGCTTCGGTTTTATCTTAGCTCCAGATGTTAAAAGCACTGCACGTTCTTCTGTGAACATTTTATTGACTACAAATTCAGGGAGTGGAATTAAGGTTGGACGCCATAAAGCTTTTCCAAAAGACTTAGTGAAGTCAAGATTGTTGATTATCTGTGGCGCGACACCATTCAATACACCTTCGACTTTCTTGTTCTCGATAGAATATTTTATTAGATTGCAGAGATCTGTGATGTGAATCCAAGGTAAAGGTTGCAAACCTGAGGCGACAGGTCCTCCAAAACCGAACCAGAATGGGATAATTAGGGATCGTATCATTCCACCTTCTCGTCCTAAAACAACACCAGTTCTTATTTTAACAGTTCTTACGCCAGCTTCCTTGTCGATTGTTGCAGCTTTCTCCCATTCGTTGCAAAGTTTCGACATGAAATCATAATCTTCGCTTGCATCATCTTCTGTGTAGATTTTCTTTTCATTTGGTTTATAGTTTGAAACACCAGAAATGTTGACGAACACTTCAGGTTTCTCTTTAGCACTTTGAATTGCTCGTACAATTGAAGATGTCGTGTTGATTCGAGAATTCCAAACATTTTGTTTGAAACCTGCTGACCAAGATCGAGTTGGATCTAGAACATTTTGACCTGCCAAGTTAACAACTGCAGAAGTATCATTTGGAAGTCCGTTTCGATCCAAATCAGTCCAAGTGATATGGTTCAATCCAGGCATTCGTGAAACGATTGTCACTCTATATCCACTGCCTAATAGAAGGTTTGACAGTCTTGTTCCGATGAAACCGGTTCCTCCTCCTAATTAATAAAGAAGCTTTAATTGTTATCGACTCCATTTAATATAAACCACATTTTCTTTTGGATTAGATAACAAAAATAGAATCACAACACTCATTCAAAGAATGGTAAAAAAAATCGTCATTACCAATTAGAATATTCTTCATTTTGTTTTATTTCCTGTGCTATTAATATTGGTTGCAAAATCTTTGATGAAATTAAAAATAACTTTTACAAATTCTCCGCGATACTTCAGAACGAATTTAATTTTCTTTTGTTTACAAATTTACAGCAACAAAAAATGTTCATCATTGAAGTGATGACATAATCATTGAATTCATAAAATCATCAATCATCATCATTAATCGGCATCTGACTCTTGAACAGCGCGTTTCGTTTTCTATTTTATTTATTACCTGATAATTCATAATGTCTAAAATTTTTACACCAACCAACCAAATTCGTTTGACAAATGTTGCTGTCGTTCGTATGAAGAAATGTGGAATTAGATTCGAAATTGCATGTTACAAAAATAAAGTTCAATCATGGAGAGCAGAAACGTAAGTTTTATTAAATCTTTATGAAACATTTGAATGCATTTTATGATATTTAATTAGAGAAAAGGATTTGTCAGAGGTTTTACAAACCGAAACAGTCTTCAATAATGTGTCTAAGGGCCAAGTAGCTAAGAAGGAAGACCTGATCAAAGCATTTGGAAAAGATAATCACACAGAGATTTGTAAGGAAATTCTATCAAAAGGAGAACTTCAAGTTAGTGAAAAAGAACGTCACGCAAACTTAGAATCGACATTTAAAGAAATTGCAACGATGGTAGCTGAAAAATGTGTCAATCCTGAAACGAATCGCCCTTACCCCGTCACTATCATTGAGAAGTCAATGAAAGATGCGCATTACTCAATAAAACCGAACAGGAATGTAAAATCACAAGCTTTGGATGTGATCAAAATACTAAAGGAGCACATTCCCATCGAAAAAGCTCAAATGAAAATAAAAATTACAGTCACAAACTGTAAAGATAAGAAACTTCGTTTTGACGAAATTCCGAAGCTTCTCAAGGTCAAAGAAAGTGAATCGTGGGATGGAGCTAATGGAATCATTACTGCTTTAATTGATCCTGGCAGTTATAAATTGATTGAAGCCTTGCACTCAACAACTCGAGGTGGTGTAACTGTCGAAGTTCTGGACCTTAAGCATGTTGAAATTAATGAAGAAATTTTTTAATGTCATTAAAACAACTCGGAATAAAAATCATCATTAATCATTAAAAATGATTATCAGCTGATAAATATTTTGTTTTAATTCTCTAATTTTTTATAAACCGGGTGAAAATGAGTTATAAAAAATTAATTTTCACAAGAAATTTCACAACTAATAGAAGAGTTGTTGTGACTGGACTTGGTGTCACATCTGCTGTTGGATTATCAGTAGAAAGTGCATGGAAATTTATTTTATCCGGTAAAAGTGCTGTAAGAAATCTTCCAATAAATGAAGAATATTCTCGATTACCTTGTAAAGTTGCTGCAGCAATTAGTGATGAAGACCAAAATATTATACAGTCCGATTTCAGCAACACTGAACTTAAATCAATGTCAACAGCCACAGTTTATGCAATGTTCGCCACGAAACAAGCTTTTGCTTCTGCGAATTGGATTCCTGAGAGCATTGAACAGAGAAAACGTACAGGCGTAGCTGTTGGAATGGGAATGATAGATCTCAATGATATTTGTGAAACTAACAAAAACTTATCGAGAGCTTATAATCGTGTAAGTCCATTTTTTGTTCCAAGGATTTTAGTGAACATGGCAGCTGGTCAAATAAGTATCAAATACAAACTCATGGGTCCAAACCATGCGGTGTCTACAGCATGTGCTACAGGTCTTCATTCCATTGGAGATGCTTTTAGATTTATCAAACACGACGATGCTGATGTGATGGTTTGTGGTGCGACAGAAGCATGCATCAATCCATTATCAATTGCAGGATTTTGTCGACTACGTGCACTGTCAACATCTTTCAATGAATTACCCACTGAAGCATCTAGGCCTTTTGACACAAAAAGAGATGGATTTGTTATGGGTGAAGGCGCCACAATTTTCATTCTCGAAGAATTAGAACATGCTGAGAAACGCGGTGCGAAAATATTCGCTGAAATTCTTGGGTATGGATTATCTGGAGACGCATCTCATTTAACAGCTCCTAGTGAAGATGGTTTAGGCGCTCAACTCGCAATGGAAAGAGCAATTCATGATGCCAAATTAGAAGTTTGTGATATTTCCTATGTTAATGCTCATGCGACATCGACACCACTCGGAGATTCAATTGAAGCTCGTTCGATAAAAAAGATTTTTAATGATCAAGAAAATATTTCAGTTTCAAGTACAAAAGGTTCTCATGGTCATTTGTTAGGAGCAGCAGGAGCTATTGAATGCATGTTTACAGTACTTGCCTGTCGAGATGGCTTTTTACCACCAACAATCAACTTGAATCAACATGAAGATGAATTCAAAGAAATGAATTTCGTTCCAAACAAACATCAGAACTGGAATACAAATGAAAAACGTAGAATTGCGCTGAAAAATTCTTTCGGATTTGGTGGAACAAATGTTTCACTTTGTATTGGTGAATTTATAAAATGATTTATTAATTTTCCGAGTTTCAGTTTATAGAAGAAAAGTTAAATGTCAATTAAAAATATATTTTAAATAGTTTTGAGGATTTTCTTATTTCGGTTTGATTTCTTGTTCATTGACATATCTCACGAATATGTTTGGCTCAGGCATCGGTTCTGGTGGCTTTTCCATTTCATCCAGATACGAGCATCCAATAGCTAATGTGCTTCCATCACTACTAAAAGCGAGAGATGCAATTGAAGAGTCATAATGATGGAATTGACACAGTCGTTTCTTATTGAAACCATCCCAGATGCTGACATATCCATCGCTCCCTCCAGTAGCCTAAAACAATTCAAAATTTTATTTTCTTTTCATTTTTTCCTTTCAAAATTTACTTACGAATGTGTTATATTCGCTATGGAAGCTTATAGCGTTGACAGGGTAAATGAGTTCAACATTATTCTCTTTGACACGATGACACTTGAAAGCAAACTTTTTCTTTTGAACTTCAGGATCATTGTCAAAATATTCAACAGCAACACGGCCTTCAATTGATGACATAACGTAGCCTTCCTTGTTAGGAAACACTCGAATACATCTTGTTTGATATTTCAGAGATGATTCTCGTCGCATTTGATAATTGCTCATATTTCGGAGATCCCATATTAGAACTTTACGATCTGATGTTGCCACAACAAGTTTCTCATCAACAACACTCATCGAATATACTTTTCCATTGTTTTGTTCATATGTTCCAACACAAGTTTTCTCTCTAGTATCCCATAATTTAACAGTCTATGAATGAGAAAATTATTATCATTTTGAAGCTTCGTCTGATTTGTTTAACTTACTTTATCCCAACTACCGGTAGCAATTCCATTAAGTTTACTTGCATATTCCACACACTTTATAGTGTTATCATGATTGCCTATTATCGATTCTGTGTTGGTATTCAGGTCCATAAGTTTAAGCTGAGAGTCAAGACTACCACTTATCATATGAACAGCATCCTGTAATAATAGAAGGAATAAAATATGAATTAAAATTTTTAAAAATCAAATGAGAAATTATGTGAACTTACTTGAAAACAGACATCAAGGATCGGACAGTTGTTGACAAACTTTTTCCGCATGGTATTAGAAACAATGTCATATAAACGAACTGTTCCATCCCAAGAACTCGCTGCTAAAAATTGATTTGAAGAAGGAGCAAAAGTGAGGGATGAAATAACGTCCGTAGGAGAGTGTGATATTTGAATCTCCGTTTTCTTAGCCATTATCAATCTTAATTTGACCTTTTTTTAATTTTCTGATGTTCAACTTATACAATATTTACGATTTTTAAGAGATAGAAGTGTTTTTGTTTTCAAGCGTTTTCAAAGTCGACAAACCGATTAGAAAAATACGTTAAAAGGGGCACGAAGGTATGTCGACCAAGAATTTCGAAAATTCGAATTCGACTCAAACTTCGATATAAAAAGCATTACAAAAAGAATTTGTCATTTAGTCTTTTCTAAAATAAAGTGCTTTAAACATTAAATATCTTTATAATGTGCAGATATATTAAAATTTAAGTAACTTAATATCAAGGAATTGATAAAGGTAATTTGAAATTTTTAGAAATAAGCAGTGAAATAAGTGTGAAAAATTTTTAATGGTATGAATGAATGACCACAAAGAAAATTACAAAACTATGATAAATATAGTGTATAAATATATTAAATAAAGTGTATCACTTGATGAAGTGTAAAATGCATTGAAATATTGAATGAAACCAATGTTTAACGTCACCTTTCAACAAATTTTCTTACGATATTTTCTCTGGTAACTCAAGTGATTCAATATGGCGAAACCTGTAGTAAGTGAGAGCGTGTGTGTTGAAGAAAAAAAATAATAAAGACGTTTATTAAGAAAAAACTAATGCATAATTTCATCAAAGTGTGACGAAAGTGTTTTGAAAGTAGCATATAAACAAGTTTCTTCTGATGTTGATTAATGCAAAAGTTGAAAAATTTAATTTCTACAAATTCTCGCACATTTCTTTATCTTATCAGGGTTTTTCCCACACACAGTTACAAGTTAAAATAGTACGAAAAACATAAATAAAGACCTTATGTCTAAATCAAAATAATACANGACGATTTCGAGGTGGTGCACTACTAGCCAACTACCCTAATAATAATAATGAGTAACGAGTAAATTTGTGTCAGCAGTTCTCCTTCCTTATATATAAAAACAATAACAAAAAAAACGATTACTTGGTTTCATTTCGCGGTACGTAACTGTTGTGCTTAATAGTTATTTTACTGTGACATTTCTATTAAAAAAGTGAAAATAGTGGATATATATGTAAATTTCCGTCGTGATATTTTATGACGTAGTTAAATTTATAAATTTTTTTCTTCTTCTTTCCATTACAGAAATAAACTCATTCAAAATCAATAAACTTTGAAGTATTCTGTGAGAAAAGTAAACTGTTCATTAGTGTATTTGTTGTGAGTAAATCTCTTAGAAACCAAAATGGATCAAGCAAGAGAGAAGGAAATTGAGGAAGAGTATTTGTCATCATTGATGGATCTCAACGTCAACAGCAAGCCGCTCATTAATATGCTAACGATGTTGGCAGAAGATAACATCGAAAATGCACATGTGATAGTGAAAGCAGTTGAAATGCATTTGGCAAAGGTTTTTACACATATTCATTTAGATATAAGATAGATAAATTATTTTAAAGTTAATGTAAAATGAAAGATCAAAGTTTATCTATTTATAATGATACTTTCCTCAAGTCATTAGCTAATTTCCAAACAAAAATGAATGAGGCTTTTCCAACATCTGTTTGGATTGTTAATAACTTCTTATTAGCAATGAATGATTAGAAGATTCATTAAATACATAATTTAAAGCAGAGTTGGGATTTGACTGACTGACTGACAGACATTG